GATCCGACCTGAATCGTCGTTCACTCGAGCGTCTATGGCTCTCTCCGAACTAACCTTCATCGAGAATGTATGGGATTCAGAGACTTCCCATTCATGGTCCGATCCGGCGAATCCAGAGTTCCGAGGAGGTTCCCGAGTCACGGTGAAGTTCTAGCGTATCTGCAAGATTTCTTGATACCAATGGAAGTGTTACTGTAGATGATAACTGTGTTAGTCCATTGTACAAACACATCTTCCCTCCACTATTAGCGCCGTGGCTCTCCTTCGCCGGGATACCATGTAAGGTACAAAAGCTCTAAATCGGCATAGCTTTGGTTATCTGCTTGTTACGGTTCGGATTTTGAAGTCTATAAACAAGTTTGGATTTTTTTGCAGGTTATCTCCTCTACCGTTTCCTATGTTTGAGCTGCAAAGCAAGTGGATTGCGGGTGTTTTGTCTCGTCGGATCATGCTTCCTTCAAAGGAAGATATGTTAATGGAAATCGAAACCTTGTATGCAAGACTTGAAGGGGAAGGGGTTCCTAAGCGATATACTCACTCTTTGGGCATCAACCATGTAAGCAAGAGTCTCTTAACATGTTGAAAGCCAACACGGACACAGATTTATTTGTAATTTTTGGTGTGTGTTGTTCTTTTTGTCACAGTTTGAGTACAATGATTGGTTGGCTTCAGAATATGGGTGCTCAGGAACAGAGGAATATAGGAAAGAGATGTTCTTGATGAGTTTCATGAGGAAGATGGAGAATCCGGAGACGTATAGAGATGAATGGGAAGATCATCATCACTTGGTTGCTCAAGCTAACCATGATTTCTCTTTGTATATTGTAAAATAAAGATGAAAGCTTCTATTTCGTGTACAGCTCATCATCCTATGAGAGCTTGAGAACTGAACCAAACCTGAATCATATAACCTAATTCCTATGGTTAATATCTCTAATCTTGCCAAGACTTGTAACTCCTCCACCGTGTTGAGATCTAATGAAACACCAGAACCTCTGCAGTCTCAATACTTTCAAATCAAGTAGACTTGATACGCTAACCTCCCAATATAATCAAATCAATTTTCCAGCTTACTTGATAGACTCCCTCCCCCATCTGACTATTATATTAGATCATTATAGTAAACATAATTCATTGATCATCGTGTTGGCAAATATATAATATTATATGGGACAAGAATAAAAAGGTGCTTGCATATCCTGCATAAGACCAGCTAACTGGTTTGTGTACGCACTGAAACAATGTATATGGCATATGAAAACATTACAATCGACTTCAAACGTAACCATTGTATAAATGTTGATAAAAAATAAGACAGAAAAAAGCACACAGACAGCAACACACAATGAGTGGTAGAGATTTGAGAGAGTGAGAGACAGAGAAGAGAAGAGAAAGAAAAGCTTCTCTTTTGATTAAAGGCAAATGACATCTTCAACTTCCTCGTCGCTTGAATCCTCCTCCTCGCTATATTTCCAAGAAACACTCTGAACATGTACCATAAACAAAAAGACAGATGCATAAGAAAATGGAAGCGGTTCATATCCCGAAGAAAAAAAATCATATGAAAAGAAATAAGATAATACGAGAAATTATACCAATTTTCATGAAGATAAGAAGCGAGTTTTTGTAGCTTCGTCCTCCCATTCAACACCTTCAATCCAACTTTCCTCTCTGTATCCTAAGACGAGTCTATTTTCACCATGTATGCCACTTTGAGAATCCAATGGAAGCTTTTTCAGATTTGGACATTCGATTACATTGAATATCTTTAGACATGGAAAGCGTAGAGGATTCCAATAGATATTCTTTAGCTTGGGTAGACTCCGCAAATAAAGAGAAACCAGCTTTGCAAAAGGAACAATCCCTGATTCTTCAACTTCACAAGCTTTCTCTTTGTTTATTATATCTTCTAGTTGATCTGAATACCTAACTTCAAGTTCTTTAAGATTTGAAGCAAACATCAGCAACGTCAGCTCCCTCAGGCCTCGGCATTTATTTATATACACTTTGGAGAGGCTCAAGAAGCATGGCTCGCTCGGATTGTGTATAGGAGAAACCATATTGCTTTTGTTGCATATACTTCCCATCTTTATCTCAGGGATAGTGCAGTTCGTAATGATGAAATAACGAAGCTTGTTCATGGTCACTGGAATTGCTATTCCAGTTGATTCCAATTTCAAGATCTCCAGAAATCGTGTACAACTCGTCAACCTGAGAGAACTAAAAAATAGCTCCAGATGTGGTGGACAATGGATTTCTAGGGTTAAAATTTCTAAATGCTCCAAGGTTTCTAATTCCTCCACTATGCCGCGATCCCATGAAAAGCCACTTCCAGCTAATTTCAGGATCATCAAATTATGCAGATTTGATATCCCAGCAATACTCGAAAGCTGAAGTGTATGCTCGAGATTCAAGTGAATGAGTTTTTTCAACTCTTGTAGACCCTTAGGGAGATGACGGATACCTGTATCTGACAAGTTGAGATACTTCAAAGAAACTAAATCAGATACTCCATCCGGCACTTTGGTGAGATGTTCATTAAATGATAGATCCAACACCTGTAGCTTCGGCATGGACTTAAAGAATTTACTCGAGATATTTACCAATTCTCCCCGTTGCATGAGAAAAGCTGTGAGTTCGAGACATTCAGGACTGCCAGCTAGATTGCGAATCTTGTTCTTCATCAGTGACATTCTTCTCACACTGTTCCAATTCTTAACCTTTGGAATTTTATTTAACCCTACACCTGCATGCACAATGAAAGCCTCCTTTTCTCTTCCCAATTCAGATGCAATCCACAATGCCATTTCACGAACAACATCATGCATACGCACACATTCTGTTCCATATTGTTCAGCATCTTCCATCAACAAAGATGCACGAACAAGATCACCAATAATCTCATACCCCTTGTATCTGGCCCTCTCTATACCTTCACTTCCATCTATAATACATTCGCCTATCAAGTAGTCTATCAAATACTTTTTAGAAATCAGATCATCTTCTGGAAATAAAGCGCAATACAGCAAACATGATTTGACATCCTCGCCCTTAAGATTATCGTAGCTATACTTCAAAAGTGGAAGGATCTTATCTTCCATGCCAGAAAACTCTGTAGCGTACGAAGTCAAAACATTTATAGCGTGACGCCATTCTTCCACCGTCTTCTTGCATGACATGGTCTCCCCTATGACATTGAGCGCCAGTGGAAGGCCACCACATTTTCTAGCAACGTCTTTTGCAAGCTTGGGGATCTCTGGATCGCTGTCTAGTGTTTTTTGTCCAACCTTCTTTTGGAACAAATCAAATGCTTCAATTTCCGCCAAACATTGGACTTCCAATTGTTCTTCAGCCATCATCTCCGAACATACACCTTGTTTACGAGTGGTGAAGACTACTTTGCATCGGTTTTCTGGTCCTGGAAATGGGACTCCAATCTCTGTTAAATCCACCTTCTCCCATATGTCATCTAAAAACAACACAAATCTCTTTTTCTTCAAGAAATTGTATAAATCAATGGTCTTTTGGCTCTTCTTTTTTTTCTCCCACTTCTCTCCATCAAGACCAACTTTCTGAGCGATTTCATCTTGAATCTTCTCTACATGTAACTCTTTAGACACCACAACCCAAATCACAAAATCAAATCCACACCTTTCTTCACTGAACTTATTGTTGATTTGCATGAGAAGCGTTGTTTTCCCAACTCCGCCCATACCATACATTCCCATAATACCAACTCCATCTTTCATGAGATGTTTCCATGCCTTATCGAGCATTGCTTCTTGACCAACAATTATCCGTGGAACTTGTATTTCCTCTATCACAGCTGTGTCAGCTTTATTAACTACTTGATCAGTAACATTTTGGAAAACTCTATTTTCGAGTTGCACAACATCTATCAACGACAAGAAAACCTTTTTCCCGTAACGGTAACTGGATCTTAAACTCTTAGAGCAAAACCCACAAAGACACAACCTTTGAAGTTGAACATCTCTAGCATCAAGAAGAGCATCAACTTTTTGATCCAAAGACTCAACTTTCTTAAGCCATACCTGGAATTCTTCCAGCCTTTGTCCACCTTTATCCTCCTCTCTTGTGGCCTTTCGTAATAAATCATTCCGCTTAGCCTTGAGCTTAACCATGCTGTTCTCCAGAGTGGCGAGATTCTTCTCAAGATCGTGAATATAACCAACTTTCTTGTCTAGCCATTGAGAGATTTTATCCATCCACTCATCACAGGATATCGAGCAAGTGATTAAATTCCCCATTTTACAGAAAGGGAGAAATCTGAAATCTGAAATTTGCTGATATGAGCAAACCAGAGACAATGCAGAGAATAATTGAAGATAAGACTTTCTTTCACGTCCACAATTCTCGACCAAGTGAGTCCAAATCACTGATTTTTCTTGGAAATGTTTGCTTATTTGATATCCATAATTCTCACGTTCACACATTTTGGTTGTTGACTTTGGTGGGACATACTAATCACAAAGTCGCTCTCCATGGCAAACCAAAGACGAAGAAGACTTAATATTTAATCCTTAATCCTTGTTACAATAAGCTTTTAATGATAAGCGTGATTATTCAGTCCCCAATCGAATATTTGATCAAAACCATTTACAGTATGCCACATTTGAAGCCTTATAGGAATTCATAAGCGATTTACACACTGTTTGGGGATTGACCAAGTGAGAATCTCTGTAAATTATGTTTCTCCATGTGAGACCAAATTCAAACGAAAACACGTTCATGTATGGGAAGATCATCACTTGGTTGATGAAGCTAACCAAGACTTGCCTTTGTATATATCAACCAAAAGATGATATAATATCTAAGACTATACGGTAAGTTAATTCTCTATAAAGGTGGTGTACCTCTGAATCAACAATGAATAAGCACTAGGTATTATCAGTTAAAAATCTGGCGCTAAGAGTAAAACAAACCATATTTAACAATATGAAAATGCCTTAGAGAAGAACAAGATCCCATTACGCCACACGCTACTCTGCTTCTGCTTCATAGTCATATTCTTCATCATAATAAGGATCTTCAAGTCTTTCTTTTTTGTACTTGGCTTCTTCTTCTTCTTCTTCAAGTCTTCTGGCCTCTCTAAAACCTTGTAGCCTTACTAGAATGGCAGCAGCATCCTCCTTGCGAGCACGAGATTCATTGCCAGCCTCAACTCCTCCAGGGTAATAATCCAACTCCTGCTTGACAAGCAAAAGAGAAAATTAACAAGTGAGAATGGGAAAGAATCAAATATGTAGTTAGACAATGACAAGGTTTCTTTTGGGGATAGATGCTTACTTCAAGTGCATGTTCTTTACTGAGGATATGCTTGGTGAAACTTTCAAAGCCTAAGAGACCAAGACAGCATCCTGAGCAATAAAATGTAGTTTTACCCGTTGTTCCACTGCACTCCTTCTTGGCCTCTGTTGGAGAAAAAAAACAAAACAAAAAAGAGCTTAATTTGGTGTGTGTTTGAGAGAGAGCGAGAGAGAGAGAGAGAGGAACACACCTGCACGTAAGCTCGCGAGTAAGCTTTCCCAGAGGAAGCACCCTGCACGCCTAGCGAAGACGGTGGGCTCTAGTTGACGATCATATGGAACTTTTGAGCCAAGAACATAGTATTTCTCCGATAGATCGGCAATAAACTGACCGAAGATCCTCTGAAGGGATATGAGCATGACATTAGCCGGAGGCGAATTATCCGACTTCCACATGTACACACTAGTCATAATAGATTTGTTATCTGTTCCAGAAAAAACAATACTTAAGACTCTGTAAAAACACACCAAAAGCAAGGAAAAAAGGTAAAGAGAGTTGAATCTAAAACACTTACACATGGTGGGGTCGTGGGGACGTGATGAAGGTTGATCCCAGTGGAAGAGAGGGCTCGAAGGACGTCAATAGGGACTTGTGATAGTATGCCAATGGCGGTGATGGTGAGATTACCGTTGTAACCTAAACTCTTCAATGCCCGTCTTATAAACGGACCCACACGACGAGCATCAACGTCGGAGGGAACAGGACACCTGCTTAGGTCCCACAAGACCCATGTTGCAAATTTGCAATATCAGCTTGCCTCTTCGTCGCCGCCTTAAGGTCCATCATCGTTCACCCTAATGAACGTAAACTAACGTAGGGTTTTATCAGAAGTAAAACATGTTACACATGTACGTAGAATAATATAACAACTCATTCGCATGATGAAGAAATATAAGGAACTAAACCGATTGGCACAAGGCTGAAAGCTGAAAGCTGAAAGGTGTTATTTGGGTTATTTGGTGTTAGGAAAGAGATCCTTATCATTAAAGCTTAAATATCTGATACACCAACAAATTAAAAAAAAATTTGCTCTGTTCTAATTTATACATTAGGAAAGTGTCTAATTGCTCCATTACACTGATATTATCTTATTTGTCCATACATTAAACCCGGTTTAGTTCTGGTTTTGATAAAAAATTTGATCCGTCGGTCGAAGCAACTTTGGTGGGCCATTTTAATTACCGAATCTCGTAAAAACCCATATGGCATCTTCGTCATCAATCAAATCACGCCACGTGGCTGTAATCGGAGCTGGAGCCGCCGGACTAGTGGCGGCGAGAGAGCTTCGACGAGAAGGTCACTCCGTCGTCGTTTTCGAGAGGCAGAAACAGGTCGGAGGAACCTGGATCTACACCGATCACGTCGAGTCCGATCAGTTAAGCGTCGACCCGACCCGAATCGTCGTTCACTCGAGCGTGTATGGCTCTCTCCGAACTAACCTTCCTCGAGAATGTATGGGATTCAGAGACTTCCCATTCGCGATCCGATCCGAATCAATTGATCCGAGAAGGTTTCCGAGTCACCCTGAAGTTCTAGCGTATCTGCAGGATTTCGCTAAGGAGTTTGGCATCGAGAAGCTGATCCGGTTCGAGACGACGGTCGTGCGCGTTTCTCCGGCGGCGGAAAGCGACGGCGGAGAAGGAATCGGAAAATGGAGAATCGAATCTACAGAGAAGGAGAAGAAAATTCATCGCGATGAGATTTACGATGCAGTTGTTGTTTGTAATGGACATTACATTGAACCTCGTCTCGCTGAAATTCCTGGTAAATTCTCAACATCTCGATTCTCCATAGTAAAGCTTGCTCCATCGAAAAACTTAGGATCGGATTTGAAAAATAGAAACTTCATAAAAACATTGAATCATTTTAGGGATAAGTTGTTGGCCAGGGAAGGAGATGCATAGCCATAACTATCGTCTTCCTTCACCATTCAAAGATCAGGTACTCAATTTTATTTTCAAAATTTCAGATATAATGATTCATTTTCATGGTGGAGAAGAGAATTGTGATACATTTTGAATCATAGGTTGTTGTGGTTATTGGAAGCTCTGCGAGTGCTGTTGACATAAGCAGAGACATTTCCGGGTTTGCCAAAGAGGTTCATGTGGCTTCTTGGTCAAATCCAGCTGATACTTTTATCAAGCAGAACGGTTACACTAACATATGGATGCATTCAATGGTGAGTTTCGCTACTACTTACCGTTGGTTCGATCGAGAGATGAACAACAGTTCTTGAAACGTTTTCTTGAATCTTTATGCAGATTGAGCGTGTCCATGAGGATGGTTCTGCGGTTTTTCAGAACGGGAAAACGGTTTTGGGTGATGTTATAATGCATTGCACTGGTTATAAGTATCATTTTCCGTTTCTTGAAACCAATGGAGAAGTTACTGTTGATGATAACTGTGTTGGACCATTGTACAAACATGTCTTTCCTCCAGCATTAGCACCGTCGCTCTCCTTCGTCGGGATACCATATAGGGTACAAAAGCTCTATATCATTCCTCTCAAGTTTTTTTTTCTTATCAAATTTGGATCTTTCAGGTTTTACCATTTCCTATGTTTGAGCTGCAAAGCAAGTGGATCTCGGGTATTTTGTCGGGTCGGGAAACCAAAACCATGAAGGCCACATTTGAAGGCTTGGGGATTCCTAAGCGATTTACGCACTGTTTGGGGATTGACCAAGTAAGAAGAGTCTCTGTAACTTATGTTTCTCCTTGTGCGACCAAATCCAAACGAAAACATGTTAAATGTTGTTTACTTTTGTGTTGTTTGTTTGACAGTTTGAGTACTATGATTGGTTGGGTTCACAAATTGGGTGCTCAGGAACAGAGGAATGGAGGAAAGAGATGAGTTTGCCTATTTTCTTGAGGAAGATGAAACATCCGGAGAGTTATAGAGACGAATGGGAAGATCATCACTTGGTTTCTCAACCTTACCAAGAATTCTCTTTGTACATATCAACAAAAAATGATGAGATTTTGTAAAAAATCAAATTAGATTTCTCTAAGTACGTTTCAGAGTTGAGTCGATGCGTTTATCGTTCAGTGTACAACTATATTAAAATATTCATATCTCAATGCTTGGGAGCATATGAGATTGCAAATGTTCAGCTTATCAGGTAATGCTTTGGAATTGAACACTTTCATAGCCTCAAAGCTCCTAGTTCGTGTACAGCTAGCTCATCAGCCTTTTGAGAGCTTCAAACCTGAATCACGACCAATTCAAATGGTTAGCATCTCTAATTGTTCCAAGACTTGCAAGTTGCAACTCCTCCACAGTGCTGTGATGTAATGAAACACCAGAAACTCGCAATCTCATCACCTTCAAATCCGTTGGACTTGCAACCCAACGATACTTGAATGAAAGGTTCCATGTGAGATTTAATGAAACCAGCTCTGAGATTCCTGTTATATACAACAGATCCAAAAAACTATCTTCGACAGATACCATAACGATATATTCGTCTCAAACTCTTAGAACAAAACCAACAAAGAGACAACCTTTGACTATCGTCTCTAGTAAACCATACCTTTGTATCAACTCTAGCAATAAGTAGATCATTGATTTTGCTTTCGATGGTATCAACTGTTAAACCATACCTTTATCCTCCTCTCTCAGTTTTTTTTTTTTTTTTTTTGGAGCTCCTCCCTGGTTGTCTCTAAAGCCTTGAGATTCTCTTCAAGATTGTAACTTTGAAAGACTTGATTTTCACATTGGTCATATGATATCGATAAAGAGATATCCCGAGAGCAATCTGGTTTGATTAAAATCAACTGAATATATTACACAACTAATCAAACATTACATAGCGGAAAACATTCCAATCAACTTCAAGCGCAACCATTGTATATGCAAATAAGAAAACAAAAGTCAGAGAGAGCAACACACGGTCCGTAATGGCATGGCATCTCTGAGTTTGAGAGAGAGAAAGGATTCCCGATTCAAAGGCAAATGGCATCTTCAGATTCCAACGAGCTGCATCAGAAATTTCCGTTAGACCTTGTGGCTACATTCTGATAGATCCCAGTAAGGATTACAAATGTTGATCAACGCAATCACAACAATAAACAAGACACAAGTACTTTGGGCAAATTTCTCTGCCTCTTTTTTGGCTTTTCTGATTTATATAGGAAACAAATTGGAACATAACCGTTCCTTACAAACGTGGAAGCAAAGTGCATAAGTGGGAAAAGTAATGTGAGTACTCTGGTCCTAGAAATAAGGAGACTGAGTCCTACTTTGTTATTTGCAGAATTCGAAGAAAATAAATAAAACAAATTACCAAACCGATTAATCCATGTATCGCCGGTTTGGTGTCTTGTGAATTGGTCTTTGGTTTAGTTGTTGACCAATTGCCGTCTTATCACATTCCATAACTACTCTGTAACATAAACAACAAGACAGAGGCATTCAGAAAATGGGAGCAGTTCATAAACCCGAAGAGAATATTATAAAATACGAGAAATTATACATATTTGCATGAAGATAAGAAACGAGTTTTGGTAGCTTCGTCCTCCCATTCAACACGTACAATCCAACTTTCCTCTCTGTATCCTACTACGAGTTCATTTTCACCATGGATGCCACTTTGAGAATCCAGTGGAAGCTTTTTCAGATATGGACATTCGATTACTTCAAATTTCTTTAGACATGGAAAGCGTAGAGGACTCCAGTATATATTCGTAAGCTCCCGTAGATTCCGCAACTTGAGAGAAACCAGCTTTGGAAAAGGAACAATCCCTGATTCTCCACCTTCACAAGCTTTCTTTTCGTTTATTATATCTTCTAGTTGATCTGCATTTCTAACTTCAAGTTCTTTAAGGTTTGAAGCAAACATCAGCAACGTCAGCTCCCTCAGGGAATGGCAGTGCCTTATAGTCACTTTGGTGAGGCTCAAGAAGCATGGCTCAGTCGGATTGTGTAGAGGTGAAACCGTCTTGCTCTTGATGCATATACTTCCCATCTTTATCTCAGATATGGTGCAGTTCATAATGACGAATGACGCATCTTGTTCATGGTTACTGGAATTGCTATTTCAGTTGATTCCAAATCAGAGAACACCAAAACTCCTATACAACTCGTCAACCTATGAGAAGTAATAAATCGCTCCAGAGGTCGATGACTCTTGAATTCTAGGGTTAACACTTCTAAATGCTCCAAGGTTTCTAATTCCTCCACTATGCCGTAATCCCATGAAAAACCACTTAAAGCTAAATCTAGAATCATCAAATTATGCAGTTTTGATATCCCTGCAATACTCGAAAGCTCATTTGTATTTCTGAGATTCAAGTGAATGAGTTTTTTCAACTCTTGTAAACCCTTAGGGAGATGACGTATACCAGTACTTGACAAGTTGAGATATTTCAAAGAAACTAAATCAGATACTCCATCTGGCAAATTGGTGAGATTTTTACTTCCCGATAGATCCAAAACAGCTAGCTTGGCATGGACTTGAAGAATTCACTCGAGATATTTTCCAGAAATCCCCATTGCATGAGAAATGTTTTGAGTTCAAGACATTCAGGACTGCCAGCGAGATTGCGAATCCTATTCTGCATCAGTGACATCCTTCTCACAGTCTTCCAATTGTTAACCTTTGGAATTTCAGTTAACCATGCACCTGCATGCACAATGAAAGCCTCCTTTTCTTTTCCCAATTCAGATGCAATCCACAAGGCCATTTCGCGAACAACATCATGCATACGCACTCGTCTTGTTCCATCCTTCTCAGCCTCCTCTTCCATCAACAATGATGCACGAACAAGATCACCAATTATCTCATACCCCTTGTTCTCAGCCCTCTCTATACCTTCACTTCCATTATAATATCTTCGCATATCAGTAGTTTATCAATATCTTCTTAGAAATGTTATCGTCTTCTGGAAATAAAGCGCAATACAGCAAACATGATTTGACATGCTCCTCCTTAAGATTATCGTAGCTATACTTCAAAAGAGGAAGGATCTTATCTTTCATGTCAGCAAACTCGGTAGCGTACCGAGTCAATTCAGCTATCGTGCTACGCCATTCTTCCACTGTCCTCTTGCATGACATGGTCTCGCCTATGACATTGAGTGCCTAATGGTAGGCCACCACATTTTCTAGCAACTATTCTTGCAAGTTGGGGATCTCCGGATCCTTCCTAATGTTCTTTGTCCAACCTTCTTTTGGAACAAATCAAATGCTTCATTTCCGCCAAACATTGGACTTCCATTGGGTCTTCAACCCCCATGCGAGCACATACTTCTTGGGAACGAGTGGTGAAGACTACTTTGCATCCGTTTTGCGTTGTTGGAAATGGGACTCCAATCTCTGTTAAATCCACCTTCTCCCATATGTCATCTAAAAACAGCACAAATCTCTTTTCTTCAACAAATTATATAACAGATCGGCCTTTTGGCTTTTCTCCACTCCACCAAGACCAATTTTCTGAGCGATTTCATCTTGAATCTTCTCTACATGTAACTCTTTAGACACCACAACCCAAATCACAAAATCGAATCCACACCTCTCTTCACTGAACTTATTGTTGATTTGCATGAGAAGCGTTGTTTTACCTACTCCGCCCATACCATACATACCCATAATACCAACTTCATCTTCCTTGAGATGTTTCCATGCCTTGTCGAGCATTGTTTCTTGACCGACAATTATGGGTTGAAGTTGTCTTTCCTGCACCTCAAGGGTTTGAGATTGCTCAACAATTACTTCAAATACTCTACAACTGAGTTCCTTAACATCCGTCAACGTCAAGAAAACCTTTTTCCCATAACGACAACTCGATCTCAATCTTAAACTCTTAGAGCAAAACCCACAAAGACAAAGCCTTTGAAGTTCATCATCTCTAGCACTAAGAAGATCATTGACTTTTTTTTCAGTAGTCTCAACTCTCTTAAGCCATACCTTGATTTCGCCAAGCCTTTGATGACCTCTGTCCTCCTCTCGTGTGACCCTTGTTAACAGATCATCACGCTTAGCCCTGAGCTCTTCCATGGTTGTCTCCAAAGTCACAAGATTATTCTCCAGATTATGTATATAACCTACTTTCTCGTTAATCCAGCTAGAGACTTTGTTTACACACGGATCAAGAGATATCGAGAAAGGGTTGCCCATTTTGCAAAAAGGAAAAGAGATCTCAGATTTGAGATTTTACTTGTCTGAGCAAAACCAGAGAAGATGCAGAGAAATAATTGAAGTTCAGACAAATTCGCTGACCAGAAGAAACAATTAATTGTACCAACAAGGTTTATAATACTCACTAAAATTTCCGAAAAATTAAGGTTATTATATTGACAAGATGATTTATAAACATTAAATAAAAATGAATTCATGATCTCTTGATTACTTGACTTCTCGTTATTTGTGTTTGAGAGAAGTAGAAGATTCAGGAAGAGATCTGCAAATTAACGATAAGAGTTAAAAGAATTGTTTCTCCTGCAATTTCAGAGAGATTTTGATTCTGCGATAGATAAGATGCACATCTCAGCGACCTTCTCGAGTGATGCATCAAAATGTTATTTGCCCACAGGCAATTTAGGTCTAAGCAAAGAGAATAATATCTTGAGAGGCACGCCAACGTCTCTCAATGCAAGTTTTACATTCCTACTTACTACCCAGACTTAACCCGGTTTAGTTCCGGTTATGATAGAAACGTTCAGAATCTAATTCCTCAAAGCGACTTTGGTGGGCCATTTTAATGAAAGAATCTATACTATATAAAAATTGAGGCTATAAGCTTCTAAGAGTGTCCACATAGAATTTTAAAACGCGATTTGATTGGTCCATGTAAGTACTAACGATATTAAGAAAGTTTCCAAATTTAAACAACCAATAGTATCAGTCCACATCAGCATATAAATTAGGTAATTTTCCAAATTTTAAACAACTGATAGTATTAATCTATATCATCATCTAAAATTAGCTATACTTTTTAATTTGTTAATTTCTTTTATGTTTCAAGAAAATTAATTAATACAGCCGGTTTAAATTAAAAACTCCACAAGTCCAAAGTAATTAAATTAAGATTTGTTTTCTTTTTGTTAAAAAATTAATTTCCTATATTTTAAAAATTATATTAAAAACATTTGTGTAACTACAATATTAGTTATAAATAATTAAATAAACCTAAATGTGAATTCTCTTTGACCGAAATTAAGTTTTATAAATAAAATGGAAGTTACACCTTAATAAATGAAGAATTGTTCTAAGCATACAAAGCCAACGTTGCAAGAGAGTCAGTCTCAACATTACATAATCTATAAATAAAAAAAGGAGAAAAAAAAGCGTAATGTCCTGTGGACGACATATGAATTCATTTTGAATTTCTTTTTAAGTGATTAGAGATTAAGCTTTGGGAGGTAAAACAAAAATATCAAGAAAACAGTAACATACTAGATAAAACTTTCTTCATCTTAGGACATTCAAAAAAAATGGCCAAAAAAGTAAATAGTTTGTTTGGATTACTATGGAGCAAAAGAATTCAAAGGAGAATTAATAGTCCAACCCATACTACAACTTATCGAGAAAGCATTCCACACCCTACATCAAAAAAAAATTCTTCGTATTTGAGAGGATATTGGAAGTCAAACGGAAAGGGAGAGAAGAGGTTAATGTCTTAGTTAAGCTTTGGGTATCATTTCATTCATGGGCATACTTCACAATCACATCCTTTAAGAAGATTTCATCTTTATTTCAAATCATGATATTCAGTTAAGAGAAGATCACAGGCTTTTCAAAATGCCAAAATATATAAGAATAAAGAAGTATAGACAATAAAATTATTAGGGGCATAATAATCATCTTGCCTACATCTTCAAGGAGTTCTAAAAAAATGTGAATTTGCCATAAATTTATTGAGAAGAATGGCTGGATTCTAGACTCAGACTATAGAAGGATATATAAAGAAGATATGGAGACCGTCTCTTTAGTAGGCATACTAACTTAAAAAAGTCAGATCAAAAAAATATTCTTCCCACAGAACACATATGTTAACATTATGAGTATTTAGACTGCAAATATATGTGTTACGTTTTTATATATATATACAAAAAAGAATTGAAAAAATAGTATTTAATGTAAAATTTTATTTGAAAAACGATTTATAAAGAAAAAAAATGAGGATTTGAGTAATCTCAAATAATTTTTGGTTATTAGATAGACGAAAACATTTTCGTTACCGGGATTTGATCTAAATAACACTTTCAAGACTTGATCTCAACAAGATATTAGTATATCTAAAAACTTTGGTTTTCCATAGAATTTTGGTATTAACAGATTCGAATATTTTAGTTGATGAGTTTTGCAGTTTTTAAAAAAAAATTCATTAGAAATATACATTAAACCAGTTTAAAATACAGATCCGCGCGTGCGCGGGTGAAAGTCCTCGTCTCTAAGAATAATTACCGAGAATCTCGTAAAAACCCATATGGCATCTTCGTCATCAATCAAATCACGCCACGTGGCTGTAATCGGAGCTGGAGCCGCCGGACTAGTAGCGGCGAGAGAGCTTCGACGAGAAGGTCACTCTGTCGTCGTCTTCGAGTGGCAGAAACAGGTCGGGGGAACCTGGATCTACACCGATCATGTCGAGTCCGATCCGTTAAGCGTCGACCCGACCCGACTCGCCGTTCACTCGAGCGTCTATGGCTCTCTCCGAACGAACCTTCCTCGAGAATGTATGGGATTCAGAGACTTCCCGTTCGCGATCCGATCCGGCGAATCCAGAGATCAGAGGAGGTTTCCGAGTCACGGTGAAGTTCTAGCGTATCTGCAGGATTTCGCTAAGAATCCTAAGTTTCGCATCGAGGAGCTGATCCGGTTCGAGACGACGGTCGTGCGCGTTTCTCCGGCGGCGGGAAGCGACGGCGGAGAAGGAATCGGAAAATGGAGAATCGAATCTACAGAGAAGGAAGAGAAAATTCATCGCGATGAGATTTACGATGCAGTCGTTGTTTGTAATGGACATTACATTGAACCTCGTCTCGCTGACATTCCTGGTAAATTCTCAACATCTCGATTTCTCCATAGTAAAGCTTGCTCCATCGAAAAACTTAGGATCGGATTTGAAAAATAGAAACTTCATAAGAACATTGAATCATTTTCAGGGATAAGTTCTTGGCCAGGGAAGGAGCTGCATAGCCATAACTATCGTCTTCCCGAACCATTCAATATTTTTTTCAAAATGTCAGATTCTTATGTATAATACTTCATTTTCATGGTGAAGAATTGTGATACATTTAGGTTGTTGTGGTTATTGGAAGCTCTGCAAGTGCTGTTGATATAAGCAGAGACATTTCCGAATTTGCCAGAGAGGTTCATGTGGCTTCTTGGTCAAATCCAGCTGATACTTTTACCAAGCAGAACGGTTACACTAACATATGGATGCATTCAATGGTGAGTTTAGCTGTAATTCGTTGGTCAGATCAAGAGAAGATATAATAACAGTTCTTGAAACGTTTTCTTGAATCTTTATGCAGATTGAGCGTGTCCATGAGGATGGTTCTGTGGTTTTTCAGAACGGCGAAACGGTTTTGGGTGATGTTATTATGCATTGCACTGGTTATAAGTATCATTTTCCGTTTCTTGATACCAATGGAGAAGTTACCGTAGATGATAACTGTGTTGGACCGTTGTACAAACATGTCTTTCCTCCAGCATTAGCACCGTCGTTCTCCTTAGTCGGGATACCATATAAGGTACAAAGCTCTAAATCATTCCTCTCAAGTTTACATCTGAACAAATTTGGATCTTTCAGGTTTTACCGTTTCCTATGTTTGAGCTGCAAAGCAAGTGGATCGCGGGAGTTTTATCGGGTCGGATTATGCTTCCTTTAAAGGAAGATATGATGGTGGAAACCAAAACCATGAAGGCCAGATTTGAAGCCTTGGTGATTCCTAAGCGATTTACACACTGTTTAAGGATTGACCAAGTAAGAAGAATCTATTTAACTTATGAGACCAAATCCAAACGAAAACATGTTAAATGTTGTTTACTTTTGTGTTGTTTGTTTCACAGTTTGAGCACTATGATTGGTTGGGTTCACAAATTGGGTGCTCAGGAACAGAGGAATGGAGGAAAGAGATGAGTTGGCCTATTTTCTTGAGGAAGATGAAACATCCGGAGAGTTATAGAGACGAATGGGAAGATCATCACTTGGTTGATCAAGCTTACGAAGATTTCTCTATGTATATATCAACAAGAAGATGAGATTTTGTAAAATCAAAGGAGATTTTCTCTATGTTTCAGAATACGTTTATTGATCAATGTACAAACTATATTCATAAGATTGCAAATGTTCAGCTTATAAGGTAATGCTTTGGAATTGAACACAGCTTCCATTAGAAAATAATATGATAAAAACTAAACCTTGAAAGAAACGAGTTTTGGTAGCTTCGCCTTCCCACTTAACATTTTCGATCCATTCTTTTTCTCAGTATCGTATGATACGTCCATAAATTCTAGATAAACAAGAGACATCCAGAGAGAAATCTGGTTTTATTAAAATCAACTGAAAATATTACACAACTGATCAAATAGTACACAGCGGAAGACATTCCAATCAACTTCAAACGTAAACATTGTATAGATGTTGATGCAAATAAGAAGAAAAAACTCAGAGAGAGCTACACACGGTCGTAATAATGATTTGAGAGAGAGATAGAGAGAAGAGATTATCTTTAGATGAAAGGCAAATGGCATCTTCAACTTCCAACGAGCTGCATCAGAAATACCTTGTGGTTAATATCCATATTCACTCTGTAACATAAACAAAAAGACAGAGGCATTAAAAAAATGGAAGCAGTTCATAACCCGAAGAAAAATCATATGAAAACAAATAAGAAATACGAGAAATTATACCAATTTGCATGAAGATAAGAAGCGAGTTTTGGTAGCTTCGTCCTCCCATTCCACACCTTCAATCCAACTTTTCTCATTGCAATTAAGACGAGTCCATTTTCACCATGCATGCCACTTTGAGAATCCAGTGGAAGCTTTTTCAGATTTGGACAATTCTTACATTGAATTCCTTTAGACATGGAAAGCGTAGAGGACTCCAATAGATATTCTTTAGCTTCGGTAGACTCCCCAACTAAGAGAAACCAGCTTTGCAAAAGGAACAATCCCTGATTCTCCACCTTCACAAGCTTTCTCTTTGTTTATTATATCTTCTAGTTGATCTGCATCTGAACAGAAGTTCTTTAAGATTTGAAGCAAACATCAGCAACGTCAGCTCCCTCAGGCATCGCAATTATATATACACTTGGAGAGGCTCAAGAAGCATGGCTCTTTCGGATTGTGTAGAGGAGAAACCGTCTTGCTTTTGTTGCATATACTTCCCATCTTTATCTCAGAGATAGTGCAGCGCAATGCTGAAATAACGAAGCTTGTTCATGGTTACTGGAATGCTATTCCAGTTGATTCCAATTCGATCTCAGAAATCGTGTACAACTCGTCAACCTGAGAGCTAAAAATAGCTCCAGATGTGGTGGACATGGATTTGTAGGGTTAAAATTTCTAAATGCTCCAAGGTTTCTAATTCCTCCACTATGCCGCGATCCCATGAAAAGCCACTTCCAGCTAAATTCAGTATCATCAAATTATGCAGATTTGATATCCCAGCAATACTCGAAAGCTTACGTGTATACCGAGATCCAAGTGATGAGTTTTTTCAACTCTTGTAGACCCTTAGGGAGATGACGTATACCAGTATCTGACAAGTTGAGATACTTGCAAGGAAACTAAATCAGATACTCCATCCGGCACTTTGGTGAGATGTTCATTAAATGATAGATCCAACACCTGTAGCTTCGGCATGGACTTGAAGAATTCACTCGAGATATTTACCAATTCTCCCCGTTGCATGAGAAAAGTGTGAGTTCGAGACATTCAGGACTGCCAGCTAGATTGCGAATCTTATTCTTCATCAGTGACATCTTCTCACACTGTTCCAATTCTTAACCTTTGGAATTTCACTTAACCCTACACCTGCATGCACAATGAAAGCCTCCTTTTCTCTTCCCAATTCAGATGCAATCCACAATGCCATTTCGCGAACAACATCATGCATACGCACACATTCTGTTCCATCCTCTTCCATCAACAAAGATGCACGAACAAGATCACCAATAATCTCATACCCCTTGTATCTGGCCCTCTCTATACCTTCACTTCCATCTATAATACCTTCGCCTATCAAGTAGTCTATCAAATTCTTTTTAGAAATCAGATCATCTTCTGGAAATAAAGCACAATACAGCAAACATGATTTGACATCCTCGCCCTTAAGATTATCGTAGCTATACTTCAAAAGCGGAAGGATCTTATCTTCCATGCCAGAAAACTCTGTAGCGTACGAAGTCAAAACATTTATCGCGTGACGCCATTCTTCCACCCTTCTCTTGCATGACATGGTCTCCCCTATGACATTGAGCGCCAATGGAAGGCCACCACATTTTTAGCAACCTCTTTTGCAAGCTCATGGATCTCTGGATCGCTTCCTAATATTCTTTCTCCAACCTTCTTTTGGAACAAATCAAATGCTTCAATTTCCGCCAAACATTGGACTTCCATTGTTCTTCAACCCTCATGTGCGCACATACTCTTGGGAACGAGTGGTGAAGACTACTTTGCATCGGTTTTGTGGTGCTGGAAATGGGACTCCAATCTCTATTAGATCCACCTTCTCCCATATGTCATCTAGAAACAACAAAAATCTCTTTTTCTTCAAGAAATTGTATAAATCTTTGGTCTTTTGGCTCTTCTCTTTTTTCTCCCACTTCTCTCCACCAAGACCAATTTTCCCAGCGACTTCATCTTGAATCTTCTCAACCCGTAACTCTTTAGACACCACAACCCAAATCACAAAATCAAATCCACACCTTTCTTCACTGAACTTATTGTTGAGCTGTGTGAGAAGTGTTGTTTTTCCTACTCCGCCCATACCATACATACCCATAGTTCCAACTCTATCTTCCTTGAGATGTTTCCATGCCTTCTTGAGCATTGCTTCTTGACCAACAATTATCTGTTGAGGTTGTATTTCCTCTATCACAGCTGACTCAGCTTGATCAGTAACCTTTTGAAAAACTATACTACGGAGTTCCTCAACCTCCTTCAACGTCAAGAAAACCTTTTTCCCGTAACGGTAACTGGATCTTAAACTCTTAGAGCAAAACCCACAAAGACACAGCCTTTGAAGTTGAACATCTCTAGCACTAAGAAGATCATCGACTTTTTTTCGATAGTTGCAACTCTCTTAAGCCATACCTCGATTCGGCAAGCCTTTGTGACGTCTATCCTCCTCCTCCTCTCTTGTGACCCTTCTTGACAAATCATCACGCTTAGCCTTGAGCTCTTCCATGGTTTCATCCAGAGCCGTGAGATTCTTCTCAGATTATGAATATAACCTACTTTCTTGTCAATCCAGTTAGAGATTTTATTTATACACGGATCACAAGGTATCGAGAAAGGATTGCCCATTTTGCTGAAAGGAAAAGAGATCTGAGATTTGAGAATTTTACTGATCTGAGCAAACCAGAGAAGATGCAAAGAATAATTGAAGTCTGAAGATAAGTCTTTCTTCTCCTCCACAATCCTCCGATCGAGTGGGTCCAAATCACTGATTTTTCTTGGAAATTTTGCTTATTTGATTTCCATAATTCTCACGTTCACACACTTGGTTGTTGACTTTGGTGGGGCATACTAATCACACCGAAGAAGAACAACAATTTGAGAATCTTCGTTGATAATTAATTGAACCTCTCATCTCGCTGAAATTCCTGATAACTAACTTTCCTTTGATAATTAATCCCATAGTAACGTTTGTCGACGTTGGTGGGACAAAGTACTAACCACAAAGTCTATCCATTGTTGACTGAAAGAAAACTTGAGACTCACGTAAACCCAAATCCCACCATGCGTCTATTATCAGTTATCACCCGCCAGAGCGTCGACGGGAACGTCAAGGATATGAGGAGGTTTCCGACTCAGGGATAACTTCTTGGCCACGCAAGGATATGCATCGTCAAAATTAGCGTATTCTTGAATCATTCGAAGATCAGGGTCGCAATTATCAAAGATCAAAATTTCAAGCGAGTATTGCGGCTACATTGACTTAGTATATCATTTTAGCTCCTACGTAGCACTTCACTTACCCTAATTAAAAATAAATAAAAAATGAATTCATGATCTCTTGATTTCTTCTCTTTATTTGTGATTGAGAAGTAAGAGATTGCAAATACCATTACAGCCAGAAGCATCGTTTTCTCCTGCAATTCAGAGAGATTTTGATTCTGCGATAGATCCAAAACAGCTAGCATAAACAAAGAATATGCACATCTCAACAACCTTCTTGAGTGATGCATCAATAAGAGCACACAACTGGCGATCTTTCAGATTCTCCGAAATTCACTTCTCTGTAGTATCCATTCTCTCTAAACACGTAAGCAAACTTTTGGCTCCCTTTTCTTTGTCTCTAAAACAAACCACCACAACTTTTTTCATCAATAAAGAAACACCCATTTTTACGTGAAATATATCTCATTGGATTCAAGATTCGGTCATCCTCTACTACGAAGACCTTCCTCCACGACACTTCGTTTGTAGGCTTGTGGCCCATATCTCCATGACTCCATCAGCTCTAACATGCAACTGATTAGTGTGTATGATTTTAGTGGAAATCTCCTCAACAAGCGTATCACTTATGCCAACTGATTAATAATAGATGAAGCAATATACTAAAGACTGATCAAGTGATACTATCCAAAAGCAGAATATTTTCATACAACAAGAAAAAAATAATGAATTGATCGATGGTCGTCTTAACTTCTTTTTATCCTGATGATCTTAACAACACTACAAGTAAGTTCCAAATGGCAGGTTTAATATTATGTGATACAGCAGCATAAAGAGAACATCACTAGGATGGGACATGGGAAACACGGCAGAAAAAAACAAAAAAAACGAATGTAAAGTAGATCATGCAAGAGACAAAATTGGTTTGTTTCAAATGTATACATTAGGAAGTTTCTAAATTTGCTCCATGACACTACAGTTCTCTTATTCTTCCATATATTAAACCCGGTTTAGTTCCGGTTTTGATAGAAATGTTAATAATCTAGTCCGTCGTAAAAACCAAAATGGCATCTTCGACATCAATCCAATCACGCCACGTGGCTGTAATCGGCGCTGGAGCCGCCGGACTAGTCGCGGCGAGAGAGCTTCGACGAGAAGGTCACTCCGTCGTCGTCTTCGAGAGGCAGAAACAGGTCGGAGGAACCTGGATCTACACCGATCGTGTCGAGTCGGATCCGTTAAGCGTCGACCCGACCCGAATCGTCGTTCACTCGAGCGTCTATGGCTCACTCCGAACTAACCTTCCTCGAGAATGTATGGGATTCAGAGACTTCCCATTCGCGATCCGATCCGGCGAATCCAGAGATCAGAGGAGGTTTCCGAGTCACGGTGAAGTTCTAGCGTATCTGCGAGATTTCTCTAAGGAGTTTGGCATCGAGGAGCTGATTCGGTTCGAGACAACGGTCGTGCGGGTTTCGACGGCGGAGAAGGAATCGGAAAATGGAGAATCGAATCCACAGAGAAGGAGAATAAAATTCATCGGGATGAGATTTACGATGCAGTTGTTGTTTGCAATGGACATTACATAGAACCTCGTCTCGCTGAAATTCCTGGTAAATTCTCAACATCTTGATTCTATGAAATCATTTCAAAAACAGAAACTTCATTGGAACATTTGAAAAACTATGAATCATTTTCAGGGATAAGTTGTTGGCCAGGGAAGGAGATGCATAGCCATAACTATCGTCTTCCACAACCATTCAAAGATCAGGTACTCAAATCATTGATGAAACCAATGTCAGATTTTTTATGCAAAAGATTCATGTGAAGCTTGTGCTGCATTGCATTGGATTATAGGTTGTTGTGCTGATTGGGAACTCTTCAAGTGCTGATGATATAAGCAGAGACATTGCTGGATTTGCCAAAGAAGTTCATGTGGCTTCTTGGTCAAATCCAGCTGATACATACATCAAACAAACTGGTCACACTAACCTGTGGATGCATTCAATGGTGAGCTTTTAGCTCCTGAGTAGTAGTAGTTATTGTAGTTTCTTGATCAATGTTTTTCTTGAATCTCCTCCAACGCAGATTGAGCGTGTCCTTGAGAATGGTTCTGTGGTTTTTCAGAATGGGAAAACAATTTTGGCTCATGTGATAATGCATTGCACTGGGTAATGATATATTATAAAGCTCTGATTTTTCTTGAAACTTAATTAAAGCTCATTCCTTTTTGCTTTTAAAGGTATAAGTATGACTTCTCGTTTCTTGATACCAATGGAAGTGTTAGTGTAGATGATAATCGTGTTGGTCCATTGAACCAAACCTGAATCATATAACCAATTCCTATGGTTAATATCTCTAATGGAACACCAGAACCTCACAATCTCAATGCTTTCAAATCAAGTAGACTTGATACCACAATAGATATTCGAAAGGTTTCATGTGAAGTTCAAATTCAAGTAAATCAACTTCTTCAACTCTTGTAAGCTGAGACTCAGACATTGTATATATTTTTTTTGACATGTTTAGATACTGCAATGAAACCAGCTCTGTTTCTCTTCTGTCAACTCCAAGAGATTTCTGTTATCCAACAGGTCCAAAACAACTAGCTTCGACAGGTACCATAACGATAACTTGGTCTCAGACTAGGCTTTCAAGTTTCAATGGTACCTCTCTCTCCACCATTTTTGTTAAACCATCATGCCTTGCACGGAACACTTCCATGGTTGTCTTGATTTTCACACTGATCACACGATATCGATAGAGAGAGAGAAATACAACTTTCCATATTTCAGATAAACAAGAGATATACAGAGACCAATCTGGTTTTATTAAAGACAACATAAAATATTACACAACTAATCAAATAGTAAACAACGGAAAACATTCCTATCAACTTCAAAAGTAAAATGTTGATGCAAATAAGAAAAACCAAACTCACATAGAGCAACACACAGTGAGTGGTAGTGATTTTAGAGAGAAGAGAGATTATATTTGGATGAAAGGCAAATGGCATCTTCAACTTCCAACAAGCTGGATCAGAAGATAAACCTGGTATGCCTTGTGGCTACGATCCGTACTTCCACTGTAACAGAAACAAAAAGAAAGTTCACATCCTGAAGCGAAAAATCATACGAAAACAAATAAGAGAAAACGAGAAATTATACCAATTTTCATGAAGATAAGAAGCGAGTTTTGGTAGCTTCGTCCTCCCATTCCACACCTTCAATCCAACTCTTCTCACTGCAGTATATGACGAGTCCGTTTCCACTTTGAGAATCCAGTGGAAGTTTTTCAGATTTGGACAATCTTCTACAAAGATCTTCTTTAGACATGGAAAGCGTAGAGGATTCCAATAGATATTCTTTAGCTTCGGTAGACGCACCAACTAAGAGAAACCAGCTTTGCAAAAGGAACAATCCCTGATTCTTCACCTTCACAAGCTTTCTCTTTGTTTATTATATCTTCTAGTTGATCTGCACAACATGAAGTTTTTTAAGATTTGAAGCAAACATCAGCAACGTCAGCTCCCTCAGGCATCTGCAATTCATATATATACACTTGGAGAGGCTCAAGAAGCATGGTCTCTCGGATTGTGTAGAGGAGAAACCGTCTTGCTTTTGTTGCATATACTTCCCATCTTTATCTCAGAGATAGTGCAGTTCCTAATGCGAAATGACGCAGCTTGTTCATGGTTACTGGAATTGCTATTCCAGTTGATTCCAATTCAAGATCCCCAGAAATCGTGTACAACTCGTCAACCTGTAAGAACTAAAAATAGCTCCAGATGTGGTGGACGATGATTTGTAGGGTTAAAATTTCTAAATGCTCCAAGGTTTCTAATTCCTCCACTATGCCGCGATCCCATGAAAAACCACTTCCATAAATTCAGTATCATCAAATTATGCAGATTTGATATCCCAGCAATACTCGAAAGCTGATGTGTATACGAGATCCAAGTGAATGAGTTTTTTCAACTCTTGTAGACCCTTAGGGAGATGACGTATACCAGTATGTGACAAGTTGAGATATTGCAAGGAAACTAAATCAGATACTCCATGGCACTTTGGTGAGATTTATTATATGATAGATCCAACATGTGTAGCTTCGGCATGGACTTGAAGAATTCACTCGAGATATTTACCAAATCTCCCCGTTGCATGAGAAAAGTTGTGAGTTCGAGACATTCAGGACTGCCACGAGATTGCGAATCTTATTCTTCATCAGTGACATCCTTCTCACAGTGTTCCAATTCTTAACCTTTGGAATTTCACTTAACCCTACACCTGCATGCACAATGAAAGCCTCCTTTTCTCTTCCCAATTCAGATGCAATCCACAAGGCCATTTCGCGAACAACATCATGCATACGCACTCGTCTTGTTCATCCTCTCAGCTCTTCCATCAACAAGATGCACGAACAAGATCACCAATTATCTCATACCCCTTGTTCTCAGCCCTTTCTATTCCTTCACTTCCATTGATAATATCTTCGCATATCAAGTAGTCTATAAGTTCTCTTTAGAAATCTGATAATCTTCTGGGAACAAAGCGCAATACAGCAAACATGATTTGACATCCTCGCCCTTAAGGTTATCGTAGCTATACTTCAAAAGCGGAAGGATCTTATCTTCCATGCCAGAAAACTCTGTAGCGTACGAAGTCAAAACATTTATCGCGTGACGCCATTCTTCCACCGTTCTCTTGCATGACATGGTCTCCCCTATGACATTGAGCGCCAATGGAAGGCCACCACATTTTCTAGCAATGTCTTTTGCAAGTTGGGATCTCTGGATCGCTTCCTAATGTTCTTTCTCCAACCTTCTTTTGGAACAAATCAAATGCTTCATTTCCGCCAAGCATTTGACTTCCATTGGGTCTTCAACCCCATGCGCACATACGTCTTGGCGACGAGTGGTGAAACTACTTTGCATCGGTTTTCTGGTGCTGGAATCGGGACTCCAATCTCTATAAGATCCACCTTCTCCCATATGTCATCTAAAAACAGCACAAATCTCTTTTCCTTCAAGAAATTGTATAAACGTAAGCTTTTTTTATTCTTGTCCTTTTTCTCCAATCCTCTCCACCAAGACCAATTTCCTGAGCGATCTCATTTTGAATCTTCTCTACATGTAACTCTTTAGACACCACAACCCAAATCACAAAATCAAATCCACACCTTTCTTCACTGAACTTATTGTAGATTTGCTTGAGAAGCGTTGTTTTCCCAACTCCGCCCATTCCATACATACCCATAGTACCAACTCCATCTTTCATGAGATGTTTCCATGCATCATCGAGCATTGTTCTTGACCAACAATTATCTGTGGAAGTTGTATTTCCTCTATCACAGCTGTCTCAGTTGAGGTTTGAGCTTGCCCACAAACCTCTCCAAATTCTTTACTCTTAAGTTCCTCAACCTCCTGCAACGTCAAGGAAACCTTTTCCCCGTAACGATAACTCGATATTAAACTGTTAGAGCAAAACCCAAAAAGACACAGTCTTGCAAGTTCATCTTCTCTACGGCCAATAAGATCACTGACATTTTTTTCGATAGTCGCAACTCTCTTAAGCCATACCTCGGTTGTAGCAAGCTTTTGCCGACCTCTTTCTCCTCTGTGTGACCCTTGATTCAAATCTTCACGCTTAGCTCTGAGATCTTCCATAGCCTTCGCCAAAGCCTCAAGATTCATCTCAAGATTTTGAATATAAATTCCTTTCTCTTGTAGCCATTGAGAGATTGGATTTATACACGGACCTAAGAAAGAGAGGAAATTCCCCATTTTGCAGAAAGAAAAGTTTCTGAGATTTTGAGATTAACCAAACGAGAGAAGATGCAGAGAATAATTGAAGATAAGACTTTCTTTCACGTCCACAATTCTCGATCGAGTGAGTCCAAATCACTGATTTTTCTTGGAAATTTTGGCTTATTAGATTTCCATAATTCTCATGTTCACACATTTTGGTTGTTGACTTTGGTGGGACATACTAATCACAAAGTCTCTCTGACTCCCTGCGCATAAGTATCACTTCAATATTATCTTCTCTAACAGAAGATAGAGTCATAGTATCGTTTCTAACATCACAGTCAAACGGTAGATGAAGACGCGGTCAAAATCTCTCTCTTGTAAAATCAAAACAGAGTAAAATTGTTTTTCAGAACCAAAAGCTGTGTGATCTTTGGTTAAATCGTTCCATCCTTTGCATGATGACGACCTCTCATCTCTCTTAGAGAAGTTATAGGAACCCTAGAGAGTATCTCCTCTACCAAATCCTGCGAAAGGTTGGACATCATCTTCATCTTTTGTCAAATAACAATTAGGGTTTGTAACTTGCCATGCACTCTTTTTATATAATACAAAGAGACATCTTCCGCTTTAAAAAAGTCGTTTCCTTTTCCAACGTGGAATCTAAAGTTCTAAATAATTAAATATGTTTTTTTTTTAAGGGAAAATTTGTTGCTACTAAATTAGTAAAATGGAAATTCCGTATTTGAGATCCTTATTGCTCTGCTTTTTCCCTTTCTAATTCCCAAAACAGAGCAACAACAACACGAACACATATTGCAACTTGTTGTAAGTGATAACTATGTAAAGATAAACAAGTATCTCTTGTTCTTACTCGTAAGGTTCCATGTATACTCCAAAATCAAGTAAAGTCACTGATCACATGATATCGATATAGAGATACAACTTCCCATGTTTTAGACAAACAAGAGATGTCCAGAGAGCAATATGGTTTGATTAAAGTCAACGGGTAATATTACACAACTAATCAATCACAAAGGAAGAGAAGGCTAATGGCATGTTCAACTTCCAAGGAGCTGAATCAGAAGATACGTGTTATGCCTTGTGGCTACAACCCAAACTAAGACTGTAACATAAACAAAAACAAAAGAAAGACAGAGGCATTATATTAAAATATAGAAGCATGTCATAACCCTTAAAAAACATTATACGAAAACAAAGAAGAGAATACGAGAAATTAATTATACCAGTTCGCAAGAAGATACAAAGCGAGTTTTGGTAGCTTCGTCCTCCCATTCCACACCTTCAATCCAACTATTCTCTTTGTACTTTACGACGAGTCCGTTTCCACCATGCATGCCACTTTGAGAATCCAGTGGAATTTTTTTCAGATTTGGACATCTGAAGACACTGAGTTGCTTTAGACATGGAAAGGGTAGAGGACTCCAATAGATATTCTTTAGCTCAAGTAGACACTCAAACTTGAGAAAAACCAGCTTTGCAAAAGGAACAATCCCTGTTTCTTCACCTTCACAAGTTTTCTCTTTGCTTATTATATCTTCAAGTTGATCTGCATTTCCAACGTCAAGATCTTTAAGATTTGGAACAAACATCAGCAACGTCAGCTCCCTCAAGCATCTGCAACTATTTATTTTCACTTTGGATAGGCTCAAGAAGCATGGCTCTCTCGGATTGTGTAGGGGAGAAACCGTCTTGCTTTTGTTGCATATCCTTCCCGTCTTTATCTCAGGGATAGCGCAGTCATGAATGCTGAAATAACGAAGCTTGTCCATAGTTACCGGAAGTGATAGTCCATTTGATTCCAGATGCGTAGTCCTGATCTTTAGAGATCGTGTACAACTCATCAACCTATCAGATCCCAAAATCTTTAGACCTCCACGATGATTGATTCCTGTGCTGAAAATTTCCAAATATTCCAATGTTTCCAACACTTCCACTCCGCACAGAGCCAATGACAATCTGAAACCATATAGTTTCAGAACTTTCAAATTAGGCACCTTTAGTATCCGAGCGATACTCCCCAAGTTCGGTGTATTCTCCAAATCCAAGTGAATTAGTTTTTTCAACTGTTGCATTCCCAGAGGCAAATTACTTATACCAGTACCTGACAGGTTGAGATATTGCAAAGAAACCAAATCTGATATTCCTTCAGGCAATTCACGGAGCATATGATTACCTGATAGATCCAAAACAGCTAGCTTTGGCATGGACTTTAAGAATTCACTTGAGATACTTTCCAAATTCCCGTTTTGCAATAGCAAAGTTGTGAGTTGGAGACATTCAGGACTGCCAGCGAGATGGTTAATCCTGTTATTCATCAATGAAATCCTTCTCACACCGTTCCAATTCTTCACCTTTGGCATTTTATATAACCCAACACCTGCACAAGCAATGAAAGCCTCTTTTTCTTTCCCCAAGTGAGATGCAATCCATAACGCCATTTCACGAACAACATCATGCATACACACCCTTTTTGTTTCATCCGGTTCAACCTCCTCCATCAACAATGATGCACGAACAAGACTACCAATAACCTCATAACCCTTGTTCTCAGCCCTTTCGATACCATCACTTCCGTCTATGATCCCTTCGCATATCCAGTAGTCTATTAGTGTTTCTTTAGAAATTCTATAATCTTCTGGAAATAAAGCGCAATATAGCAAACACGACTTGACATGCTTCTCCTTCATATTATCGTAGCTATATTTCAAAAGCGGGAGGATCTGATCTTCCATGCCAGAAAACTCAATAGCGTATGAAGTCAAAACATCTACCGCGTGATGCCATTCTTGTATGGTCCTCTTGCATGACATGGTTTCACCTATGACATTGAGCGCCAATGGAAGGCCACGACACTTTCTAGCAACGACTTTTGCAAGGCTGAGGATCTCTGGATCGCTTCCTAGTGTTATTTGTCCAACCTTCTTTTGAAACAAATCAAACGCGTCGTTGTCTGCTAGGCATTGGACTTCCATTGGGTCTTCAACCCCCATGCGCGAGCATACATCCTGAGAACGAGTGGTAAATGCCACTTTACATCGGTTTTTTGCTATTGGAAACGGAATTCCGATCTCAGCTAAGTTCACCTTCTCCCATAAGTCATCTAAAAACAACAAAAATCTCTTTTTCCTAAAGAAATTGTATATAACATCGGCTTTTTGATTTTTATCCTTTTTCTCCCACTCTTCTCCACCACCAAGACCAATTTTCTGAGTGATTTCACGTTGAATCTTCTCTACATGCAACTCTTTGGACACCACAACCCAAATCACAAAATCGAATCCCCGCCTTTCTTCACTGAACTTATTGTAGAGTTGTGTGAGAAGCGTTGTTTTTCCCACTCCGCCCATACCATACATACCCATGACACCAACTCCTTCTTCCATGAGATGATTCCATGCCTTTTCCAGCATTGTTTCTTGACCAACAATTATCGGTTGAAGTTGTCTTTCATCCACTTCAGATGTTTGAGCTTGCTCAACAATCACTTCAAATTCTCTACTTTTGAGTTTCTCCGCCTCCCTTAACGTCAAGAAAACATTTTTCCCATAACGATAACTCGATCTTAAACTCTTAGAGCAAAACCCACAAAGGCACAGCCTTTGAAGCTCAACAGTTCTAGCAATAAGAAGATCACTGACTCTGTTTTCCATAGTCGCAACTCTATTAAGCCATACTTGGAATCCTGAAAGCCTTTGTAGACCTCTATCCTCCTCTCTTGTGACCATTCTTGACAAATCATCACGCTTAGCCTTGAGCTCTTCCATGGATGTCACCAGAGCCGTGAGATTCTTCTTGAGATTATGTATATAACCTACTTTCTCGTCAAGCCAGTTAGAGATTTTGTTTATACACGGATCACAAGGAATCGAGAAAGAGATGCCCATTTTCCAGAAAGGAAGAGAGATTTGAGGTTTGAGAAATTTTACCGATACAGAGAAATAATTGAAGATAAGACTTTCTTTCTCGTCCACAATTCTTTAGTAAGTCTGAATCACTGAATTTTCTTGGAAATTTTAGTTATTTGATTTCCATCACACTTGGTAGTAGACTTTGGTGGGACATACTAATCACAATTCACAAAGTCTCTCCATGGCTAACCGAAGTCTCTAATTAGAGAATCTTCGTTGATAATTATTTCCAAAATAACGGTTGTTGACTTTGGTGGGACATCACTGTATATAGAGTAACCACAAAGTCTCCGTTGTTGACTGAAGAAGAAGACTTGAGAATCACGTAAAACCCAAATCGCACCACGTGACTATCATCACCCGCCGGAGCGTCGACGGGAACGACACTGGGTGGTCGTCTTCAACAGGCTGTCAAGAAATAGAAACCTCATGGATAAAATCAACCCAATTCCGTGACCCGAACCGTCTTCCAATACAGAGATCTGAGGAGGTTTCCGTCTCATGGATAACTTCTTGGCCACGGAAGGAGATGCATAGACTCATGATTAGCGTACTCTTCATGAACCATTCAAAGATCAAAATTTGAAAACTTGCTCTGTTCCAATTTATACGTAGAAAAGTGTCTAGTTGCTTTTGCTTCATTACACTGAATGCTCTTATATTTCCATTAAATCCGGTTTAGTTCCGGTTTGGATAGAAACGTTAATAATTAATCTTTAGGTTAGGTGGGCCACTTTGACGACAGAATCTCCATGGCTTGAGACTTGACTGACTGTCTGACTGACCCAAGAATTATTGAGAATCTCGTAAAAAATGGCATCATCAATGAAATCACGCCACGTGGCTGTAATCGGAGCTGGAGCCGCCGGGCTAGTTGCGGCGAGAGAGCTCCGACGAGAAGGTCACTCCGTCGTCGTCTTCGAGAGGCAGAAACAGGTCGGAGGAACTTGGATCTACACCGATCACGTCGAGTCGGATCCGTTAAGCGTCGACCCGACCCGAATCGTTGTTCACTCGAGCGTCTATGGCTCACTCCGAACTAACCTTCCTCGAGAATGTATGGGATTCAGAGACTTCCCATTCGCGATCCGATCCGGCGAATCCAGAGATCCGAGGAGGTTTCCGAGTCACGGTGAAGTTCTAGCGTATCTGCAGGATTTCGGTAAGGAATTTGGCATCGAGGAGCTGATTCGGTTCGAGACGACTGTTGTGCGCGTTTCTCCTGCGGCGGAAAGCGACGGCGAAGAAGGAATCGGAAAATGGAGAATCGAATCTACAGAGAAGGAGAAGAAATTCATCATGATGAGATTTACGATGCAGTTGTTGTTTGTAATGGACATTACATAGAACCTCGTCTCGCTGAAATTCCTGGTAAATTCTCAACATCTTGCATCTATGAATGAATCATTTCAAAATCAGAAACATTTGAAAACTATGAATCGTTTCAGGGATAAGTTCGTGGCCAGGGAAGGAGATGCATAGCCATAACTATCGTCTTCCACAACCATTCAAAGATCAGGTACTCAATATTTTTTCAAAATGTGAGATATGATTCATTTTCATGGTGGAGAAGAGAATTGTGATACATTTGATTCATAGGTTGTTGTGGTTATTGGAAGCTCTGCAAGTGCTGTTGATATAAGCAGAGACATTTCCGGATTCGCCAAAGATGTTCATGTGGCTTCTTGGTCAAATCCAGCTGATACTTTTATCAAGCAGAACGGTTACACTAACATATGGATGCATTCAATGGTGAAATAATGGTTTTTGAAACGTTTTCTTGAATCTTTTTTATACAGATAGAGTGTGTCCATGAGGATGGTTCTGTGGTTTTTCAAAACGGGGAAACGATTTTGGTTGATGTGATTATGCATTGCACTGGTTATAAGTATCACTTTCCGTTTCTTGAAACCAATGGAGAAGTTACTGTTGATGATAACTGTGTTGGGCCATTGTACAAACATGTCTTCCCTCCAGCGTTAGCACCGTCGCTCTCCTTCGTCGGGATACCATATAAGGTACAAAGCTCTAAATCATTCCTCTCAAGTTTTTTTTTCTTATCAAATTTGGATCTTTCAGGTTTTACCATTCCCTATGTTTGAGCTGCAAAGCAAGTGGATCGCGGGTGTTTTGTCGGGTCGAATCAAGCTTCCTTCGAAGGAAGATATGATGGTGGAAACCAAAACCATGAAGGCCACATTTGAAGGCTTGGGGATTCCTAAGCGATTTACACACTGTTTGGGGATTGACCAAGTAAGAAGAATCTCTGTAAACTTATGTTCCTCTTTGTGAGGCCAAATCCAAACGAAAGCATGTTAAATGTTGTTGTTTACTTTTGTGTTGTTTGTTTGACAGTTTGAGTACTATGATTGGTTGGGTTCACAAATTGGGTGCTCAGGAACAGAGGAGTGGAGGAAAGAGATGAGTTTGCCTATTTCATGAGGAAGATGAAACATCCGGAGAGTTATAGAGACGAATGGGAAGATCATCACTTGGTTGCTCAAGCTTACCAAGATTTCTCTTTGTATATATCAACCAAAAGATGAGATTTGTAAAAATAAAGATGAAAGCGCTTCTATTTCGTGTACAGCTCATCATCCCTGTGAGAGCTTAAGAACTGAACCAAACCTGAATCATATAACCAATTCCTATGGTTAATATCTCTAATCTTGCCAAGACTTGTAACTCCTTCACCGTGTTGAGATCTAACGAAACATCAGAACCTCGCAATCTCAACACCTTCAAATTTAGTAGACTTGATACCCCAACGATACTCGAAAGTTTTCACGTGAAACTCCAGATTTAAGTGAAGTAACTTCTTCAAACTCTTATAGAAGCCGAGAGGTATATTTCAAATGTCTTTGACATGTTGAGATACCAGCTCTGATATTCCTTGTAGACTCTCCGAGAGATTTCTGTCATACAACATATCCAAAACAAACTAGTTTCCCATATTTTAGACAAACAAGAGAGATCCAGACAGAGCAATTTGGTTTGATTAAAGTCAAAAGGAAAATATTACACAGCAGAAAACTTCAAACGAAACCATTGTATGAATGTTGATGCAAATAAGAAAATATACTCACAGAGAGCAACACACACAGAGTGAGTGATAGTGATTTTGAGAGAAGAGAAGAGAGAAAAGCTTTTTGGAACAAAGGCAAATGGCATCTACAACTTCCAAGGAGCTGCATCAGAAGATACCGTTATACCTTGTGGCTACAATCCAAACTACACTGTAACAAAAACAAAAAGACAGAGGCATTAAAAAAATGGAAGCAGTTCATAACCGAAGAAAAAATCATACGAAACAAATACGAAGAATACAGAAATTATACCAATTTGCATGAAGATAAGAAGCGAGTTTTGGTAGCTTCGTCCTCCCATTCCACACCTTCAATCCAACTTTCCTCTTTGTATTTAAGACGAGTCCATTTTCACCATGCATGCCACTTTGAGAATCCAGTGGAAGCTTTTTCAGATTTGGACATTCTTACATTGAATACTTTAGACATGGAAAGCGTAGAGGACTCCAATAGATATTCTTTAGCTTCGGTAGATTCTCCAACTTAAGAGAAACCAGCTTTGCAAAAGGAACAATCCCTGATTCTCCACTTCACAAGCTTTCTCTTTGTTTATTATATCTTCTAGTTGATCTGCCAACTAAGTTCTTTAAGATTTGAAGCAAACATCAGCAACGTCAGCTCCCTCAGGCCTCTGCAATACTTATATTCACGTGGAGAGGCTCAAGAAGCATGGCTCTTTCGGATTGTGTAGAGGAGAAACCGTCTTGCTTTTGTTGCATATACTTCCCATCTTTATCTCAGAGATAGTGCAGCCTAATGCTGAAATAACGAGCTTGTTCATGGTTACTGGAATTGCTATTCCAGTTGATTCCAATTTCGAGATCCCAGAAATTCGTGTACAACTCGTCAACCTGAGAACTAAAAAATAGCTCCAGAGTGGTGGACATGATTTCTAGGGTTAAAATTTCTAAATGCTCCAAGGTTTCTAATTCCTCCACTATGCCGCGATCCCATGAAAACCACTTCCAGCTAATTCAGTATCATCAAATTATGCAGATTTGATATCCCAGCAATACTCGAAAGCTATGTGTATAACCGAGATTCAAGTGAATGAGTTTTTTCAACTCTTGTAGACCCTTAGGGAGATGACGGATACCAGTATCTGACAAGTTGAGATATTCAAAGAAACTAAATCAGATACTCCATCCGGCACTTTGGTGAGATTTATTAAATGATAGATCCAACACCTGTAGCTTCGGCATGGACTTGAAGAATTCACTCGAGATATTTACCAAATCTCCCCGTTGCATGAGAAAAGCTGTGAGTTCGAGACATTCAGGACTGCCAGCTAGATTGCGAATCTTGTTCTTCATCAGTGACATTCTTCTCACACTGTTCCAATTCTTAACCTTTGGAATTTCATTTAACCCTACACCTGCATGCACAATGAAAGCCTCCTTTTCTCTTCCCAATTCAGATGCAATCCACAATGCCATTTCGCGAACAACATCATGCATACGCACACTTCTGTTCCATATTTCCATCCTCTTCCATCAACAAAGATGCACGAACAAGATCACCAATTATCTCATACCCCTTGTTCTCAGCCCTCTCTATACCTTCACTTCCATCTATAATACCTTCGCCTATCAAGTAGTCTATCAAATCTTTTTAGAAATCAGATCATCTTCTGGAAATAAAGCACAATACAGCAAACATGATTTGACATCCTCGCCCTTAAGATTATCGTAGCTATACTTCAAAAGCGGAAGGATCTTATCTTCCATGCCAGAAAACTCTGTAGCGTACGAAGTCAAAACATTTATCGCGTGACGCCATTCTTCCACCCTTCTCTTGCATGACATGGTCTCCCCTATGACATTGAGCGCCAATGGAAGGCCACCACATTTTCTAGCAACTCTTTTGCAAGCTCAGGGATCTCTGGATCGCTTCCTAATGTTCTTTGTCCAACCTTCTTTTGGAACAAATCAAATGCTTCATTTTCCGCCAAACATTGGACTTCCATTGGGTCTTCAACCCTCATGCGCACATACTCTTGGGAACGAGTGGTGAAGACTACTTTGCATCGGTTTTCTGGTGCTGGAAATGGGACTCCAATCTCTATTAGATCCACCTTCTCCCATATGTCATCTAGAAACAACAACAAATCTCTTTTTCTTCAAGAAATTGTATAAATCTTTGGTCTTTTGGCTCTTCTCTTTTTTCTCCCATCTCTCCACCAAGACCAATTTTCCAGCGACTTCATCTTGAATCTTCTCTACATGTAACTCTTTAGACACCACAACCCAAATCACAAAATCAAATCCACACCTTTCTTCACTGAACTTATTGTTGATTTGCTGTGAGAAGCGTTGTTTTCCTACTCCGCCCATACCATACATACCCATAGTACCAACTCTATCTTCCTTGAGATGTTTCCATGCTCTTTCGAGCATTGTTCTTGACCAACAATTATCGTTGAAGTTGTATTTCCTCTATCACAGCTGACTCAGCTTGATCAGTAACCTTTTGAAAAACTATACTACGGAGTTCCTCAACCTCCTTCAACGTCAAGAAAACCTTTTCCCGTAACGATAACTCGATCTTAAACTCTTAGAGCAAAACCCACAAAGACACAGCCTTTGAAGTTCATCATCTCTAGCACTAAGAAGATCATTGACTTTTTTTCGATAGTCTCAACTCTCTTAAGCCATACCTGATTTCGGCAAGCCTTTGCTGACGTCTATCCTCCTCCTCTCTTGTGACCCTTCTTGACAAATCATCACGCTTAGCCTTGAGCTCTTCCATGGTTGTCACCAGAGCCTGAGATTCTCTCAAGATTATGTATATAACCTACTTTCTTGTCAATCCATTAGAGATTTTATATACACGGATCACAAGGTAGGAGAAAGGGTTGCCCATTTTGCAGAAAGGAAAAGAGAATCTAGATTTGAGAATTTTACTGATGTGACCAAACCGAGAGAAGATGCAGAATAATTGAAGTCTGAAGATAAGACTTTCTTCTCCGTCCACAATCCTCGATCGAGGAGTCCAAATCACTGATTTTTCTTGGAAATTTTGCTTATTGATTTCCATAATTCTCACGTTCACACACTTGGTCATTGACTTTGGTGGGGACATATATACTAATCACCGAACAAGAACAACACTTGAGAATCTTCGTTGATAATTAATTGAAATTCCTGATAATTAACTTCCTTTGATTATTAATTCCATAATAACGGTTGTTGACGTTGGTGGGACATATATAGTTGACTGAAGAAGAAAACTTGAGACTTACGTAAAATCCAATTCCCACCAGAGCTTCGGCGGGAACGTAACTCGGTGGTCGTCTTCAAGAGGAACAGAAACCTCCATCATGTCAACCTGATGGAGAGCGGAAGCTAGATAAACTCGATGATCGTTGATTCCCAAGAATAGCCGTTCAAACGAGGGTTCTTGATAATCGTTGATTCTCAAAGAATACCGATAACAAGGATAAGATGAACTGAAAAGTTCTATGTTTATTCAATAATCATAAGCTGTCTTACAATAGAACCTAGTGGCTAACTTATATACTTAAACGAAACCCCTAACGTAGTTAAGAAACAGAGTCGAAAGCCCAAATGAAAGAAAAGCCCAATAACAAATAAAAGGCAACATCACGGTGAAGATCATGGAGACATGATCGAGTGAAGATGCGCTGCATCAGGTCCCCCGGGGTAAGAAAAGATTCGTCCTCGAATCTGGATCATTGTCAAAGCAGGCAAGCGGAATTACTCCACCAACAATAGCAGATCAAATACACACGCACAGATGTTGTTACACTAACGGTAACGTAGCTTGGGACATTGAGTGTTGGGAAGTGAACACCAATCCTCATTTTGGAGACTAAAACTGTATATTCCACCAATAGTTGTAGAAATGTCAACAAAGAACTCCAACTGCGTGATTCGCATGACAAGTCCTTCACAATGACGAAGACAATAAAACCTAGTTTGCTTGGTGCAAAATCAGCCACAAAACACCACAAAACCACCCATATTGGCTTCGGCTGGTCACGTATACATCCCTTGTCCACGTTTGAGAACGCTGATTGCTCAAGCACCTCGATTAAGCTCAAATGTAACGCCTCCTTACTATGAACTTTCGTAACATCGTAAGAGAATCCCACTGGTGAGATATGAACATTGCTCTTTCTCTTTAAAGAAGCTTCATATGGTAACTGATATTGGGACGGCCTAGTAGAACAAAACAAAAGCTCTTGTAAATCTCCAAAACTGAGTTTCCCTAGGATCTTCAGAACAAGCCGACGAATACAACTACATGGTCGCATCCAATGACGAAACCACTTTGTAACCAGCGAGTGCCAAATGTAACTACAAACCTCAACGTTCACAGAAATTATCCATGCGAGAAGATGCATGTTGTTCGTTTGGTCTGAAACGTGAATATCATACTCATGTGACCCAAAAGCAACGTCCACTCGCCTCAAACCCCTTGCGATGTCATAAGAGAGTCTAAATCGAGTCGTACGCATAGCTCCATATACTCTGTTATAAACGTCATAGTAGAAGCCACGTCGTAACGGAGTGAGAAAGAAGAATCTCCACTGCACCGTTGTGAACCTTGGAGGCAGGGAAAACATCATGTTTTGATCCCAAAGCGGACGCTTAAAGGAAAACTCTTTCCAGCAAATTACCATGTCGTCGACTACAAGATATTCCAGCTGAAATCCATGATGAGAAGAGTAAGGTAAAGAATAATGCGAACTCCAGACTTCCGTAAGCTTCAAGTCAAAAAGCTCCAAGAAAAGACAATGATCATAAGAAGTCACATCTTCACAATTTAGATCCCACTCAACGCACGTGTATCTCATTATGTTCCCAAAGAGATCCACCGTTGCCAACACATAAAGATTTTCCTGCCATGTGGCTTGTAAAGCAACAATTTGCTTTATTAATTCCCACGTGATAATGGACAATCCATTGCATGGTGGTAATAGCAAAATAGAGGTGTTGCAACAGACATGAAAAACAGAGCTATCGTAAAACAATAACTTGGGTGATTGACAGATAACCTCACGCCATTGAATATATGTATTAGACGTGTCTTGATAAACCCATATTGTGTGACACAAAACAGCCATTTTCCACGTTAAATTTCCACATTGCAACCCACAAAGCCACAAAACGGTCGGAAAGAACACAATTGGCATGATCGTAGACGTGAAAAGGAGAAGCCCAAAAGCTTTGGGATTCCATGGTGGCCACAAAAACTTGAGCTCCTCTTTACTAGCCATGGTAGCGGCACCTTGAGACATTAAGAACCAGAAAAGAGAGAACAAACAAGTAGTTTGTGGGACTTTCACAAGCGGTGCTTCACCAATGTCACTGTGAATTGAAAACTCCACGGAAAACACCACACTACGCATAAGAAAAACCCACTTGACTATGATCTTGTGCTTCCATTTTCCCCCAAAACAAATGTAATCATGCATGAGACCAAACATGCGCAGATGTAGTAGATACGGCACATTCAACATAGCGGCAAGTATTAAGAGATCTTTCAAAGTATTTGTGTGTTCCACAAAACAAGTCGAGCATATAGTGTTCACGTTGGCTAAATTCCCTGAAGTATCCACATAAGATTTCATGTCATGCAAGAGAAAATCTTTATCTGGCTCCACAGAAAGACTTTCACGTTGGGTGCTTCGAAGAAATTGGTAGTAGTGTAAATATGATATCCTTGAGAAAGCTCCATTAATGAGTACGGCATCGGAGAAATCAATTACCACCTTCAAAACAAGCCAGCAAATAGAACTATCCCATCTTGTCCGTGAATGTAACCATTGCGAGACCAGCTCGTGTCGTACATAACGACCAACATCAAAGTCGTCTAGTATTAACCATGCGAGAATAAGCTGAAAACCAGAGCCGTCAAAACCAATGTGAAAAATATAGCTAGAGCAAAACGGCGACTCTCTGCTTGAACCCCTGTCCACAATCGAGTGATCTAATACAAGAACATCTACTCCACTCATTGTGACAAAATTTGTGTAACCCAAACCAAAATCCGAAGTATGGACATGTGTACTCATCAGTGAAACGAGCCTTAGCTTCTCATTAGTAACTTGGATTTTGTCACATTTCGATGAATCATCATAGCCCTTAACCGTGAATTCATCATTACAAACAGTACCAATCGGATCATCTCTATTGACACCAATAAACGGATCACCATAAACCTTGTGGTAGAGATTTTTCTTTTTGAGGTGAAAAGGATTATCACGTTGATAATGATCTGGCGGTTCACGATCTGGTGGTTGGCCATTGATCTGTCGATGATACTGATTAAGATTAAAAAAAATTACCTTGATGTCTTTTAGCTATGTGATTCACCATGTCTTCATGATAAGATGAAAATACGATCCCATCAGTCTTGCATAAAGCAGAATTAATATATTGCTTCCCTTGACCTACATTCGTATCTTCGTCCTCCTCACCAAGTTTATTTATTACTTGAACATATTCTGCTGGTCCAAGTTTTACGTCTTCCTTTCTTTGAATTCCTAAGAACTTGATATACTCTTCATCATAAACATCAAAGATTGGATTTGCATCATCACGGTCATGACAAATCTGATTAGCACCATCAGAATCACAAAGGCGGAAGATCGGATCTGCCTCATCATAGACATCGTAGATTGGAGCTCCATAAAACTCGTTGTAGAGATCTCCTACAGCTTGATAATGGTTCTCGTCGTCAATTTCTTCAACCTCTTCGTCAAAGATTGAATCATCCCCTTGGAAAAAAATTGGCGGGTGTTGGTTAGCCAAGATTAACGCGTCTAGGGCACTTACCATGGACTCTCGCAACACGTCACACATAGTTTGTTGAAACTCCGCTAGAGCTTCTCGCAAAGCAATAACTTGCTTGTTCCTCTATCGATGTAGTTTATGTCTTGGCGGCATGATAAAAGGACCGAACCTTGATTGAGAAACCAAAGTGCTGTCTCTGGTACCAACTGATGGAGAGCGGAAGCTAGATAAACTCGATGATCGTTGATTCCCAAGAATAGCCGTTCAAACGAGGGTTCTTGATAATCGTTGATTCTCAAAGAATACCGATAACAAGGATAAGATGAACTGAAAAGTTCTATGTTTATTCAATAATCAAAAGCTGTCTTACAATAGAACCTAGTGGCTAACTTATATACTTAAACGAAAACCCTAAAGTAGTTAAGAAACAAAGTCGAAAGCCCAAATGAAAGAAAAGCCCAATAACAAATAAAAGGCAACATCACGGTGAAGATCATGGAGACATGATCGAGTGAAGATGCGCTGCATCACAACCTGGATCCGTTAAGCGTTGACCCGACCTGACCCGACATCTTCGAATACAGAGATCTGATGAGGTTTCCGACGTAGGGATAACTTCTTGGCCAAGGAAGGAGATGCAAAGTCATAATAATTAGCGTATATATTCTTGAAACATTTTAAGATCAGGGTCGCATTTATTCACATATCATAAATAACAATACAGCTAAAAGCATTATTTCTCCTGTAATTCAGAGAGATTTTGATTCTGCGATACATCCAAAACTGCTACTATCAACAAAGAATATGCACATGCACATGCTCAACAACCTTCTTGAGTGATGCATCAAAATGTTATTGTCCACAGACAATTTAATTAGGTATTAATCATATAAGAGAACTTGAGAGACACGCCCACTTCTCTCAATGCCACAGTTTAGTTTTTGATCAAAAGGGACATAGGAAACACGGTGTGAATTAAAAAAAACAAAAATGAATGAAAAGAAGATCCATGCAAGAAACAAACAAGTTTTTTTTGAAAAATATTACATATAATCTCGTTCTTTCCTTTTGCCACATGCACGTACTGGGCCTTGCTGGATCTGCACCGAACTCGGAGCATAAGAGCACATAAGTGGCAGATGATTAGATTCCCTGAGAACAATTATTTCTTTGAAGTATCCATTCTCTTTAACCATGTAAGCTCTGTTGTCGGTTATAACCCAAACCACTACGACTTTCTTGTCTTCATCAATAAAGAAACTCCCACTTTGAACTGTAATGTTTTTTATTTATTGAGATAAGGATAAATATTGGGAATTAGATTTGTTATTATCAAGTTGTATTTGGATTAGGACTACTTATTAGGATAAGGATTGATCTCTTTTTGTATATATACATGTTGTACACAATCAATACAAGCAACCTTTTCCAAAACGTTTCATGGTATCAGAGCAAGTTTTCCTCACCTGAGCGATTTTTTCTTTTCTCATATACTCTCCGTTCTCTGTTTTCCCGTTAACTCGAAAACATGTCGGCGAGTGAATCTTCTACAATCTCTTCTACAATGTCTTCTACTATGTCTTCTACATTCTCTTCTACAAGTTCCTCAGCTATGTCTACTATTATTCCGAGCTCCTCCATCTCGGATCCTGCTTACACACTTTATTCTTCGGATAACCTGGGTACTCTGATCACTCCGGTTCTTCTCCGTGGTGATAACTACTCCGAATGGGCTACTAAGCTTTGGAATTCTCTACAAGCTAAACAAAAGATCGGATTCATCGATGGTACTATTGTGAAACCAGAGACGAATCCTGATCTTGCTCGTTGGACTGCTACTAACTCCATGATTGTCGGATGGATACGTACATCCATCGATCCCACGATCAGATCTACTGTTTCTCATGTTCCTGATGCACACAAGCTCTGGAACGCTCTTCAACGTCGGTTTTCCGTCAACAACAGTGTCCACAGACATCTCCTTACTGATGATATCACCAACTGCAGACAGAACGGACAACCAGTTCTAGAGTACTACGGTCGTCTTTCTAAGCTATGGGAAGAGCTTCAGAACTTCCAAACCTCTCGGTCTTGTTCTTGCGATGCATCTGTTGATCTAGAAAGAGAACGAGAGGAGGCTCGGGTTCACAAATTTCTTTTTGGACTCGATGAAGCTCGTTTCAGCTCGATTCGATCTCAAATCATAGACGAAGACCCACTTCCGGATTTGAACTCTGTTTACTCTCGTATTGTACGAGAAGAGCAACATCTCACGATGCGCTCCAAGGATATCAAAAACGAGGCTGTTGGTTTCTCTGTCAAATCGGAGTCACCACATTCATCTACTCCATCTGCTGCAGCTGCTTTTCGTAGTCGTGATCCTGCACGTTCTTGCACCCACTGCAATCGTAAAGGACATGATGTTTCCGAGTGTTTCGCTCTTCATGGATACCCTGAATGGTTTCTCAAACAGCAAGCTGCACAAGGACGAGGCGCTCCTTCCCAGCGTGGTCGTGGAGGCCGCACAACTACTTCTGCAGGTCGTGGCCGAGGCAGAGCTAACACTACCCGTACAGCTCCTCTCCACGGCACCGATACCTCCATCACCAACGTTGCTCCTTCACATGCCTCAGATCAAATTGCCGCCTTGATCAGCCTCCTTCAGAACCAACAAACCCAGTTATCCATTGATCGTCTGTCTGGTAAAACTAAACTCATTGATGTTATTATCGATACAGGAGCATCACACCATATGACGGGTGATTTATCTCTTTTACGAGATGTACGAGACATCGTTCCCTCTGCGGTTTTGTTTCCGGATGGAAACACTTCTCGTGCGATCAAACTCGGAACCTTGTCTCTCAATGATGATTACTTTCTACGAGATGTTCTTTACATACCAGATTTCAACTGCACCTTGATTTCTGTTTCTAAGCTCCTGAAACAAACAGGATGCATTGCTATCTTTACTGATACTCTATGTGTTGTATAGGATCGTTTCTCGAGGACCCTGATTGGAGCAGGTGAAGAGAGAGAGGGGGTCTACTATTTTACGGGAGTCACGGTCGCGCGGTCCCATCATGCTACAAAGGACAAGACATCTCCTTCTGTGCTTTGGCATCGCAGACTTGGTCATCCCTCCTACAAAGTGTTATCGGCTTTACCGGTGTTCAATAGTTTTAAGTTTGATTTCAGTCATGTGAATTCGTGTGACATCTGTTTTCGCGCTAAACAAACGCGTGGTGTTTTTCAAGATAGTCTTAATAATACGAGTGCTCCTTTTGACTTAATCCATTGTGATGTTTGGGGTCCCTATCGTACGCTTTCTTCTTGTGGTGCTGCATATTTTCTAACCATTGTTGACGACTACTCACGATCTGTTTGGACTTTCTTGATGCTTGAGAAATCAGAAACTAAGGGTCTCATACAGAACTTTTGCGCCATGAGTAGTAGACAGTTCGGGAAACCAGTTAAACGAGTACGTAGTGATAATGGAACAGAGTTTATGGTGCTTTCTACCTTCTTTCGTGAACAGGGTATTGATCACCAAACTTCGTGTGTCGATACGCCTCAACAGAACGGTCGTGTGGAAAGGAAACACAGGCACATTCTCAATGTTGCTCGTGCTTGTCTTTTCCAAGCTCGTTTACCGGTTACCTTCTGGGGAGAAAGCATCCTCACTGCCGCTCACATCATCAATCGCACTCCATCCTCTGTTCTTGACGGTAAAACCCCTTACGAGTTACTACATGGAACACCACCTAAGTATGATTTACTGCGAGTCTTTGGTTGCCTTAGTTATGCACATCGACGCGGAAGAGACAAGGATAAGTTTGGCGATCGCAGCAGGAAGTGTCTCTTCGTCGGTTACCCCTTTGGCAAGAAAGGCTGGCGTCTCTATGATCTTGAAAGGAATGAATTTTTTACAAGCCGAGATGTTATCTTCCTTGAAGACGAGTTTCCAGGAATTCCTGATACTGAGTATGTTTCTCACCCTGTATATCAACCCGATGTTGGCGTCGACGATTGGTTACTTCCTTCTTTATCTACTCCTTCAACGATGGTGAATTCAGCTCCTCCTGCGATTCCCTCAGCTGAAGCTACTCCTATAATACCTACTACTACTGATACAACCGTCACGGCTGATTCTCTCATACCAGCCTCTGTTACTTCTTCTCCAAATTCCCCTGTAACTCCGATAGAAGCTGAGTCTGATGCTACTCCTGAACCTTCATCTCCAGGACTACATCAACTCCTCGGCAGGGGTCATCGTCAACGACAGCCATCAGTTCTTCTTAAGAACTTTGTTACCAATACCGCGACTCTCCGTGACACACCCTCTCTCGCTTCATCTACATCCTCTCTTGGTTCTCCAGATTCGATTCCAGGTACACCACTCTACCCTATCTCTAGTGTTTTATCTGATGCGAGTTTCTCTCCTTCTCATAAAGCATTCATCGCGGCTATCACTGCTGCGGTTGAGCCAACAACATACAATGAGGCTATTAGAGATAAGATATGGCGCGAATCAATGAAGGAGGAGGTGTGTGCATTGGAGATCAATAAAACGTGGATTGTTGTTGCNTCCTTCGAATAACCCGGGTACTCTGATCACTCCGGTTCTTCTCCGTGGTGATAACTACTCCGAATGGGCTACTAAGCTTTGGAATTCTCTACAAGCTAAACAAAAGATCGGATTCATCGATGGTACTATTGTGAAACCAGAGACGAATCCTGATCTTGCTCGTTGGACTGCTACTAACTCCATGATTGTCGGATGGATACGTACATCCATCGATCCCACGATCAGATCTACTGTTTCTCATGTTCCTGATGCACACAAGCTCTGGAACGCTCTTCAACGTCGGTTTTCCGTCAACAACAGTGTCCACAGACATCTCCTTACTGATGATATCACCAACTGCAGACAGAACGGACAACCAGTTCTAGAGTACTACGGTCGTCTTTCTAAGCTATGGGAAGAGCTTCAGAACTTCCAAACCTCTCGGTCTTGTTCTTGCGATGCATCTGTTGATCTAGAAAGAGAACGAGAGGAGGCTCGGGTTCACAAATTTCTTTTTGGACTCGATGAAGCTCGTTTCAGCTCGATTCGATCTCAAATCATAGACGAAGACCCACTTCCGGATTTGAACTCTGTTTACTCTCGTATTGTACGAGAAGAGCAACATCTCACGATGCGCTCCAAGGATATCAAAAACGAGGCTGTTGGTTTCTCTGTCAAATCGGAGTCACCACATTCATCTACTCCATCTGCTGCAGCTGCTTTTCGTAGTCGTGATCCTGCACGTTCTTGCACCCACTGCAATCGTAAAGGACATGATGTTTCCGAGTGTTTCGCTCTTCATGGATACCCTGAATGGTTTCTCAAACAGCAAGCTGCACAAGGACGAGGCGCTCCTTCCCAGCGTGGTCGTGGAGGCCGCACAACTACTTCTGCAGGTCGTGGCCGAGGCAGAGCTAACACTACCCGTACAGCTCCTCTCCACGGCACCGATACCTCCATCACCAACGCTGCTCCTTCACATGCCTCAGATCAAATTGCCGCCTTGATCAGCCTCCTTCAGAACCAACAAACCCAGTTATCCATTGATCGTCTGTCTGGTAAAACTAAACTCATTGATGTTATTATCGATACAGGAGCATCACACCATATGACGGGTGATTTATCTCTTTTACGAGATGTACGAGACATCGTTCCCTCTGCGGTTTTGTTTCCGGATGGAAACACTTCTCGTGCGATCAAACTCGGAACCTTGTCTCTCAATGATGATTACTTTCTACGAGATGTTCTTTACATACCAGATTTCAACTGCACCTTGATTTCTGTTTCTAAGCTCCTGAAACAAACAGGATGCATTGCTATCTTTACTGATACTCTATGTGTTGTATAGGATCGTTTCTCGAGGACCCTGATTGGAGCAGGTGAAGAGAGAGAGGGGGTCTACTATTTTACGGGAGTCACGGTCGCGCGGTCCCATCATGCTACAAAGGACAAGACATCTCCTTCTGTGCTTTGGCATCGCAGACTTGGTCATCCCTCCTACAAAGTGTTATCGGCTTTACCGGTGTTCAATAGTTTTAAGTTTGATTTCAGTCATGTGAATTCGTGTGACATCTGTTTTCGCGCTAAACAAACGCGTGGTGTTTTTCAAGATAGTCTTAATAATACGAGTGCTCCTTTTGACTTAATCCATTGTGATGTTTGGGGTCCCTATCGTACGCTTTCTTCTTGTGGTGCTGCATATTTTCTAACCATTGTTGACGACTACTCACGATCTGTTTGGACTTTCTTGATGCTTGAGAAATCAGAAACTAAGGGTCTCATACAGAACTTTTGCGCCATGAGTAGTAGACAGTTCGGGAAACCAGTTAAACGAGTACGTAGTGATAATGGAACAGAGTTTATGGTGCTTTCTACCTTCTTTCGTGAACAGGGTATTGATCACCAAACTTCGTGTGTCGATACGCCTCAACAGAACGGTCGTGTGGAAAGGAAACACAGGCACATTCTCAATGTTGCTCGTGCTTGTCTTTTCCAAGCTCGTTTACCGGTTACCTTCTGGGGAGAAAGCATCCTCACTGCCGCTCACATCATCAATCGCACTCCATCCTCTGTTCTTGACGGTAAAACCCCTTACGAGTTACTACATGGAACACCACCTAAGTATGATTTACTGCGAGTCTTTGGTTGCCTTAGTTATGCACATCGACGCGGAAGAGACAAGGATAAGTTTGGCGATCGCAGCAGGAAGTGTCTCTTCGTCGGTTACCCCTTTGGCAAGAAAGGCTGGCGTCTCTATGATCTTGAAAGGAATGAATTTTTTACAAGCCGAGATGTTATCTTCCTTGAAGACGAGTTTCCAGGAATTCCTGATACTGAGTATGTTTCTCACCCTGTATATCAACCCGATGTTGGCGTCGACGATTGGTTACTTCCTTCTTTATCTACTCCTTCAACGATGGTGAATTCAGCTCCTCCTGCGATTCCCTCAGCTGAAGCTACTCCTATAATACCTACTACTACTGATACAACCGTCACGGCTGATTCTCTCATACCAGCCTCTGTTACTTCTTCTCCAAATTCCCCTGTAACTCCGATAGAAGCTGAGTCTGATGCTACTCCTGAACCTTCATCTCCAGGACTACATCAACTCCTCGGCAGGGGTCATCGTCAACGACAGCCATCAGTTCTTCTTAAGAACTTTGTTACCAATACCGCGACTCTCCGTGACACACCCTCTCTCGCTTCATCTACATCCTCTCTTGGTTCTCCAGATTCGATTCCAGGTACACCACTCTACCCTATCTCTAGTGTTTTATCTGATGCGAGTTTCTCTCCTTCTCATAAAGCATTCATCGCGGCTATCACTGCTGCGGTTGAGCCAACAACATACAATGAGGCTATTAGAGATAAGATATGGCGCGAATCAATGAAGGAGGAGGTGTGTGCATTGGAGATCAATAAAACGTGGATTGTTGTTGCATTACCACCAGGGAAGAATGCCATTGGGAGCAAATGGGTTTTCAAGATAAAGCACCACTCGGATGGCATGATTGCTCGTCATAAATCTCGTTTGGTGGCGCTTGGAAATCGACAAAAGGAAGGTCTTGACTATACAGATACTTTTGCTCCTGTTGCCAAGCCTTCTACAGTTCGTATACTACTTAATATCGCTGCTGCAAAGAATTGGGAAGTCCACCAAATGGACGTTCACAATGCTTTTCTCCATGGCGATTTGGAGGAGGAGGTCTACATGAAGCTTCCGCCTGGCTTCGAGGGATCTGATCCATCTAAGGTCTGTCTCTTGAAGAAGTCTATCTACGGCCTTAAACAGGCTCCTCGGTGCTGGTTCGCTAAGCTCAATTCTGCATTGAAGACTTATGGTTTCAAACAGAGCAAGGTGGATTATTCTCATTTCTCTTTTATCCGCGACAATATTGCTCTTCATATACTGGTCTATGTTGATGATTTTATTGTTGCTGGGAATGATCTGTCTACTATACACAAGTTCAAGGCTTATCTCAGTGAATATTTTCACATGAAGGACTTGGGGAAACTTAAATACTTTCTCGGGATCGAAGTTGCTCGCAATGCTGATGGTTTCTTCTTGTCCCAACGCAAATATGCTCTGGATATACTGGCTGAATCAGGCTTGCTTGCTTCCAAGCCTGCTTTGACACCTATGGAGCTTAATCACAAGCTCTCTCTTGCTACTGGCGAACCTTTGGCCGATCCACAACGTTACCGTCGTCTCGTTGGTCGTCTCATCTACCTTACTTTTACGAGACCGGAACTGTGTTACTCTGTCCACATTCTGTCTCAGTTTATGCAAACACCACTTCAGGCTCACTGGTCCGCTGCTATCCGTGTTGTACGATATCTTAAGGGCTGTCCAGCTCAAGGCGTTCTTCTCCGTTCAGACTCTGACTTACGGGTTACTGCATACTGTGACTCTGATTGGAATGCGTGTCCACTGACTCGCAAGTCCTTGAGGGCTTACATTGTTCTTCTTGGTGCTTCTCCGGTTTCTTGGAAAACGAAGAAGCAGAAAACAGTCTCCATGTCTTCCGCTGAAGCTGAATATCGTTCGATGTCTTTTGCTTTGCGTGAGCTCAAGTGGATCAAACGTTTGTTGACTGCATTTGACGTGTCTCATTCCATGCCAATGAAGTTATTCTGCGACAGCCAATCTGCCATCTACATTGCTGCCAGTCCGGTCTTTCACGAGCGTACCAAGCATATCGAGAATGACTGCCACCTTGTACGTGATGCTGTGGAAGAAAAACTCATCACCACGGAACACATTACCACGGACGAGCAACCCGCCGATCTGCTTACCAAGTCACTGCCGGCTCCCACATTCACTTACTTATTGTCCAAGTTGGGGATTCAAGATGTTTCACCGCCAACTTGAGGGACGGTACTGAGATAAGGATAAATATTGGGAATTAGATTTGTTATTATCAAGTTGTATTTGGACTACTTATTAGGATAAGAATTGATCTCTTTGTATATATACATGTTGTACACAATCAATACAAGTAACCTTTTCCAAATCGTTTCATTATTCGAGACAGGATTGGTTGATCCTTTACCACCATGAACTTCTTCCAAGATGCTGCATCAGGCTCGATCTTATCTGTAATCCATACCTCCATCACATTTGTATCCTTGCGCATAAGCATCACTGAAATCTTCTCTTCTCTAACAGAAGATAGAGTCTGCATATCGTTTCTAACATCAAACGGTAGATAAAGACGCGGTCCAAATCTCTCTCTTGTAAAATCAAAACAGAGCAAAAAAACTTCTTTCTCTTCTAATCTTCCCCGAGAAAGAAAGTACGTATTTCCCTTCAAAGATATACTGCCTTGATAATAATCTATATGCCAATTATCGGGAGTGACACCAACAACCCTCCATAAATTGGACTTAAAATTATAGATGTGATAATTAATAATTCGTTCGTTAGTAACCAATCAAAAACCTCAAAATTTTGTAGTTGTTGTTGCTCTGATCATATCCAATAGAGTAGTTATCCGACATGTAGAATTCTTTTCTTGGTTCCATACCACAAGCTTGGAGTCCCTTGTGCGGCATAACAATAAGCCGTCTCAGTGAAATACGTTACTTATCACGACTTGATTAAAGAAGCGTCTCAGTGAAATACGTTACTTATCACGACTTGATTAAAGAAGTTACCTATCTTCTTCGCAGATGGAACAACCGAGTCTTCGTGGTTATGGATTCGATGAAGATTAATACTTGTTAAACTAACCACACGACCATAAATCATAATCATCAGAAACCCTTTGGGTGCTTTACTTAATTGCTTCTATCTAAAGCTGTGAACTTTGGTTAAATCGTTCCATCCTTTGCATGTGGACCTCACCTCTCTCAGAAAAGGTATCGGAACCGTAGAGAGTATCTCCTCTTCCAAATCATGCGGAAGATTGGACATCATCCTCATCTTTTGTCAAATAAAAATTAGGGTTCGTAACTTGCCATGCACTCTTCTTATATATACAAAGAGACATCTTCCGCTTTTAAAAAACAAAAAACCGTTTCCTTTGCCTAAGAAGTTCATGTGGCTCCTTGGTCAAATCCAGCTGATACATACATCAATCAAACTAGTCACACTAACCTGTGGATGCATTCAATGGTGAGTAATAGCTCCTGAGTAGTATAGACTATAGTAGCACTTAAAATCAAACGAAAATATTACACAGCTAATCTGGTTTTATTAAAATTAAACGAAAATATTACACAGCTAATCAAATATTACACAGCGGAAAACAATCCAATCAACTTCAAACGTAAACATTGTATAAATGTTGATGCAAATAAGGAAAAAAAAAAAAAAAAAAAAAAAAAAAAAAAAAACAGAGAGAGAGATTATCTTTGGATCAAAGACAAAATGGCATCTTCAACTTCCAACGAGCTGCATTAGCATTAGAATCCTCCTTAACTTCTTCTTCTTCTTCTTCACGTCTTTCTAACACAGTTTAGCCTTGATAGCATGAGTTTAGCACCTTCCTAGCAAGCACGAGATATGGATGAATGTTGAGTTCAAATATAGCTCCAGATCTGGATGAATGTTGAGTTCTATGCCTAACGTTTCTAAATGCTCCAAGGTTTCTAATTCCTCCACTATGCCGCGATCCCATGAAAACCACTTCCAGCTAAATTCAGGATCATCAAATTATGCAGATTTGATATCCCAGCAATACTCGAAAGCTGATGTGCCGAGATTCAAGTGAATGAGTTTTTTCAACTCTTGTAGACCCTTAGGGAGATGACGGATACCTGTAGTCTGACAAGTTGAGATACTTCAAAGAAACTAAATCAGATACTCCATCCGGCACTTTGGTGAGATGTTCATTAAATGATAGATCCAACACTGTAGCTTCGGCATGGACTTGAAGAATTCACTCGAGATATTTACCAATCTCCCCGTTGCATGAGAAAAGTTGTGAGTTCGAGACATTCAGGACTGCCAGCGAGATTGCGAATCTTATTCTTCATCAGTGACATCCTTCTCACAGTGTTCCAATTCTTAACCTTTGGAATTTCACTTAACCCTACACCTGCATGCACAATGAAAGCCTCCTTTTCTCTTCCCAATTCAGATGCAATCCACAATGCCATTTCGCGAACAACATCATGCATACGCACTTCTTGTTCCATTTCTCAGCCTCTTCCATCAACAAGATGCACGAACAAGATCACCAATTATCTCATACCCCTTGTTCTCAGCCCTCTCTATACCTTCACTTCCATCTATAATACTTCGCATATCAAGTAGTCTATCAAATTTTCTTAGAAATCGATCATCTTCTGGAAATAAAGCGCAATACAGCAAACATGATTTGACATCCTCGCCCTTAAGATTATCGTAGCTATACTTCAAAAGTGGAAGGATCTTATCTTCCATGCCAGAAAACTCTGTAGCGTACGAAGTCAAAACATTTTAGCGTGACGCCATTCTTCCACCGTCTTCTTGCATGACATGGTCTCCCCTATGACATTGAGCGCCAATGGAAGGCCACCACATTTTCTAGCAACTCTTTTGCAAGCTTGGGGATCTCTGGATCGCTTCCTAATGTTTCTTGTCCAACCTTCTTTTGGAACAAATCAAATGCTTCATTTCCGCCAAACATTGGACTTCCATTGGGTCTTCAACCCCCATCTTACATACGTCTTGGCGACGAGTGGTGAAGACTACTTTGCATCGGTTTTCTGGTGCTGGAAATGGGACTCCAATCTCTGTTAAATCCACCTTCTCCCATATGTCATCTAAAAACAACACAAATCTCTTTTTCTTCAAGAAATTGTATAAATCAATCGGTCTTTTGGCTCTTTCTTTTTTTTCCACTCTCTCCATCAAGACCAACTTTCTGAGCGATTTCATCTTGAATCTTCTCTACATGTAACTCTTTAGACACCACAACCCAAATCACAAAATCAAATCCACACCTTTCTTCACTGAACTTATTGTTGATTTGCATGAGAAGCGTTGTTTTCCCAACTCCGCCCATACCATACATACCCATAATACCAACTCCATCTTTCATGAGATGTTTCCATGCCTTATCGAGCATTGCTTCTTGACCAACAATTATCGTGGAACTTGTATTTCCTCTATCACAGCTGGAGTTTGAGCTTGCCCAGTAACTTCCAAATTCTCTACTCGAGTTCCTCAACCTCCGTCAACGACAAGAAAACCTTTTTCCCGTAACGGTAACTGGATCTTAAACTCTTAGAGCAAAACCCACAAAGACAAGCCTTTGAAGTTGAACATCTCTAGCATCAAGAAGAGCATCAACTTTTTTCCAAAGACTCAACTTTCTTAAGCCATACCTGGAATTCTTCCAAGCCTTTGTCCACCTTTATCCTCCTCTCTTGTGGCCTTTCGTAATAAATCATTCCGCTTAGCCTTGAGCTTAACCATGCTGTTCTCCAGAGTGGCGAGATTCTTCTCAAGATCGTGAATATAACCAACTTTCTTGTCTAGCCATTGAGAGATTTTATCCATCCACACATCACAGGATATCGAGCAAGAGATTAAATTCCCCATTTTACAGAAAGGGAGAAATCTGAAATCTGAAATTTGCTGATATGAGCAAACCAGAGACAATGCAGAGAATAATTGAAGATAAGACTTTCTTTCACGTCCACAATTCTCGATCGAGTGAGTCCAAATCACTGATTTTTCTTGGAAATTTTGCTGATTTAAATCCATAATTATCACATTCACATATCACAAAGTGGGGCATACTAATCATAAAGTCTCTACATGGCTAACCGAAGAAGAACATTAATCAAAAGAGAGACAGGTTCTTGTAAGGGTTGACTTTGTTGTTGACTTGGTGGGACATACAAATTACAAAGTCTCTCCATTGCTAACCGAAGAAGAGCACTTGAGAATCTCGTACGAGCCCAATCACCCAATCAGATCGCACCAAGTTGCAGTCATCGGCACCGGAGCCGCCCGGGAAGGTCACTCGGTGGTCGTCTTCGAGAGGAAGAATCTGGTGGAAAAAAAAAACCTGGATTCACTGTAATTACGTCGTGTCCGATCCGTTAAGATACGACCCGACCCGACCCGACTTGGTAATCACTCGAGCGTCTATAGCTCTCTCCGAACTAACCTTTCCTCAAGAGTCTATGGGATTCAACACTTTCAATACTGCAACTCCCAATGCTGAGATCACGAAGCTTCTCCGTAGTTACTGGAAGTGATATTCCAGATGCATGTTCCTGGTCTTTCGATATCTTTTACAACACGTCAACCTATGAGATCTCAAAATCTCAAGATCTTGACGATAATTGATTGCTGTGAAAAAAAAATTCTAGATTTTCCAAAAAAAATTCCAACTCTTCCACTGCACTTTTAGATCCCATGAAAAACAAAAGGGAAACCAAACAATTGATTTTGAAATCCCAACAAGGCAACAATACTCGCAAGTGTTTGAGTTTTTTTCAACTCTAGTAGACCCTTAGGCAAGTTAGGTATACCAGAAGTCGAGAACCTGATAAGTTGAGATAGTGCAAAGAACCTAGGTTTGATATTCCCTCAGGCATTTCAGAGAGAATTTGATTCTGTGATAGATCAAAAACGGCTAGCTTTGGCATGTATTTTACTAATTATGCCCAGATATTTGACAAATTCATCATTTGCAGGAGCAAAGTTGTGAGTTTGATACATTTAGGACTCCCAAAGAGACATCATCACTTGGTTGCTCAAGCTTATCAAAATTTCTCTATGTATATATCACCAGAAGATGAGATTATGTAAAATCAAACAAGATTTGATCAATGCGTTTATTGATCAATGTACAAAGTACAAACTATACTAATATTCGTATATTAATGCTTCAGATTGCAAATGCTCTGATATTCCTTGTAGATTCTCCGAGAGATTTCTGACATACAACATATCCAAAACAAACTAGTTTCCCATATTTTAGACAAACAAGAGAGATCCAGAGAGCAATTTGGTTTGATTAAAGTCAAAAGGAAAATATTACACAGCTATCAAATATACACAGCAGAAAACTTCAAACGAAACCATTGTATGAATGTTGATGCAAATAAGAAAATATAACTCACAGAGAGCAACACACACAGAGTGATAGTGATTTAGAGAGAAGAGAAGAGAGAAAAGCTTTTTGGAACAAAGGCAAATGGCATCTACAACTTCCAAGGAGCTGCATCAGAAGATACCTTTATACCTTGTGGCTACAATCCAAACTATACTGTAGCATTAAAAAAAAAGTAATCAGTTCATACACCCGAAGAAAAATCATATGAAAACAAATAAGAGAATACGAGAAATTATACCAATTTGCAGAAGATAAGAAGCGAGATTTGGTAGCTTCGTCCTCCCATTCCACACCTTCAATCCAACTTTCCTCTTTGTATTAAGACGAGTCCATTTTCACCATGCATGCCACTTTGAGAATCCAGTGGAAGCTTTTTCAGATTTGGACATTCATTACATTGAATTCCTTTAGACATGGAAAGCGTAGAGGACTCCAGTAGATATTCTTTAGCTTCGGTAGATCTCCCAACTCAAGAGAAACCAGCTTTGCAAAAGGAACAATCCCTGATTCTCCACCTTCACAAGCTTTCTCTTTGTTTATTATATCTTCTAGTTGATCTGCAACGACAACATGAAGTTCTTTAAGATTTGAAGCAAACATCAGCAACGTCAGCTCCCTCAAGCATCGCAATTATTATATCACTTTGGAGAGGCTCAAGAAGCATGGCTCGCTCGGATTGTGTAGAGGAGAAACCGTCTTGCTTTTGTTGCATATACTTCCCATCTTTATCTCAGAGATAGTGCAGTTGTAATGATGAAATAACGAAGCTTGTTCATGGTTACTGGAATTGCTATTCCAGTTGATTCCAATTTCGAGATCCACAGAAATCGTGTACAACTCGTCAACCTGAGAGCTTAAAAATAGCTCCAGAGGTGGATACACATCGATCTATGGTTAAAATTTCTAAATGCTCCAAGGTTTCTAATTCCTCCACTATGCCGCGATCCCATGAAAAGCCACTTCCAGCTAATTCAGTATCATCAAATTATGCAGATTTGATATCCCAGCAATACTCGAAAGCTGATTTTATTGAGATACATTCACATGATTCGGTATCTCAGAAACATTGGGCTGCACGTAATTGATTTATCTAGTTACCTTAAGTTCATCTTGTACATTCAATTGTGATTGCCTCTGTTACGGCAACTCAATATTCTCTTGGCTGTATATAACTCTGTAATCATGCTCTGTGAATAAATATCAGAAAAATTCCGATCACTGAAATTCTTCATGGTATCAGAGCACGAAAACTGATAATTTTTTTTTTCTTTCTCTCTTTTCTTTTAACACGATCTCACAATGTCTGTCACTGGTTCTGACAACGGCAACCCGACAACGACTCCGACACCGACTCCGACATCTCCATACGATCTGACTGCTGCTGACAATCCTGGTGCTGTGATTTCACATCCTCTCCTCAAAGGATCCAACTACGATGAGTGGGCGTGTGGAATCAAAACGGCACTCAGCTCTCGAAAAAAATATGGTTTTCTCGATGGATCTATTCCACGTCCAGCTGAAGGCTCTGCAGATCTGGAAGACTGGTGGACGATTCAAGCTTTGCTTGTCTCATGGATCAAAATGACTATCGATCCTTCCATTCGATCGAACATCTCTCATCGTGATGTGGCGAAAGATTTGTGGGATCATCTGAAGAAGAGGTTTTCTGTGACTAACGGACCTCGGATCCAACAGCTTAAGGCTGAGTTGGCATGCTGCAAACAACGCGGTCTCGCCATTGAAGCTTACTACGGCAAGCTCAACCGTATTTGGGACAACATGGCTCAATACAGACCATTGAGGTCTTGCAAATGTGGCAAGTGTGAATGCCAACTTGGATCCCTTCAAGAACAAGATCGTGAAGAAGAGAAGGTTCACGAGTTCTTGTCTGGTCTTGACGACAGTTACCGCACGGTTCGCTCTACGTTGGTTTCACGCTCGCCAATTCAACCATTGGAGGAGGTGTACAACGTACTCCGTCAAGAGGAAGATTTGAAGATTGGCTCTCGGGGTGTAGACGAAACATCTGATGTGAGTGCCTATGCTGTTCAAGCCAGATCTCGTTTTCCTCCATCTCGTAGTGATGAACATGCTAGACCTGTCTTGTGCAAACATTGTAATCGTTCCGGTCATCCATCGGATAGTTGTTTTGCTGTTGTTGGTTATCCTGAGTGGTGGGGAGAGCGTCCAAGGACCAGAACGATGCAAGGCCGTGGTCGTGGTGGAGCTGTTTCCTCTGCAAATGCTGGTCGAGGCAGAAGTGTGAACTATGCCAATGCAGTTCAGGTTCCCCAGCTCCCGCCTACCGAACAAGCGAACTATGTTCTAACCGACCGTGATCGTGATGGAGTTCAAGGACTTAATGATGCTCAATGGCGTGCACTCATGAATCTCCTGAACACCGAAAAATCCAACGCCACCGAAAAACTCTCGGGTAAGATTCCTTCTCCTTCTTGGATAATGGATACTGGTGCCTCACATCATTTGACTGGAAATCGTCACATCTTGAGTGATTTAAGGGATATGGATCCTGTGTTGATAATATTGGCTGATGGTAGAGAACGGATCTCTGTAACAGAGGGTACTGCAATTTTGGGTTCTCATCTGGTTTTGAAGTCTGTTTTTCTGGTTGAAGAATTGACAACTGATTTGATAGCGGTTGGTCAGTTGATGGACGAAAATAACTGTGTTGTTCAATTGGCTGATCAGTTTCTTGTGGTTCAGGACCGTGTTTCGAGGACGGTGATTGGAGCGGGTAAAAGAGAATCCGGAACTTTTCGATTTCGCAGAACAGAGTTGGCTGCTGCTGTTGCAACTCGGGAAGAGAAGTCTTATGAACTGTGGCATCATAGGATGGGACATCCCTCTGCTAGAGTCGTTGGTTCATTAAGCATGTTTCCCTTCCTGTTTTTTCTGAAAATTTCAATAAGGCGTGTGACGTATGTATCCGCGCTAAGCAAACACGATGTTCCTTTCCATCAAGCATTAATAAAACTACGAAAGCTTTTGAGTTGATTCATTCCGATCTATGGGGACCATATCGAACGCCTACACACAATGGCTCTCGGTATTTTCTCACAATTGTTGACGATTTCACTCGAAGTGTTTGGTTGTATCTGCTTACTGAAAAATCAGAAGCACCAGTTCATTTGAGAAATTTCATTGCCATGGCGGATCGGCAATTTGGGTCTCAAGTAAAATGCTTGAGGAGTGATAATGGAAGTGAATACTTGAGCTTGTCCAAATTTTTCCGAGAGCATGGGATTTCACACGAAACCTCGTGTGTTGGCACTCCACAGCAAAACGGCAGAGCAAACGAAAGCACAGGCACATCTTGAATGTTGCACGAGCTTTGATGTTTCAAGCGAACATACCAATAGAATTTTGGGGAGATTGCATCTTGACAGCAGGCTATTTGATCAATCGCACACCGAATTCTGCTCTACAGGGTCTTAGTCTGTATGAAATGCTTCACCAGAAGGCACCGGATTACGATCATCTTCGGGTTTTTGGCAGTTTGTGCTATGCCCACAATCAAAACACGAAAGGAGATAAATTTGCTTCTCGAAGCAGAAAGTGTGTGTTTGTTGGATACCCATACGGCAAGAAAGGATGGCGTCTCTACGATCTGGAAACACATCAATTTTTTGTGTCTAGAGATGTCATCTTCTCTGAAAATCAGTTCCCCTTTCTCTGCAACTCTGTTTCAGGTTCGGAAAAGTTACACGATGAGGAAGGAGAACTTTGGGCTCCACTTGGGGCAAACCCCTTTTTGGCTCAAGATGATGGGCTTTCTTGTACAACTCCAGCGAGCCCAATTCCTAATATACCATCAGGCCCATCTACTCACGACCCATCATTTGACTCTGGTCATGCCTCTCCAATTCAGAACTCGATCTCCACTGAATCGTCTTCTCCGTCGACTCCGTCTGTGCCCTTGAATTCTGAATCTGAGTCTTCATCGTCCGCTTCAGCTCCGGTCTCGTCCCCATCAATTTCTCTGGCACCTCCGTCTGATTCTCCTCCACCAGAAATTCTTGGTCGTGGTCAGAGGAAGAAAACGCAGTCTGTAACGCTGCGAAATTTTGTGATTAACACTGCTCAGAGTCGTCTGCTCAAACGACCATCAACTTCGACTTACCCGATTGCAAACTTGGCTGCAATCGTTTCTCCGCCACTCACACGGCGTATCTTGCAGCCATCACATAAAACATTGAACCTCGCTCTTTCAAAATGGCGGTTCAATTGAAAATATGGAAGAAAGCTATGGGCAGCGAGGTAGAAGCTCTCGAAGAGAATAATACTTGGACGTTGGAAGACTTACCTCCAGGAAAGCGTGCAATTGGCTGTAAATGGGTCTATAAAATCAAGTACAACGCTGATGGCACGATTGAACGATACAAAGCCAGGCTTGTTGCACTTGGCAATAAACAGATTGAAGGAGAAGACTACGGTGAGACTTTTGCACCGGTTGCTCGAATGGGAACTGTTGTTTGTTTCTTAAAGTTGCAGCAGGAAACAATTGGCCGGTGTACCAAATGGATGTACACAACGCCTTCTTACATGGAGATCTTGTCGAAGAGGTTTATATGAAACCACCTCCAGGCTTTTATCCGAATGATGATCAGAAGGTGTGCCGTTTGCGAAAATCGATTTATGGTCTTAAACAGGCACCTCGATGTTGGTTTGAGAAACTCACCAAAGCCTTGAGAGTGTACGGGTTTCAACAGTGCTATTCCGACTACTCCCTGTTTACGTTTGACAAGAAGGGAGTAACTATTAATCTCCTTATATATGTTGATGACATGATCCTCACAGGAAACTCGGAGACAGATTTGCAGAAATTTAAAGATTATTTGTCTTCGTGTTTCAAGATGAAGGATCTCGGCGCTTTGAAATATTTTTTGGGCATTGAAGTGGCTAGGAGTAAGCAGGGTTTCTATCTCAGCCAGAGAAAATATGTTTGGACATTCTCTCTGAAACAGGAATGTTAGGATGCAAACCCGTATCTTTTCCGCTGGAACAACATAAGAAACTGGCGCTTTCTGAGTCTGCCTATTTGGTTGATCCTACTCCATACCGTCGACTGATTGGGCGGTTTATCTACTTGGCTGCAACTCGCCCTGATCTGGCGTTCAGTGTGCATATTTTGTCACAGTTTATGCAGAAACCTAGGGCTGCACATTGGGAATCGGCTTTACGCATTGTCCGCTATCTCAAAGGAAATCCAGGACAGAGGATATTGTTGTCTTCCGAGAACAATTTCCAGATTTCAGGTTGGTGTGACTCTGACTATGCCGGCTGTCCGTTAACACGGCGTTCGGTTAGTGGTTATTTTGTTCAACTTGGTGAATCACCGATCTCATGGAAAACTAAGAAACAAAGCATTGTTAGTAAATCTTCGTCTGAAGCAGAATATCGAGCAATGTCATTTCTTAAGGATGAGCTTGTTTGGATTAAAAGTGTGTTGAGATCGTTGGGTGTTCCTCACACAACACCCATGGGAATGTACTGTGACAATCAATCAGCTATATATATCAGCACCAATCCTGTTTTTCATGACAAAACAAATTGAAGTGGATTGTCATGCTGTACGGGAGCAGATTCAGGCCGGAGAGATCGTTACACATCATGTCTCCACTCATGAGCAATTGGCTGACATCTTTACCAAACCTCTTGGTCGCCAGGCGTTTGAAGCTTTTCGGATCAAGCTGGGCATTCTTGATCTCCATGCTCCAGCTTGAGGGGAGGTATTGAGATACATTCACATGATTCGGTATCTCAGAAACATTGGGCTGCACGTAATTGATTTATCTAGTTACCTTAAGTTCATCTTGTACATTCAATTGTGATTGCCTCTGTTACGGCAACTCAATATTCTCTTGGCTGTATATAACTCTGTAATCATGCTCTGTGAATAAATATCAGAAAAATTCCGATCACTGAAATTCTTCAGATTTGTACACCAGAGATCCAAGTGTATGAGTTTTTTCAACTCTTGTAGAACCTTAGGGAGATGACGTATACCAGTATGTGACAAGTTGAGATATTGCAAGGAAACTAAATCAGATACTCCATCCGGCACTTTGGTGAGATTTTTATTTAATGATAGATCCAACACCTGTAGCTTCGGCATGGACTTGAAGAATTCACTCGAGATACTTACTAAATCTCCCCATTGCAAGAGCAAAGTTGTGAGTTCGGGACATTCAGACTGCCCTCGAGTTTGCCAATCCTATTCTTCATCAGTGACATCTTTCTCACAACGTTCCAATTTTTAACCTTTGGAATTTCACTTAACCCTACACCTGCATGCACAATGAAAGCCTCCTTTTCTCTTCCCAATTCAGATGCAATCCACAAGGCCATTTCGCGAACAACATCATGCATAAGCACAAATTCTCTTGTTCCATCTCGTGCAACCACATCCATCAACAATGGTGCACGAACAAGATCACCAATTATCTCAAACCCCTTGTTCTCAGCCCTTTCTATTCCATCACTTGGCTTGATAATATCTTCGCATATTAAGTAGTCGATCAATATCTCTTTAGGAATCAGATAATCCTCTGGAAATAAAGCACAATACAGCAAACATGACTTGACATGCTCCTCCTTAAGATTATCGTAGCTATACTTCAAAAGCGGAAGGATCTTATCTTTCATGTCAGCAAACTCCGTAGCGTACCGAGTCAATTCATCTATAGCACCACTCCATTCTTCCACCTTTGTCTTGCATGACATGGTCTCGCCTATGACGTTGAGCGCCAATGCCAGGCCACCACATTTTCTAGCAACTATTCTTGCAAGATCATGGATCTCCGGATCGCTTCCTAATGTTCTTTGTCCAACCTTCTTTTGGAACAAATCAAATGCTTCATTTTCGGCCAAGCATTGAACTTCCATCGGGTCTTCAACCCCCATGCGCGCACATACATCTTGGGAACGAGTGGTGAATACCACTTTGCATCCATTTTGCATTGTTGGAAACGGGACTCCGATCTCAGGTAATTCTACCTTCTGCCATATGTCATCTAGAAACAACACAAATCTCTTTTTCTTCAATAAATTGTATAACAGATTGGCCTTTTGGCTTTTCTCCACTCCACCAAGACCAACTTTATGAGCGATTTCATTTTGAATCTTCTCTACATGTAAATCTCTAGACACCACAACCCAAATCACAAAATCAAATCCACGCCTCTCTTCACTGAACTTATTGTTGATTTACATGAGAAGCGTTGTTTTCCCAACTCCGCCCATACCATACATACCCATAATACCAACTCCATCTTTCATGAGATGTTTCCATGCCTTATCGAGCATTGCTTCTTGACCAAAAATTGTCCGTGGAACTTGTATTTCCTCTATCACAGCTGTGTCAGCTTGATCAGTAACCTCTCCAAAATCTTTACTATGAAGTTCCTTAACCTCCTTCAAAGTCAAGAAAACCTCTTTCCCGTAACGGTAACTGGATCTTAAACTCTTAGAGCAAAACCCACAAAGACACAACTTTTGAAGTTGGACATCTCTAGCTCTAAGAAGACCATCAACTTCTTTTTCGATAGTTGCAACTTTATTAAACCATACCTCGATTGCGGCAAGCCTTTGCTGACTTCTATCCACCTCCTCTCTTGTGACTCTTCTTGATAAATCATCACGCTTAGCCTTGAGCTCTTCCATGGATGTCACTAGAGCCTTGAGATTCTTCTCGAGATTATTTAAACAAGCTACTTTCTCATCAACCCAATTAGAGATTTTGTTTATGCAAGGATCACAAGGTATAGATAAAGAGATGCCCATTTTGCAGAAAGGAAAAGAGATCTCAGATTTGAGAATTTTACTGATCTGAGCAAAACCAGAGAAGATGCAAGAATAATTGAAGTCTGAAGATAAGTCTTTCGTTCTCCTCCACAATCCTCCGTTCGAGTGGGTCCAAATCACTGATTTTTCTTGGAAATTTTACTTATTCGAATTCCATAATTCTCATATTCACACATTTGGTTGTTGACTTTGGTGGGGCATACTGATATACTATATATTGTTGACTGAAGAAGAAAACTTGAGACTCACGTAAAACCCAAATCCCACCAGAGCTTCAACGGGAACGTCATTGGGTGGTCGTCTTCATGAGGAACAGAAACATCCATCATCATCATGTCAACCCGGATCCGTTAAGTGTTGACCTGATCCGACCCGGCATCTTCGAATACAGAGATCTGATGAGGTTTCCGACGTAGGGATAACTTCTTGGCCAAGGAAGGAGATGCAAAGTCATAATAATTAGCGTATTCTTGAAACATTCAAAGATCAGTGTCGCATTTATCAAATATCATAAATAACATTACACTTTAAAGCATTCCTTCTCCCGCAATTCATAGAGATTTTAATTCTGCGATAGATCCAAAACAGCTAGTATCAACAAAGATTATGCACATGCTCAGCAACTCTTGAGTGATGCATCAAAATGTTATTTTCCACAGACAATTTGGGTATCAGATATAACCTAAGGGAAAAATGTAATAAATGAGCACACTGCACAAGTATTATCAGTTAATGGTAAACCTATCCGCTAGACCGCTGACAAACCGTATTTAACCATATGAGAAAGCTTAAGAGAAGAACAACACCATACGCCACGTGCTACTCTTCTTCTTCATATTCATAATAAGGATCATCAAGTCTTTGTTTCTTGTACTTGACTTCTTCTTCAAGTCTTCTGGCCTCTCTAAAACCTTGTATTCTTGCTAGTATGGCAGTAGCATCCTCCTTGCGAACATGAGATTCATTGCCAGACTCAACTCCCCCAGTTTGTTGTAACCGTTTCTTGTGTGAAATAAATCAAGTAATGAAACATTGATATTATAATACACAACATGCTTAATTTTTACTTGCAACATGCTTAATTTTTACTTGATAACCTGCGAGATTGAAGAAGCAGCTCAAGTCTCGTTCGACGAAGCCAGTAGTATCCGAGTAAGACCCGCATGCAAGCTCGCGGTCAAGAATTTGTCGAGGAAAATATGCAAGAAGAAGATTGTGAAAACAGGAACAAGGGAAAAGGAAATTTACAACGTTGGAGAATTTACAGTTGAGATCCTTTATTTTTTTGCTATGTTGGAGAATGTTGTGTGTATACATACTATCATAGAAAGCTAAAATTAAGAAGAACATACACAAACGCTTGGCCAGATTATACAACATGTTGGTTATATTTATCATTCTTATAAAATAGAGTCAATAAGGTGAGAAGGAACAATACTGGTCGTATTTAGGAAACAAGGAAGTATTAGAATACGTATGGTTATTGTGTACAAAATTGTGTGGTTAAATACAAAAATGACCCTATATCTTTTGGTTGTCCTTGGTTGACACGTGTTTTCGGCTGTGTTCCAAAAATCGCCGATTTCATCGATTAATCGGTCGGAAAATCGTGATTCGGTGGACCACCGATGGATTAATGAAAAACGGAGGTTTTATGGTCAACCAAGAGTTGACTTTTTTTTTTTTGGAAAAATCATGTTGTTATTCTAATTGGTGTTAGATACAAGTTTTTATTGGTTGAATCTATAAATATTTGACATAAAATGCAAGAAAATGATGAAGAAAGTGAAAGAAAGATGATGAAGGCTGTGATATCTGGACATATTAGGGTTACAAAATCGCAGGATGTGATGAAAGAAGATGATCAAAATTACTATTCTACCCTTCATTAAAAGGGAAATGAAAAAAAAACTCAATATGGGCAAACTGGGAGTCGAACTCGGGTGAGACTGTAGTTGCAGAAGTACGTTAACCACTTTAACTAGCCTAATTTGTAACTAAAATTTTACAAATGTAGTATTTATATATACAATGGTCAACTAGCTAGCTTTTAAGTCAAATATTTTGGAATATAAATATCGTATTGATATTGATATGTTACTTATATAGTGTTATATATATATATAAATATATGAAAATATAGTTAAAAATTCATCCCGTTTAATCCCGTTTTTAAAAAAATTTAAATCCTCACCCGACCGCCCGATTAACGATTACCGATGTTTTGAACACAGGTTTTCGGTGATCCTTGATTGTATCGAAAGTCTCTTTCTCTCCCTCTTTCTTTCCTTCTCTCTCCCCCACACACACACGACTCTCTCTCTCTCTCACCAAAGTTTATTTCTCTTTATGAAAAGTCTCTGATAATTAATTCTTGAACAACAATGGTGTTTTTTTTTTTTTTTTTTTAACAACAACAATGGTGTTTCTTAATCTTATGTACCAAAAAGGAGATTTTACAATTAAAAACGAAAATTAAGGTAAACCCATCTACAAAAATACATTTAAGAATTTTGAGAAGATTTACATAGAAAACCAGTGATATTTCTTAATCTTATCTCTAATTTTTTGTTTCACATGTTAACTTAATTATTAGCAAGTAAACAATTATTTTGGAATTTCAAAAAGGTTCAATCATATATTTTTGCACCAAGTTAACATTCGTAATATCAAAGTAAACATATAGATTTATCTATAAGTTTTTATTTTACAGGGTAAACTAATTATTAGCTAAATAACTACGAGATTAGTTGTAAAAAAAAATTATGATGGATGAAACACAATGATTTCAGAGTAATAAATACATGAAAATGTTGGTACCATATCACTAGTAGTCCATATAATATTTTGTACAATAATTTGTTGATGCAATTGAGGTGTTGTTAAAGACTTAACATCTTCTTTATTTGTAAACAGTATATTAACGATATACATTATGTTGACGAGTTATCCATTTCTGAAACATGCTAACACCTAAAGTATCATGTATATCTATCTGCGTTTACATCCAATTTTATATTTTAGACGGTATTAAAGACGTTAGACGTTGAAGTTATTTGAAGAATAATAACGAGTTGACTAAATACACTTACATACTGAAAATATATTACATTATCGAGTTACATGTTTGTGATACATGCTAACAAGTATGTTATCAGGTATATATATAGATATTTACATTTAACATTATGTTTTACACGATATTAAACATGTTATATATATAACAATAATATATCATATAAATTGTTATTTGTGTTACAAATTTGTTTAACGCGGTACAAACAAAGATACTTTGTTATTAAAAAGAATATAGTGTTAAAATAACAATTTAAATGTTAAGAATAATGATATACAACAATTCGATATGAAAACAAACTTGTAAATTGGAAAATTAGAAACATATACAATTGAAAATTGGGCATGAAAAATATCATATTTTGTCAAATCCGTAAAAGAAGTTGCGGTAATCTCTAGAGTTGAAGCAGCAATAGAGACAAAATAGGGATTTAAGATGGTGGAGCTTAGCCAATAGCTGCTATGGATACAATATCAAACAAAATCGAACCAAACAATTGCAATAAAAAAGAACAGCAATGAAAGTATCTATAAAATGATAGAGAAAGAAAATTTAAGAAGAGAAGATGCAATGGTGGATTTGCAGAAAAAGGAAGAACATAAGAGAGAGAAGATAGGCGGAGGAAACAAAAGAAACAAGAGAGAAAGTGAGAGAGAGAGAGAGAGAATGGAGAAGGGAACAAGACAAGGGAAGAGAATGTAAAATATTTCATTATTATATCAAGGGCAATTGTGTATTTATGAAAATACGAAAAGCAGGTATTAGTATTTCTCCCTGTTACCTAAATACGATGTATAATTAGGTCATCTATGCAAATTTCTCTATAAAATATACGGTTCCTAAAATCTTTTATACACAAAATGCCTAAAATTCCCCTGAGTATATGACACACGTGACACGTTCATACATACATACATATTGCATGTACACACTTTCCCTCTTTCTCTCTATATTATGTTATTATATTTTGGACATTATAGCAATGACTCAAACTAGTCCTTCTTCATTATATGTTAAACCCGGTTTAGTTCCGGTTTTGATAGAAATGTTAATGATCTAATCCGTCGGTCCAAGCGACTTTGGTCCATTTTTAATGACCGAATCTCCATTTCTCCCAAAGAATCATTGAGAATCTCGTAAAAACCCAAATGGCATCTTCGACATCAATCAAATCACGCCACGTGGCTGTAATCGGAGCTGGAGCCGCCGGACTAGTGGCGGCGAGAGAGCTTCGACGAGAAGGTCACTCTGTCGTCGTTTTCGAGAGGCAGAAAGAAGTCGGAGGAACCTGGATCTACACCGATCATGTCGAGTCGGATCCGTTAAGCGTCAACCCGACCCGACTCGTCGTTCACTCGAGCGTCTATGACTCTCTCCGAACTAACCTTCCCCGAGAATGTATGGGATTCAGAGACTTCCCGTTCGCGATCCGATCCGGCGAATCCAGAGATCCGAGGAGGTTTCCGAGTCACGGTGAAGTTCTAGCGTATCTGCAGGATTTCTCTAAGGAGTTTGGGATCGAGGAGCTGATCCGGTTCGAGACGACGGTCGTGCGCGTTTCTCCGGCGGCGAAAACCGACGGCGGAGAAAGAATCGGAAACTGGAGAATCGAATCTACAGAGAAAGAGAAGAAATCTCATCATCGTGATGAGATTTACGATGCTGTTGTTGTTTGTAACGGACATTACATTGAACCTCGTCTCGCTGAAATTCCTGGTAAATTCTCAACATCTTGCATCTATGAATGAATCATTTCAAAAACAGAAACTTCATCTCAACATTTGAAAACAATGAATCATTCAGGGATAAGTTCTTGGCCAGGGGAGGAGATGCATAGCCATAACTATCGTCTTCCACAACCATTCAAAGATCAGGTACTCAAATCATTGTCAGATTCTTATGCCAAAGATTCATGGTGAAGCCTGTGCTGCATTGCATGGATTATATAGGTTGTTGTGCTGATTGGGAACTCTTCAAGTGGTGATGATATAAGCAGAGACATTGCTGGATTTGCCAAAGAAGTTCATGTGGCTTCTTGGTCAAATCCAGCTGATACATACATCAAACAAACTGGTCACAATAACCTGTGGATGCATTCAATGGTGAGTTTTTAGCTCCTGAGTAGTAGTCTAGTCGTACTTACCGTAATAATGTTTTCTTGAATCTCCAAACGCAGATTGAGCGTGTCCTTGAGAATGGTTCTGTGGTTTTTCAGAATGGGAAAACGATTTTGGCTCATGTGATAATGCATTGCACTGGGTAATGATGTTCTTTTAGACTCTGAATTTCAAGATTTTTTCTTTAAACTTAACAAAGCTCTTTCCTTTTTGGTTATAAAGGTATAAGTATGACTTCTCGTTTCTTGATACCAATGGAAGTGTTACTGTAGATGATAATCGTGTTGGTCCATTGTACAAACACATCTTCCCTCCAGCATTAGCACCGTCGCTCTCCTTCGTCGGGATACCATGTAAGGTACAAAAGCTTTAAATCGGCATGGCTTTTGTTATCTTGCTGCTACGGTTCGGATTTTGAAGTCTATAAACAAATTTTGATTTTTTTCAGGTTATACCGTTTCCTATGTTTGAGCTGCAAAGCAAGTGGATTGCGGGTGTTTTGTCGGGTCTGATCAAGCTTCCTTCAGTAGATGATATGTTAATGGAAATAAAGAACTTGTATGCAACACTTGAAGGGGAAGGGGTTCCTAAGCGATATACTCACTCTTTGGGCATCAATCATGTAAGCAAGAGTCTCTTAACATGTTGAAAGCAAAACGGAAACAGGTTCATATGTAATTTTTGGTGTGTGTTGTTCTTTTTGTCACAGTTTGAGTACAATGATTGGTTTGCTTCAGAATATGGGTGCTCAGGAACAGAGGAATGGAGGAAAGAGATGTTTTTGACGAGTTTCATGAGGAAGATGGAGCATCCGGAGACGTATAGAGATGAATGGGAAGATCATCATCACTTGGTTGCTCAAGCTTATCAGGATTTCTCTTTGTATATATCAACCAAAATATGAGATTATGTAAAATCAAATAAGATTTGATCAATGCGTTTATTGATCAATGTACGAAGTACAACTATACTAATATTCGTATATCAATGCTTCAGATTGCAAATGCTCTGATATTCCTTGTAGACTCTCCGAGAGATTTCTGTCATACAACATATCCAAACAAGCTATTTTCCCATATTTTAGACAAACAAGAGAGATCCAGAGAGCAATTTGGTTTGATTAAAGTCAAAAGGAAAATATTACAATGCTCATCAAATATTACACAGCAGAAAACTTTAAACGAAACCATTGTATGAATGTTGATGTAATTAAGAAAAGATAATTCACAGAGAGCAACACACACAGAGTGATAGTGATATAGAGAGAAGAGAAGAGAGAAAAGCTTTTGGATCAAAGGCAAATGGCATCTACAACTTCCAAGGAGCTGCATCAGAAGATACCTGTTATACCTTGTGGCTACAATCCAGACTTCCACTATAACAAAAAAAAAAAAGACAGAGGCATTAAACAAAATGGAAGGGTGCATAACTCGAAGGAAAAATCATACGATAACAAATACGAAAATACCAGAAATTATACCAATTTGCATGAAGATAAGAAGCGACTTTTTGTAGCTTCGTCCTCCCATTCCACACCTTCAATCCAAGTTTCATCTTTGTATTCCAAGACGAGTCCATTTTCACCATGCATGCCACTTTGAGAATCCAAAGGAAGCTTTTTCAGATTTGGACATTCGATTACTTCAAATTTCTTTAGACATGGAAAGCGTAGAGGACTCCAGTATATATTCGTAAGCTCCCGTAGATTCCGCAACTTAAGAGAAACCAGCTTTCCAAAAGGAACAATCCCTGATTCTCTACCTTCATAAGATTTTCCTTTCTCTATTATATCTTCAAGATGATCTGCATGCTTAACAGTAAGTTTTTTAAGATTTGAAGCAAACATCAGCAACGTTAGCTCCCTCAGACCTCCGCAAAGTAGTATATTCACTTTGGTGAGGCTCAAGAAGCATGGCTCTCTCGGATTGTGTAGAGGAGAAACCGTCTTGCTTTTGATGCATATACTTCCCATCTTTATCTCAGAGATAGTGCAGCGCTCAATGCTGAAATAACGGAGCTTGTTCATGGTTTCTGGAATTGCTATTCCATTTGATTCCAATTTCAAGATCCTCAGAAATCGTGTACAACTCGTCAACCTGTGCCAGCTTAAAAATAGCTCCAGAGGTGGATAAATATCTAAATATCTAAATGTCTATTCTTAAAATATCTAAATGCTCCAAGGTTTCTAATTCCTCCACTATGCCGCGTCCCATGAAAAGCCACTGGAAGCTAATTTCAGTATCATTAAATTATGCAGATTTGATATCCCAGCAATACTCGAAAGCTGACGTGTATACCCGAGATCCAAGTGAAAGAGTTTTTTGAGCTTTTTTAGACCCTTAGGGAGATGACGGATACCGGTATGTGACAAGTTGAGATACTTCAAAGAAACTAAATCAGATACTCCATCCGGCACTTTGGTGAGATTTTGATTACTTGATAGATCCAACACCTGTAGCTTCGGCATGGACTTGAAGAATTCACTCGAGATACTTACTAAATCTCCCCATTGCAAGAGCAAAGTTGTGAGTTCGGGACATTCAGGACTGCCCTCGAGTTTGCCAATCCTATTCTTCATCAGTGACATCTTTCTCACAACGTTCCAATTCTTAACCTTAGGAATTTCACGTAACCCTACACCTGCATGCACAATGAAAGCCTCCTTTTCTCTTCCCAATTCAGATGCAATCCAAAATGCCATTTCACGAACAACATCATGCATATGCACCACTTTTCTTGGACCATTCCATCTATTCCCTTCCATCAACAATGATGCACGAACAAGATCACCAATTATCTCATACCCCTTGTTCTCAGCCCTCTCTATACCTTCACTTCCATCTATAATACCTTCGCCTATCAGGTAGTCGATCAATTTCTCTTTATCAATTCTATCATCTTCTGGAAATAAAGCGCAATACAGCAAACATGATCTGACATCTTCGCCCTTAAGATTATCGTAGCTATACTTCAAAAGCGGAAGGATCTTATCTTCCATGCCAGAAAACTCTATAGCGTACGAAGTCAAAACATTTATCGCATGACGCCATTCTTCCACTGTCTTCTTGCATGACATGGTCTCCCCTATGACATTGAGCGCCAATGGAAGGCCACCACATTTTCTAGCAATGTCTTTTGCAAGCTCAGGGATCTCCAGATCACTTCCTAATGTTTCTTGTCCAACCTTCTTTTGGAACAAATCAAATGCTTCATCGTCATCCAAACATTGGACTTCAAATGTCATCTCCAATTTGCAAATTTCCAAATGCTCCAAGGCAAATGTCATCTCCAGTTTGCATCACGAGATACCTGATATATATGTCCCTTTCATACTTATTATACTGTAAAATAAACAAAAAGACAGAGGCATTAAAAAATGGAAGCAGTTCATACCCGAAGAAAAAAATCATATGAAAACAAATAAGAGAATACGAGAAATTATACCAATTTGCATGAAGATAAGAAGCGAGTTTTGGTAGCTTCGTCCTCCCATTCCACACCTTCAATCCAACTTTCCTCTTTGTATCTAAGACGAGTCCATTTTCACCATGCATGCCACTTTGAGAATCCAGTGGAAGCTTTTTCAGATTTGGACATTCGATTACATGAATTCCTTTAGACATGGAAAGCGTAGAGGACTCCAATAGATATTCTTTAGCTTCGGTAGACTCCCAAAAGAAACCAGCTTTGCAAAAGGAACAATCCCTGATTCTTCACCTTCACAAGCTTTCTCTTTGTTTATTATATCTTCTAGTTGATCTGCACCGAAACATCAAGTTCTTTAAGATTTGAAGCAAACATCAGCAACGTCAGCTCCCTCAGGCCTGCAATTATTATACACTTGGAGAGGCTCAAGAAGCATGGCTCTCTCGGATTGTGTAGAGGAGAAACCGTCTTGCTTTTGTTGCATATACTTCCCATCTTTATCTCAGAGATAGTGCAGCGTAATGCTGAAATAACGAGCTTGTTCATGGTTACTGGAATTGCTATTCCAGTTGATTCCAATTTCATGATCCCAGAAATCGTGTACAACTCGTCAACCTGTGGAGCTAAAAATAGCTCCAGAGGTGGATACACATCGATCTATGGTTAAAATTTCTAAATGCTCCAAGGTTTCTAATTCCTCCACTATGCCGCGATCCCATGAAAAACCACTTCCAGCTAAATTCAGTATCATCAAATTATGCAGATTTGATATCCCAGCAATACTCGAAAGCTTAGTGTATACCGAGATCCAAGTGAATGAGTTTTTTCAACTCTTGTAGACCCTTAGGGAGATGACGTATACCTGTATCTGACAAGTTGAGATATTGCAAGGAAACTAAATCAGATACTCCATCCGGCACTTTGGTGAGATTTCATTAAATGATAGATCCAACACCTGTAGCTTCGGCATGGACTTGAAGAATTCACTCGAGATATTTACCAATTCTCCCCGTTGCATGAGAAAAGTGTGAGTTCAGACATTCAGGACTGCCAGCTAGATTGCGAATCTTATTCTTCATCAGTGACATCCTTCTCACACTGTTCCAATTCTTAACCTTTGGAATTTCACTTAACCCTACACCTGCATGCACAATGAAAGCCTCCTTTTCTCTTCCCAATTCAGATGCAATCCACAATGCCATTTCGCGAACAACATCATGCATACGCACCACTTCTTGTTCCATCTTCTCAGCCTCTTCCATCAACAAAGATGCACGAACAAGATCACCAATTATCTCATACCCCTTGTTCTCAGCCCTTTCTATTCCATCACTTCCATTGATAATATCTTCGCATATCAAGTAGTCTATAAGTTCTCTTTAGAAATCAGAATCTTCTGGGAACAAAGCACAATACAGCAAACATGATTTGACATCCTCACCCTTAAGATTATCGTAGCTATACTTCAAAAGCGGAAGGATCTTATCTTCCATGCCAGAAAACTCTGTAGCGTACGAAGTCAAAACATTTATCGCGTGACGCCATTCTTCCACCGTCTTCTTGCATGACATGGTCTCCCCTATGACATTGAGCGCCAATGGAAGGCCACCACATTTTCTAGCAATGTCTTTTGCAAGCTCAGGGATCTCTGATCGCTTCCTAATGTTCTTTCCAACCTTCTTTTGGAACAAATCAAATGCTTCTTTTCCGCCAAGCATTGACTTCCATTGGGTCTTCAACCCCATGCGCACATACGTCTTGGCGACGAGTGGTGAAGACTACTTTGCATCGGTTTTCTGGTGCTGGAAACGGGACTCCAATCTCTAAATCCACCTTCTCCCATATGTCATCTAAAAACAGCACAAATCTCTTTTTCCTTCAAGAAATTGTATAAACAATGGTCTTTTGGCTCTTGTCTTTTTTTTCCAATCCTCTCCATCAAGACCAATTTTCTGAGCGATTCATTTTGAATCTTCTCTACATGTAACTCTTTAGACACCACAACCCAAATCACAAAATCAAATCCACACCTTTCTTCACTGAACTTATTGTTGATTTGCTTGAGAAGCGTTGTTTTCCCAACTCCGCCCATTCCATACATACCCATAGTACCAACTCCATCTTTCATGAGATGTTTCCATGCATATCGAGCATTGTTCTTGACCAACAATTATCGTGGAACTTGTATTTCCTCTATCACAGCTGTGGATGTTTGAGCTTGCCCACAAACCTCTCCAAATTCTTTACTCATAAGTTCCTCAACCTCCTGCAACGTCAAGGAAACCTTTTCCCCGTAACGATAACTCGATATTAAACTGTTAGAGCAAAACCCAAAAGACACAGTCTTGCAAGTTCATCTTCTCTACGGCCAATAAGATCACTGACATTTTTTTCGATAGTCGCAACTCTCTTAAGCCATACCTCGGTTGTAGCAAGCTTTTGCCGACCTCCTCCTCCTCTGTTGTGACCCTTGATTCAAATCTTCACGCTTAGCTCTGAGATCTTCCATAGCTTCCAAAGCCTCAAGATTCATCTCAAGATTTTGAATATAAATTCCTTTTCTTGTAGCCATTGAGAGATTGGATTTATACACGGACCTAAGAAAGAGAGGAAATTCCCCATTTTGCAGAAAGAAAGAGTTTCTGAGATTTTGAGATTTTGAGATGACCAAACGAGAGAAGATGCAGAGAATAATTGAAGATAAGACTTTCTTTCACGTCCACAATATTCGATCGAGTGAGTCCATATCACTGATTTTTCTTGGAAATTTTGGCTTATTTGATTTCCATAATTCTCACGTTCACACATTTTGGTTGTTGACTTTGGTGGGACATACTAATCACAAAGTCGCTCTCCATGGCAAACCAAAGAAGAAGAAGACTTAATCCTTGTTACAATAAGCTTTTAATGATAAGCGTGATTATTCAGTCCCCAATCGAATATTTGATCAAAACCATATACAGTATGCCATATTTGAAGCCTTATAGGGATTCCTAAGCGATTTACACACTGTTTGGGGATTGACCAAGTGAGAATCTCTGTAAATTATGTTTCTCCATGTGAGACCAAATTGAAACGAAAACACGTTCATGTATGGGAAGATCATCACTTGGTTGATGAAGCTACCAAGACTTGCCTTTGTATACATCAACCAAAAGATGATATTTTGTATAACCAAGGAGAATAATATATAAGACTATACGGTAAGTTAATTTTATATAAAGGTGGTGTACCTCAGAATCAACAGAGCATCAACTAATGTAATGAATACTAGCACTAGGTATTATCAGTTAATAGTAAATCTGGCGCTAAGAGTAAAACAAACCATATTTAACAATATGAAAATGACTTAGAGAAGAACAAGATCCCATTACGCCACACGCTACTCTGCTTCTGCTTCATAGTCATATTCTTCATCATAATAAGGATCTTCAAGTCTTTGTTTCTTGTACTTGGCTTCTTCTTCTTCTTCTTCAAGTCTTCTGGCCTCTCTAAACCTTGTAGCCTTGCTAGAATGGCAGCAGCATCCTCCTTGCGAGCACGAGATTCATTGCCAGACTCAACTCCTCCAGGGTAATAATCCAACTCCTGCTTGACAAGCAAAAGAGAGATTTAACAAGTGAGAAAGGGAAAACTTGTGGAAAGATATCAAATATGTAGTTAAACAATGACAAGGTTTCTTTTGGGGATAGATGCTTACATCAAGTGCATGTTGTTTACTGAGGATATGCTTGGTGAAACTTTCAAAGCCAAAGAGACCAAGACAGCATCCTGAGCAATAAAATGTAGATTACCCGTTGTTCCACTGCACTCCTTCTTGGCCTCTGTTGGAGAAAAAAAAAACAAAACAAAAAAGAAACACACCTGCACGTAAGCTTGCGAGTAAGCTTTCCCAGAGGAAGCACCCTGCACGCCTAGCGAAGACGGTGGGCTCTAGTTGACGATCATATGGAACTTTTGAGCCAAGAACGTAGTATTTCTCCGATAGATCGGCAATAAACTGACCGAAGATCCTCTGAAGGGATATGAGCATGACATTAGCCGGAGGCGGATTATCCGACTTCCACATGTACACACTAGTCATAATAGATTTGTTATCTGTTCAAGAAAAACAAAAATACTTAAGACTCTGTAAAAACACACCAAAAGCAAGGAAAAAAGGTAGAGAGTTGAATGTAATACACTTACCATGGTGGGGACGTGATGAAGGTTGATCCTAGTGGAAGAGAGGGCTCGAAGGACGTCAATAGGGACTTGTGAAAGTATGCCAACGGCGGTGATGGTGAGATCACCGTTGTAACCTAAACTCTTCAACGCCCGTCTTATAAACGGACCCACACGACGAGCATCAACGTCGGTGGGAACAGGACACCTGCTTATGTCCCACAAGACCCATGTTGCAATATCAGCTTGCCTCTTCGTCGCCGCCTTAAGGTCCACCATCGTTCACCCTAATGAACGTAAACTAACGTAGGGTTTTATCAGAAGTAAAACATGTTACACATGTACGTAGAATAATATAACAACTCATTCGCATGATGAAGAAATATAAAAGAGAATAAACCTAAGGAACTAAACCGATTGGCACATCAATTGGATTTTTTGCTGAAACACATCAATTGGATTTTTTGCTTTATTTAAGTAAAAAATTACCTTTTTATGTTGGTGTTGGAAAAGAGATCCTTATCATTAAAGCTTAAATATTTGATACACCAACAAATTAAAAAAAAAAAAAAAAAAAAAAAAAAAATTAAAATTGTTTTGTTCTAATTTATACAGATTATTGGAGACAAGCTTACAGGAGGTTTACAGAATGGTGTACGTGGAGCCGTCGGCCGGGGAGCATTTGAAGATGGTAGAATTGTCCGTCCGTTGTAGAACTGTCTTGTAACAGTTCTCATATTTGTGTAATAGATTAGTCAATCCAGTGTTAAAAAGAATTTATACATTAGGAAAGTGTCTAATTGCTCCATTACACTGAAATTCTCTTATTTCTCCATCCATTAAACCCGGTTTAGTTCTGGTTTTGATAAAAATTTGATCCGTTGGTCGAAGCAACTTTGGTGGGCCATTTTAATTACCGAATCTCGTAAAAACCCATATGGCATCTTCGTCATCAATCAAATCACGCCACGTGGCTGTAATCGGATCTGGAGCCGCCGGACTAGTCGCCGCGAGAGAGCTTCGACGAGAAGGTCACTCCGTCGTTGTCTTCGAGAGGCAGAAAAAGGTCGGAGGAACCTGGATCTACACAGATCATGTCGAGTCGGATCCGTTAAGCATCGACCCGACCCGAATCGTCGTTCACTCGAGCGTCTATGACTCTCTCCGAACTAACCTTCCTCGAGAATGTATGGAATTCAGAGACTTCCCTATTGGATATCAATCCAAGTCCCACATCGGAATATTAGACAAGAAGTGTCTAATATATAAGTAGTGTCCAACCTAACTAGTATGAGGCCTTTTGGGAAGGAGCCCAATAACAAATCCGTGAGAGTTAAGATATATGGACCCAAAGCGGACAATATCATACTAGTTAGACGGTTGGACACGGGCTTGAAAAGCCCTTTATTCCCGTTCGCGATGGAAAATGGAGAAGGTTGTGCGTGTTTCTCCGGCGGTGGAAAGCGACGGCGGAGAAGGAATCGGAAAATGGAGAATCGAATCTACAGAGAAGGAGAAGAAAATTCATGGCGATGAGATTTACGACGCTGTTGTTGTTTGTAATGGACATTACATCGAACCTCGTCTCGCTGAAATTCCTGGTAAATTCTCAACATCTTGCATCTATGAATGAATCATTTCAAAATCAGAAACATTTGAAAACTAATGAATCGTTTTCAGGGATAAGTTGTTGGCCAGGGAAGGAGATGCATAGCCATAACTATCGTCTTCCTTCACCATTCAAAGATTAGGTACTCAATTTTTTCTTCAAAATGTCGAATATGATTCATTTTCATGGTGAAAAGTTGTGATACATTTGAACCATAGGTTGTTGTGGTTATTGGAAGCTCTGCGAGTGTTGTTGATATAAGCAGAGACATTTCCGGGTTTGCCAAAGAGGTTCATGTGGCTTCTTGGTCAAATTCAGCTGATACTTTTACCAAGCAGAACGGTTACACTAACATATGGATGCATTCGATGGTGAGTTTAGCTGTAATTCGTTGGTCAGATCAAGAGATGAAATAATGGTTCTTGAAACGTTTTCTTGAATCTTTTATGCAGATTGAGCGTGTCCATGAGGATGGTTCTGTGGTTTTTCAGAACGGGGAAACGGTTTTGGGTGATGTTATTATGCATTGCACTGGTTATAAGTATCATTTTCCGTTTCTTGACACCAATGGAGAAGTTACTGTTGATGATAACTGTGTTGGACCATTGTACAAACATATTTTTCCTCCAGCGTTAGCACCGTGGCTCTCCTTCGCAGGGATACCATATAAGGTACAACAGCTCTAAATCATTCCTCTCAAGTTTTATTTTTCTTATCAAATTTGGATCTTTCAGGTTTTACCATTCCCTATGTTTGAGCTGCAAAGCAAGTGGATAGCGGGTGTTTTGTCGGGTCGGATCAAGCTTCCTTCGAAGGAGGATATGATGGTGGAAACCAAAACCATGAAGGACACATTTGAAGCCTTGGGGATTCCTAAGCGATTTACGCACTGTTTGGGGATTGACCAAGTAAGAAGAGTCTCTGTAACTTATGTTTCTTCTTGTGAGGCCAAATCCGAAGGAAAACATGTTAAATGTTGTACTTTTGTGTTGTTTCTTGCACTCTTTTGTCACAGTTTGAGTACTATGATTGGTTGGGTTCACAAATAGGGTGCTTAGGAACAGAGGAGTGGAGGAAAGAGATGAGTTTGCCTATTTTCATGAGGAAGATGAAACATCCCAAAATAACGGTTGTTGACTTTGGTGGGACATCACTGTATATAGAGTAACCACAAAGTCTCCGTTGTTGACTGAAGAAGAAGACTTGAGAATCACGTAAAACCCAAATCGCACCACGTGACTATCATCACCCGCCGGAGCGTCGACGGGAACGACACTGGGTGGTCGTCTTCAACAGGCTGTCAAGAAATAGAAACCTCATGGATAAAATCAACCCAATTCCGTGACCCGAACCGTCTTCCAATACAGAGATCTGAGGAGGTTTCCGTCTCATGGATAACTTCTTGGCCACGGAAGGAGATGCATAGACTCATGATTAGCGTACTCTTCATGAACCATTCAAAGATCAAAATTTGAAAACTTGCTCTGTTCCAATTTATACGTAGAAAAGTGTCTAGTTGCTTTTGCTTCATTACACTGAATGCTCTTATATTTCCATTAAATCCGGTTTAGTTCCGGTTTGGATAGAAACGTTAATAATTAATCTTTAGGTTAGGTGGGCCACTTTGACGACAGAATCTCCATGGCTTGAGACTTGACTGACTGTCTGACTGACCCAAGAATTATTGAGAATCTCGTAAAAAATGGCATCATCAATGAAATCACGCCACGTGGCTGTAATCGGAGCTGGAGCCGCCGGGCTAGTTGCGGCGAGAGAGCTCCGACGAGAAGGTCACTCCGTCGTCGTCTTCGAGAGGCAGAAACAGGTCGGAGGAACTTGGATCTACACCGATCACGTCGAGTCGGATCCGTTAAGCGTCGACCCGACCCGAATCGTTGTTCACTCGAGCGTCTATGGCTCACTCCGAACTAACCTTCCTCGAGAATGTATGGGATTCAGAGACTTCCCATTCGCGATCCGATCCGGCGAATCCAGAGATCCGAGGAGGTTTCCGAGTCACGGTGAAGTTCTAGCGTATCTGCAGGATTTCGGTAAGGAATTTGGCATCGAGGAGCTGATTCGGTTCGAGACGACTGTTGTGCGCGTTTCTCCTGCGGCGGAAAGCGACGGCGAAGAAGGAATCGGAAAATGGAGAATCGAATCTACAGAGAAGGAGAAGAAATTCATCATGATGAGATTTACGATGCAGTTGTTGTTTGTAATGGACATTACATAGAACCTCGTCTCGCTGAAATTCCTGGTAAATTCTCAACATCTTGCATCTATGAATGAATCATTTCAAAATCAGAAACATTTGAAAACTATGAATCGTTTCAGGGATAAGTTCGTGGCCAGGGAAGGAGATGCATAGCCATAACTATCGTCTTCCACAACCATTCAAAGATCAGGTACTCAATATTTTTTCAAAATGTGAGATATGATTCATTTTCATGGTGGAGAAGAGAATTGTGATACATTTGATTCATAGGTTGTTGTGGTTATTGGAAGCTCTGCAAGTGCTGTTGATATAAGCAGAGACATTTCCGGATTCGCCAAAGATGTTCATGTGGCTTCTTGGTCAAATCCAGCTGATACTTTTATCAAGCAGAACGGTTACACTAACATATGGATGCATTCAATGGTGAAATAATGGTTTTTGAAACGTTTTCTTGAATCTTTTTTATACAGATAGAGTGTGTCCATGAGGATGGTTCTGTGGTTTTTCAAAACGGGGAAACGATTTTGGTTGATGTGATTATGCATTGCACTGGTTATAAGTATCACTTTCCGTTTCTTGAAACCAATGGAGAAGTTACTGTTGATGATAACTGTGTTGGGCCATTGTACAAACATGTCTTCCCTCCAGCGTTAGCACCGTCGCTCTCCTTCGTCGGGATACCATATAAGGTACAAAGCTCTAAATCATTCCTCTCAAGTTTTTTTTTCTTATCAAATTTGGATCTTTCAGGTTTTACCATTCCCTATGTTTGAGCTGCAAAGCAAGTGGATCGCGGGTGTTTTGTCGGGTCGAATCAAGCTTCCTTCGAAGGAAGATATGATGGTGGAAACCAAAACCATGAAGGCCACATTTGAAGGCTTGGGGATTCCTAAGCGATTTACACACTGTTTGGGGATTGACCAAGTAAGAAGAATCTCTGTAAACTTATGTTCCTCTTTGTGAGGCCAAATCCAAACGAAAGCATGTTAAATGTTGTTGTTTACTTTTGTGTTGTTTGTTTGACAGTTTGAGTACTATGATTGGTTGGGTTCACAAATTGGGTGCTCAGGAACAGAGGAGTGGAGGAAAGAGATGAGTTTGCCTATCTTCATGAGGAAGATGAAACATCCGGAGAGTTATAGAGACGAATGGGAAGATCATCACTTGGTTGCTCAAGCTTACCAAGATTTCTCTTTGTATATATCACCCAAAAGATGAGATTTTGTAAAAATAAAGATGAAAGCGCTTCTATTTCGTGTACAGCTCATCATCCCTGTGAGAGCTTAAGAACTGAACCAAACCTGAATCATATAACCAATTCCTATGGTTAATATCTCTAATCTTGCCAAGACTTGTAACTCCTTCACCGTGTTGAGATCTAACGAAACATCAGAACCTCGCAATCTCAACACCTTCAAATTTAGTAGACTTGATACCCCAACGATACTCGAAAGTTTTCACGTGAAACTCCAGATTTAAGTGAAGTAACTTCTTCAAACTCTTATAGAAGCCGAGAGGTATATTTCAAATGTCTTTGACATGTTGAGATACCAGCTCTGATATTCCTTGTAGACTCTCTGAGAGATTTCTGTCATACAACATATCCAAAACAAACTAGTTTCCCATATTTTAGACAAACAAGAGAGATTCAGACAGAGCAATTTGGTTTGATTAAAGTCAAAAGGAAAATATTACACAGCAGAAAACTTCAAACGAAACCATTGTATGAATGTTGATGCAAATAAGAAAATATTACTCACAGAGAGCAACACACACAGAGTGAGTGATAGTGATTTTGAGAGAAGAGAAGAGAGAAAAGCTTTTTGGAACAAAGGCAAATGGCATCTACAACTTCCAAGGAGCTGCATCAGAAGATACCTGTTATACCTTGTGGCTACAATCCAAACTAACTGTAACAAAAACAAAAAGACAGAGGCATTAAAAAAATGGAAGCAGTTCATAACTCGAAGAAAAAATCATACGATAACAAATACGAAAATAAATTATACCAATTTGCATGAAGATAAGAAGCGACTTTTGGTAGCTTCGTCCTCCCATTCCACACCTTCAATCCAACTTTCCTCTTTGTATTCTAAGACGAGTCCATTTTCACCATGCATGCCACTTTGAGAATCCAGTGGAAGCTTTTTCAGATTTGGACATTTCTTACATCGAATCTTTAGACATGGAAAGCGTAGAGGACTCCAATAGATATTCTTTAGCTTCGGTAGATTCCGCAACTTGAGAGAAACCAGCTTTGCAAAAGGAACAATCCCTGATTCTCCACTTCACAAGCTTTCTCTTTGTTTATTATATCTTCTAGTTGATCTGCATACGTAACTCGAAGTTCTTTAAGATTTGAAGCAAACATCAGCAACGTCAGCTCCCTCAGGCCTTGCAATCACTTATATTCACGTGGAGAGGCTCAAGAAGCATGGCTCTTTCGGATTGTGTAGAGGAGAAACCGTCTTGCTTTTGTTGCATATACTTCCCATCTTTATCTCAGAGATAGTGCAGCCTAATGCTGAAATAACGAGCTTGTTCATGGTTACTGGAATTGCTATTCCAGTTGATTCCAATTTCGAGATCCCAGATATTGTGTACAACTCGTCAACCTGAGAGAACTAAAAATAGCTCCAGATGTGGTGGACACATCGATTCTATGGTTAAAATTTCTAAATGCTCCAAGGATTCTAATTCCTCCACTATGCGCGATCCCATGAAAAACCACTAACTAAATTCAGTATCATCAAATTATGCAGATTTGATATCCCAGCAATACTCGAAAGTTATGTGTAGAACCGAGATTCCAAGTGGATGAGTTTTTTCAACTCTTGTAGACCCTTAGGGAGATGACGGATACCTGTATCTGACAAGTTGAGATATTCAAAGAAACTAAATCAGATACTCCATCCGGCACTTTGGTGAGATTTTTATTAAATGATAGATCCAACACCTGTAGCTTCGGCATGGACTTGAAGAATTCACTCGAGATATTTACCAAATCTGTTGCATGAGAAAAGTTGTGAGTTGGAGACATTCAGGACTGCCAGCTAGATTGTGAATCTTGTTCTTCATCAGTGACATTCTTCTCACACTGTTCCAATTCTTAACCTTTGGAATTTCATTTAACCCTACACCTGCATGCACAATGAAAGCCTCCTTTTCTCTTCCCAATTCAGATGCAATCCACAATGCCATTTCGCGAACAACATCATGCATACGCACCACTTTCTTGACCATATCATCCTCTTCCATCAACAAGATGCACGAACAAGATCACCAATTATCTCATACCCCTTGTTCTCAGCCCTTCTCTATACCTTCACTTCCATCTATAATACCTTCGCCTATCAAGTAGTCTATCAATTCTTCTTTAGAAATATCATCTTCTGGAATAAAGCACAATACAGCAAACATGATTTGACATCCTCCCTTAAGATTATCGTAGCTATACTTCAAAAGCGGAAGGATCTTATCTTCCATGCCAGAAAACTCTGTAGCGTACGAACTCAAAACATCTATCGCGTGACGCCATTCTTCCACCCTTCTCTTGCATGACATGGTCTCGCCTATGACATTGAGCGCCAATGGTAGGCCACCACATTTTCTAGCAATGTCTTTTGCAAGCTCAGGGATCTCCGGATCGCTTCCTAATGTTCTTTGTCCAACCTTCTTTTGGAACAAATCAAATGCTTCATTTTCGCCAAGCATTGGACTTCCATTGGGTCTTCAACCCCATGCGTGCACATACTTCTTGGGAACGAGTGGTGAATACCACTTTGCATCGGTTTTGTGTGCTGGAAATGGGACTCCAATCTCAGGTAATCCACCTTCTCCCATATGTCATCTAGAAACAACACAAATCTCTTTTTCTTCAAGAAATTGTATAAAGATCGGTCTTTTGGCTCTTCTCTTTTTTTCCACTCCTCTCCACCAAGACCAATTTTCTGAGCGATTTCATCTTGAATATTCTCTACATGTAACTCTTAGACACCACAACCCAAATCACAAAATCAAATCCACACCTTTCTTCACTGAACTTATTGTTGATTGTGTGAGAAGCGTTGTTTTCCTACTCCGCCCATACCATACATACCCATAATACCAACTCATCTTCCTTGAGATGTTTCCATGCCTTGTCGAGCATTGTTTCTTGACCAACAATTGTACGTTGAACTTGTCTTTCCACCACCTCGGATGTTTGAGCTTGCTCAGTAGTCACTTCAAAATCTCTACTATGGAGTTCTCAACCTCCTTCAACGTCAAGAAAACCTTCTTCCCGTAACGGTAACTAGATCTTAAACTCTTAGAGCAAAACCCACAAAGACACAACTTTTGAAGTTCATCATCTCTAGCACTAAGAAGATCATTGACTTCTTTTTCGATATCACAACTCTCTTAAACCATACCTCGATTTCGGCAAGCCTTTGCTGACGTCTATCATCCTCCTCTCTTGTGACCCTTCTTGACAAATCATCACGCTTAGCCTTGAGCTCTTCCATGGTTGTCACCAGAGTTGTGAGATTCTTCTCGAGATTATATAAACAAGCTACTTTCTCATCAATCCATTAGAGATTTTGTTTATACACGGATCACAAGGTATGGAGAAAGAGATGCCCATTTTGCAGAAAGGAAAAGAGATCTAGATTTGAGAATTTTACTGATCTGAGCAAAACCAGAGGAGAATGCAAAGAATAAATGAAGTCGAAGATAAGACTTTCTTTCTCGTCCACAATCTTCGATCGAGTGAGTCCAAATCACTAAATTTTCTTAGAAATTTCACTTATTTGATTTCCATCACACAGTTGGTAGTAGACTTTGGTGGGACATACTAATCACAATTCACAAAGTCTCTCCATGGCTAACCGAAGAAGAAGTACACTTGAGAATCTTCGTTGATAATTAATTGAATCTCTAGTCTCGCTGAAGTTCCTGATAATTAATTCCAATATACCGGTTGTTGACTTTGGTGGGACATCACTATATATACTACTAACCACAAAGACTCTCCACTGTTGACTGAAGAAGAAAACTTGAGACTCACGTAAAACCGAAATCGCACAGTCGTTAGTCCTTACTCCTCGATACCATCAATCAAATCGCTTCACATGCCTATTAGCTTCGACCGGAACGTCACTGGGTGGTCGTCTTCAAGAGGTTAGAGGAACAAAAACATGTCAACCCGGATCCGTTAAGCGTTCACCCGACCCGTCTTCAAATACAGAGATTGAGTTTCCGACTCAGGGATAACTTCTTGGCCACAGAATGAAATGCAGTCATAATTAGCATATAATGCTACATTGACTTAGTCTATCATTTTAGCTCCTACAAGCACTTACCCTAATTTTTTTATATATAAAGTTTGATGCAAGATGTGGTAACGACACGTGGAATATTTATAACTCATAAGATTATAACATGTGGTTTTTAAATTCTAAAAGTATTAATAATGTGACATGTATCATCAAATAAGAAAAATAAAAAAAAAATTAATATATATAATTACAACCAATAAAAAATCAGAAAAATATGAAACAAACAATTAAAAAGAATAAATATTACACCTGTTAAGAAAAAAACATATTCACATTATTAACAGGAAGAAAAAACGAAAAATAGAAAAACCAGAAACAAACAGGTAATTAAAAAAAAATTGTTACATCCAAGAATTTTTTTTTTTTTTTTTTTTTCATCCAAGAAAAATTCTTAATGAAAAAAAACATATTCCCAAACCAATATATAAAAATGAGATCGGAGAAGAAGTGATGGGTGATAATCATAGCATGGAGTTATTTGAATGGCTAAAGAAAAATAAAATCATAGCGGAGTGGATAATACAATTTCTTTAACAAACCAAACAACATGGTAATTACCGTTTAGTTTGGATATTGTACATCATTGAGAGAGAGAGAGAGAGAGAGAGAGAGAGAGAGAGAGAGAGAGAGAGAGAGAGAGAGTAACACAATCCAAACGAGCTGCAATGGCATTTGTAACACATTTGCCTTACATTATCTTTATATGTAAGGCAAATGGCATCTTCAACTTCCAACGAGCTGCATCAGAAATCCTGTGGCTCGCTATATCCAACACTAACACTGTACATAAACAAAAAGACAGATGCATAAGAAAATGGAAGCGGTTCATATCCCGAAGAAAAAAAATCATATGAAAAGAAATAAGATAATACGAGAAATTATACCAATTTTCATGAAGATAAGAAGCGAGTTTTTGTAGCTTCGTCCTCCCATTCAACACCTTCAATCCAACTTTCCTCTCTGTATCCTAAGACGAGTCTATTTTCACCATGTATGCCACTTTGAGAATCCAATGGAAGCTTTTTCAGATTTGGACATTCGATTACATTGAATATCTTTAGACATGGAAAGCGTAGAGGATTCCAATAGATATTCTTTAGCTTGGGTAGACTCCGCAAATAAAGAGAAACCAGCTTTGCAAAAGGAACAATCCCTGATTCTTCAACTTCACAAGCTTTCTCTTTGTTTATTATATCTTCTAGTTGATCTGAATACCTAACTTCAAGTTCTTTAAGATTTGAAGCAAACATCAGCAACGTCAGCTCCCTCAGGCCTCGGCATTTATTTATATACACTTTGGAGAGGCTCAAGAAGCATGGCTCGCTCGGATTGTGTATAGGAGAAACCATCTTGCTTTTGTTGCATATACTTCCCATCTTTATCTCAGGGATAGTGCAGTTCGTAATGATGAAATAACGAAGCTTGTTCATGGTTCACTGGAATTGCTATTCCAGTTGATTCCAATTTCAAGATCTCCAGAAATCGTGTACAACTCGTCAACCTGAGAGAACTAAAAAATAGCTCCAGATGTGGTGGACAATGGATTTCTAGGGTTAAAATTTCTAAATGCTCCAAGGTTTCTAATTCCTCCACTATGCCGCGATCCCATGAAAAGCCACTTCCAGCTAATTTCAGATCATCAAATTATGCAGATTTGATATCCCAGCAATACTCGAAAGCTGAAGTGTATGCTCGAGATTCAAGTGAATGAGTTTTTTCAACTCTTGTAGACCCTTAGGGAGATGACGGATACCTGTATCTGACAAGTTGAGATACTTCAAAGAAACTAAATCAGATACTCCATCCGGCACTTTGGTGAGATGTTCATTAAATGATAGATCCAACACCTGTAGCTTCGGCATGGACTTGAAGAATTCACTCGAGATATTTACCAATTCTCCCCGTTGCATGAGAAAAGCTGTGAGTTCGAGACATTCAGGACTGCCAGCTAGATTGCGAATCTTGTTCTTCATCAGTGACATTCTTCTCACACTGTTCCAATTCTTAACCTTTGGAATTTCATTTAACCCTACACCTGCATGCACAATGAAAGCCTCCTTTTCTCTTCCCAATTCAGATGCAATCCACAATGCCATTTCACGAACAACATCATGCATACGCACACATTCTGTTCCATATTGTTCAGCTCTTCCATCAACAAAGATGCACGAACAAGATCACCAATAATCTCATACCCCTTGTTCTGGCCCTCTCTATACCTTCACTTCCATCTATAATACTTCGCCTATCAAGTAGTCTATCAAATACTTTTTAGAAATCAGATCATCTTCTGGAAATAAAGCGCAATACAGCAAACATGATTTGACATCCTCGCCCTTAAGATTATCGTAGCTATACTTCAAAAGGAAGGATCTTATCTTCCATGCCAGAAAACTCTGTAGCGTACGAAGTCAAAACATTTATAGCGTGACGCCATTCTTCCACCGTCTTCTTGCATGACATGGTCTCCCCTATGACATTGAGCGCCAATGGAAGGCCACCACATTTTCTAGCAACGTCTTTTGCAAGCTTGGGGATCTCTGGATCGCTGTCCTAATGTTTTTTGTCCAACCTTCTTTTGGAACAAATCAAATGCTTCAATTTCCGCCAAACATTGGACTTCCAATTGTTCTTCAGCCATCATCTCCGAACATACACCTTGTTTACGAGTGGTGAAGACTACTTTGCATCGGTTTTCTGGTGCTGGAAATGGGACTCCAATCTCTGTTAAATCCACCTTCTCCCATATGTCATCTAAAAACAACACAAATCTCTTTTTCTTCAAGAAATTGTATAAATCAATGGTCTTTTGGCTCTTCTTTTTTTTCTCCCACTTCTCTCCATCAAGACCAACTTTCTGAGCGATTTCATCTTGAATCTTCTCTACATGTAACTCTTTAGACACCACAACCCAAATCACAAAATCAAATCCACACCTTTCTTCACTGAACTTATTGTTGATTTGCATGAGAAGCGTTGTTTTCCCAACTCCGCCCATACCATACATACCCATAATACCAACTCCATCTTTCATGAGATGTTTCCATGCCTTATCGAGCATTGCTTCTTGACCAACAATTATCCGTGGAACTTGTATTTCCTCTATCACAGCTGTGTCAGCTTTATTAACTACTTGATCAGTAACATTTTGGAAAACTCTATTTTCGAGTTGCACAACATCTATCAACGACAAGAAAACCTTTTTCCCGTAACGGTAACTGGATCTTAAACTCTTAGAGCAAAACCCACAAAGACACAACCTTTGAAGTTGAACATCTCTAGCATCAAGAAGAGCATCAACTTTTTGATCCAAAGACTCAACTTTCTTAAGCCATACCTGGAATTCTTCCAGCCTTTGTCCACCTTTATCCTCCTCTCTTGTGGCCTTTCGTAATAAATCATTCCGCTTAGCCTTGAGCTTAACCATGCTGTTCTCCAGAGTGGCGAGATTCTTCTCAAGATCGTGAATATAACCAACTTTCTTGTCTAGCCATTGAGAGATTTTATCCATCCACTCATCACAGGATATCGAGCAAGTGATTAAATTCCCCATTTTACAGAAAGGGAGAAATCTGAAATCTGAAATTTGCTGATATGAGCAAACCAGAGACAATGCAGAGAATAATTGAAGATAAGACTTTCTTTCACGTCCACAATTCTCGACCAAGTGAGTCCAAATCACTGATTTTTCTTGGAAATGTTTGCTTATTTGATATCCATAATTCTCACGTTCACACATTTTGGTTGTTGACTTTGGTGGGACATACTAATCACAAAGTCGCTCTCCATGGCAAACCAAAGACGAAGAAGACTTAATATTTAATCCTTAATCCTTGTTACAATAAGCTTTTAATGATAAGCGTGATTATTCAGTCCCCAATCGAATATTTGATCAAAACCATTTACAGTATGCCACATTTGAAGCCTTATAGGAATTCATAAGCGATTTACACACTGTTTGGGGATTGACCAAGTGAGAATCTCTGTAAATTATGTTTCTCCATGTGAGACCAAATTCAAACGAAAACACGTTCATGTATGGGAAGATCATCACTTGGTTGATGAAGCTAACCAAGACTTGCCTTTGTATATATCAACCAAAAGATGATATAATATCTAAGACTATACGGTAAGTTAATTCTCTATAAAGGTGGTGTACCTCTGAATCAACAATGAATAAGCACTAGGTATTATCAGTTAAAAATCTGGCGCTAAGAGTAAAACAAACCATATTTAACAATATGAAAATGCCTTAGAGAAGAACAAGATCCCATTACGCCACACGCTACTCTGCTTCTGCTTCATAGTCATATTCTTCATCATAATAAGGATCTTCAAGTCTTTCTTTTTTGTACTTGGCTTCTTCTTCTTCTTCTTCAAGTCTTCTGGCCTCTCTAAAACCTTGTAGCCTTACTAGAATGGCAGCAGCATCCTCCTTGCGAGCACGAGATTCATTGCCAGCCTCAACTCCTCCAGGGTAATAATCCAACTCCTGCTTGACAAGCAAAAGAGAAAATTAACAAGTGAGAATGGGAAAGAATCAAATATGTAGTTAGACAATGACAAGGTTTCTTTTGGGGATAGATGCTTACTTCAAGTGCATGTTCTTTACTGAGGATATGCTTGGTGAAACTTTCAAAGCCTAAGAGACCAAGACAGCATCCTGAGCAATAAAATGTAGTTTTACCCGTTGTTCCACTGCACTCCTTCTTGGCCTCTGTTGGAGAAAAAAAACAAAACAAAAAAGAGCTTAATTTGGTGTGTGTTTGAGAGAGAGCGAGAGAGAGAGAGAGAGGAACACACCTGCACGTAAGCTCGCGAGTAAGCTTTCCCAGAGGAAGCACCCTGCACGCCTAGCGAAGACGGTGGGCTCTAGTTGACGATCATATGGAACTTTTGAGCCAAGAACATAGTATTTCTCCGATAGATCGGCAATAAACTGACCGAAGATCCTCTGAAGGGATATGAGCATGACATTAGCCGGAGGCGAATTATCCGACTTCCACATGTACACACTAGTCATAATAGATTTGTTATCTGTTCCAGAAAAAACAATACTTAAGACTCTGTAAAAACACACCAAAAGCAAGGAAAAAAGGTAAAGAGAGTTGAATCTAAAACACTTACACATGGTGGGGTCGTGGGGACGTGATGAAGGTTGATCCCAGTGGAAGAGAGGGCTCGAAGGACGTCAATAGGGACTTGTGATAGTATGCCAATGGCGGTGATGGTGAGATTACCGTTGTAACCTAAACTCTTCAATGCCCGTCTTATAAACGGACCCACACGACGAGCATCAACGTCGGAGGGAACAGGACACCTGCTTAGGTCCCACAAGACCCATGTTGCAAATTTGCAATATCAGCTTGCCTCTTCGTCGCCGCCTTAAGGTCCATCATCGTTCACCCTAATGAACGTAAACTAACGTAGGGTTTTATCAGAAGTAAAACATGTTACACATGTACGTAGAATAATATAACAACTCATTCGCATGATGAAGAAATATAAGGAACTAAACCGATTGGCACAAGGCTGAAAGCTGAAAGCTGAAAGCTAGGGGTGTTCAATTTGGTAAAACCGAACCGAACCGAACCGAAATAAGTCATATGGTTTGGATTTGGATACACTATATAAACCGTATGGATGCAATTTTATATAAACCGTGGATATTGATATGGTTTGGATATTAACCGACCGAACCGCAAAAACCGCAAAAAACCGAATAACTTTATATATATTAAATTACTCATATAATAATATAAGTTTAGAGTAATAAATCATTAATTAACTAAAATTTAACAATTAAGAAACACTAAATAAAAAACCTAGATAAAGCGATCTTCCTCTTCTCATACAACAATATTATTATAGCAATTGTCTTCTTCTTCGTTAATCTTTTCTCTTACCCTAGACGTGAACTAAAGGTATCGTATGCCTTAAACAAGTTTTCTCCGTTTGTTCTACTTCTTTGTTTCATAAGTTAACTGATTTTCTTTTAATACTTATTCACTTGTAGATGAGCAAAAGGAATAAGACATGAGTTTGCATTTTTTATTTGAATAAGACATGAGTTTGCATTTTTTATTTGAATTTGATCATTTTGATTATGAGAAAAATCGAAAACCCTAATTAATAAAATAATCATAAAACAAAAAATACAAATTAACCGAAAACCGAGATTATTCGACCCGAAAATATCCAAACCGCAAAAACCGAATCCAAACCGAACCAAACCGAAGTAAGTATGGATCTACTATGGTAGCTATTTTTTATTAACCGAAAAACCAAATACCGAAAAAACCGAACCGAAACCGAACCGATATCCGGATTGAACACCCAGTAGCTGAAAGCGAAACACATCAATTGGAAATTTTGCTTTATTTAAGTAAATTATCTTTTTGGATTATTTGGTGTTAGGAAAGAGATCCTAATCATTAAAGCTTAAATATCTGATACACCAACAAATTAAAAAAAAAAATAAAAAAAAATAAAAAAAAATTGCTCTGTTCTAATTTATACATTAGGAAAGTGTCTAATTGCTCCATTACACTGAAATTCTCTTATTTGTCCATACATTAAACCCGGTTTAGTTCTGGTTTTGATAAAAATTTGATCCGTCGGTCGAAGCAACTTTGGTGGGCCATTTTAATTACCGAATCTCGTAAAAACCCATATGGCATCTTCGTCATCAATCAAATCACGCCACGTGGCTGTAATCGGAGCTGGAGCCGCCGGACTAGTCGCGGCGAGAGAGCTTCGACGAGAAGGTCACTCCGTCGTCGTCTTCGAGAGGCAGAAACAGGTCGGAGGAACCTGGATCTACACCGATCATGTCGAGTCCGATCCGTTAAGCGTCGACCCGACCCGAATCGTCGTTCACTCGAGCGTCTATGGCTCTCTCCGAACTAACCTTCCTCGAGAATGTATGGGATTCAGAGACTTCCCGTTCGCGATCCGATCCGGCGAATCCAGAGATCCGAGGAGGTTTCCGAGTCACGGTGAAGTTCTAGCGTATCTGCAGGATTTCGCTAAGGAGTTTGGCATCGAGGAGCTGATCCGGTTCGAGACGACGGTTGTGCGTGTTTCTCCGGCGGGGAAAGCGACGGCGGAGAAGGAATCGGAAAATGGAGAATCGAATCTACAGAGAAGGAGAAGAAAATTCATCGCGATGAGATTTACGACGCTGTTGTTGTTTGTAATGGACATTACATTGAACCTCGTCTCGCTGAAATTCCTGGTAAATTCTCAACATCTCGATTCTCCATAGTAAAGCTTGCTCCATCGAAAACTTAGGATCGGATTTGAAAAATAGAAACTTCATAAGAACATTGAATCATTTTCAGGGATAAGTTCTTGGCCAGGGAAGGAGCTGCATAGCCATAACTATCGTCTTCCCGAACCATTCAAAGATCAGGTACTCAAATTTTTTTCAAAATGTGAGATATAATTCATTTTCATGGTGAAGAATTGTGATACATTTGAATCATAGGTTGTTGTGGTTATTGGAAGCTCTGCGAGTGCTGTTGATATAAGCAGAGACATTTCCGGATTTGCCAAAGAGGTTCATGTGGCTTCTTGGTCAAATCCAGCTGATACTTTTATCAAGCAGAACGGTTACACTAACATATGGATGCATTCAATGGTGAGTTTAGCTGTAATTCGTTGGTCAGATCAAGAGAAGAAACAATGGTTCTTGAAACGTTTTCTTGAATCTTTATGCAGATTGAGCGTGTCCATGAGGATGGTTCTATGGTTTTTCAGAAGAAACGGTTTTGGGTGATGTTATTATGCATTGCACTGGTTATAAGTATCATTTTCCGTTTCTTGATACCAATGGAGAAGTTACCGTTGATGATAACTGTGTTGGACCATTGTACAAACATGTCTTTCCTCCAGCATTAGCACCGTCGCTCTCCTTCGTCGGGATACCATATAAGGTACAAAAGCTCTAAATCATTCCTCTCAATTTTTTTTTTTTCATCAAATTTGGATCTTTCAGGTTTTACCATTCCCTATGTTTGAGCTGCAAAGCAAGTGGATCGCGGGAGTTTTGTCGGGTCGGATCAATGCTTCCTTCAAAGGAAGATATGATGGTGGAAACCAAAACCATGAAGGACACATTTGAAGCCTTGGGGATTCCTAAGCGATTTACACACTGTTTGGGGATTGACCAAGTAAGAAGAATCTCTGTAACTATTTTCTCCGTATGAGACCAAATCCAAAGGAAAACATGTTAAATGTTGTTACTTTTGTGTTGTTTGTTTGTCACAGTTTGAGTACTATGATTGGTTGGGTTCACAAATTGGGTGCTCAGGAACAGAGGAATGGAGGAAAGAGATGAGTTTGCCTATTTTCTTGAGGAAGATGAAACATCCGGAGAGTTATAGAGACGAATGGGAAGATCATCACTTGGTTGCTCAAGCTTACCAAGATTTCTCTTTGTATATATCAACAAAAGATGAGATTTTGTAAAATCAAATTGAGATTTCTCTAAGTACGTTTCAGAGTTGAGTCGATTTATTGTTCAGTGTACAACTATATTAAATATTGCATATCTCAATGCTTTGGAGCATATAAGATTGCAAATGTTCAGCTTATCAGGTAATGCCCTGGTTGTCTCCAAAGCCTTAAGATTTTCACATTGATCACATGATATCGATAAAGATATACAACTCCCCATATTTTAGATAAACAAGAGAGATCCAGAGAGCAATCTGGTTTGATTAAAATCAAACGAAAATATTACACAGCGGAAAACATTCATCAACTTCAAACGTAACATTGTATAATGTTGATGCAATAAGAAAAAAAAAGAGAAAACACACAGAGAGAGAGATAGAGAGAGGAAAGCTTGGCATCTTCAATTTGCATCAGGAGATACCTGTTATATATGTTAATATGTCCCAGTCATACTTATCTGTAAAATAAACAAAAAGACAGAGGCATTAAAAAATGGAAGCAGTTCATACACCCGAAGAAGAAAAAGTCATATGAAAACAAATAAGAGAATACGAGAAATTATACCAATTTGGAAGAAGATAAGAAACGAGTTTTGGTAGCTTCGTCCTCCCATTCCACACCTTCAATCCAACTTTCCTCTTGTATTAAGACGAGTCCATTTTCACCATGCATGCCACTTTGAGAATCCAGTGGAAGCTTTTTCAGATTTGGACAATCGATTACATTGAATTCCTTTAGACATGGAAAGCGTAGAGGACTCCAATAGATATTCTTTAGCTTCGGTAGACTCCCCAACTGAGAGAAACCAGCTTTGCAAAAGGAACAATCCCTGATTCTTCACCTTCACAAGCTTTCTCTTTGTTTATTATATCTTCTAGTTGATCTGCATCTAACTCAAGTTCTTTAAGATTTGAAGCAAACATCAGCAACGTCAGCTCCCTCAGGCATCTGCATTTATATATACACTTGGAGAGGCTCAAGAAGCATGGCTCTCTCGGATTGTGTAGAGGAGAAACCGTCTTGCTTTTGTTGCATATACTTCCCATCTTTATCTCAGAATAGTGCAGCGCTCAATGCTGAAATAACGAAGCTTGTTCATGGTTACTGGAATTGCTATTCCATTTGATTCCAATTTCAAGATCCCAGAAATCGTGTACAACTCGTCAACCTATGAGAGAACTAAAAAATAGCTCCAGAGGTGGATACAATCGATTCTATGGTTAAAATTTCTAAATGCTCCAAGGTTTCTAATTCCTCCACTATGCCGCGATCCCATGAAAAGCCACTTCCAGCTAATTTCAGTATCATCAAATTATGCAGATTTGATATCCCAGCAATACTCGAAAGCTGAAGTGTACCTCGAGATTCAAGTGAATGAGTTTTTTCAACTCTTGTAGACCCTTAGGGAGATGACGGATACCTGTATCTGACAAGTTGAGATACTTCAAAGAAACTAAATCAGATACTCCATCCGGCACTTTGGTGAGATGTTCATTAAATGATAGATCCAACACCTGTAGCTTCGGCATGGACTTGAAGAATTCACTCGAGATATTTACCAATTCTCCCCGTTGCATGAGAAAAGCTGTGAGTTCGAGACATTCAGGACTGCCAGCTAGATTGCGAATCTTGTTCTTCATCAGTGACATTCTTCTCACACTGTTCCAATTCTTAACCTTTGGAATTTCATTTAACCCTACACCTGCATGCACAATGAAAGCCTCCTTTTCTCTTCCCAATTCAGATGCAATCCACAATGCCATTTCGCGAACAACATCATGCATACGCACTGTCTTGTTCAGCTCTTCCATCAACAAAGATGCACGAACAAGATCACCAATTATCTCATACCCCTTGTTCTCAGCCCTTCTATACCTTCACTTCCATTATAATATCTTCGCATATCAAGTAGTCTATCAAATCTCTTTAGAAATCAGATCATCTTCTGGAAATAAAGCGCAATACAGCAAACATGATTTGACATCCTCGCCCTTAAGATTATCGTAGCTATACTTCAAAAGCGGAAGGATCTTATCTTCCATGCCAGAAAACTCTGTAGCGTACGAAGTCAAAACATTTATCGCGTGACGCCATTCTTCCACCGTCTTCTTGCATGACATGGTCTCCCCTATGACATTGAGCGCCAATGGAAGGCCACCACATTTTCTAGCAACGTCTTTTGCAAGCTTGGGGATCTCTGGATCGCTGTCCTAATGTTTTTTGTCCAACCTTCTTTTGGAACAAATCAAATGCTTCAATTTCCGCCAAACATTGGACTTCCATTGTTCTTCAGCCATCATCTGCGAACATACACTTGTCTTACGAGTGGTGAAGACTACTTTGCATCGGTTTTCTGGTGCTGGAAATGGGACTCCAATCTCTGTTAAATCCACCTTCTCCCATATGTCATCTAAAAACAACACAAATCTCTTTTTCTTCAAGAAATTGTATAAACAATGGTCTTTTGGCTCTTCTTTTTTTTCTCCCACTTCTCTCCATCAAGACCAACTTTCTGAGCGATTTCATCTTGAATCTTCTCTACATGTAACTCTTTAGACACCACAACCCAAATCACAAAATCAAATCCACACCTTTCTTCACTGAACTTATTGTTGATTTGCATGAGAAGCGTTGTTTTCCCAACTCCGCCCATACCATACATACCCATAATACCAACTCCATCTTTCCATGAGATGTTTCCATGCCTTATCGAGCATTGCTTCTTGACCAACAATTATCCGTGGAACTTGTATTTCCTCTATCACAGCTGTGTTTGAGCTTACAACACTTGATCTAAATTTTACTCTAAGTTCCTCAACATCCTATCAACGTCAAGAAAACCTTTTTCCCGTAACGGTAACTGGATCTTAAACTCTTAGAGCAAAACCCACAAAGACACACCTTTGAAGTTCATCATCTCTAGCATCAAGAAGATCACTGACTTTTTTCCAATAGACTCAACTCTCTTAAGCCATACCTGGAATTCTTCCAGCTTTTCCACCTTTATCCTCCTCTCTTGTGGCCTTTGTTAAATCATTCCGCTTAGCCTTGAGCTTCCATGCTGTTCTCCAGAGTGGCGAGATTCTTCTCAAGATCGTGAATATAACCAACTTTCTTGTCTAGCCATTGAGAGATTTTTATCCACACCTAAGGATAGAGAGTGAAATTCCCCATTTTGCAGAAAGGGAGAAATCTGAAATCTGAAATTTGCTGATATGAGCAAACCAGAGACAATGCAGAGAATAATTGAAGATAAGACTTTCTTTCACGTCCACAATTCTCGACCAAGTGAGTCCAAATCACTGATTTTTCTTGGAAATGTTTGCTTATTTGATATCCATAATTCTCACGTTCACACATTTTGGTTGTTGACTTTGGTGGGACATACTAATCACAAAGTCGCTCTCCATGGCAAACCAAAGACGAAGAAGACTTAATATTTAATCCTTAATCCTTGTTACAATAAGCTTTTAATGATAAGCGTGATTATTCAGTCCCCAATCGAATATTTGATCAAAACCATTTACAGTATGCCACATTTGAAGCCTTATAGGAATTCATAAGCGATTTACACACTGTTTGGGGATTGACCAAGTGAGAATCTCTGTAAATTATGTTTCTCCATGTGAGACCAAATTCAAACGAAAACACGTTCATGTATGGGAAGATCATCACTTGGTTGATGAAGCTAACCAAGACTTGCCTTTGTATATATCAACCAAAAGATGATATAATATCTAAGACTATACGGTAAGTTAATTCTCTATAAAGGTGGTGTACCTCTGAATCAACAATGAATAAGCACTAGGTATTATCAGTTAAAAATCTGGCGCTAAGAGTAAAACAAACCATATTTAACAATATGAAAATGCCTTAGAGAAGAACAAGATCCCATTACGCCACACGCTACTCTGCTTCTGCTTCATAGTCATATTCTTCATCATAATAAGGATCTTCAAGTCTTTCTTTTTTGTACTTGGCTTCTTCTTCTTCTTCTTCAAGTCTTCTGGCCTCTCTAAAACCTTGTAGCCTTACTAGAATGGCAGCAGCATCCTCCTTGCGAGCACGAGATTCATTGCCAGCCTCAACTCCTCCAGGGTAATAATCCAACTCCTGCTTGACAAGCAAAAGAGAAAATTAACAAGTGAGAATGGGAAAGAATCAAATATGTAGTTAGACAATGACAAGGTTTCTTTTGGGGATAGATGCTTACTTCAAGTGCATGTTCTTTACTGAGGATATGCTTGGTGAAACTTTCAAAGCCTAAGAGACCAAGACAGCATCCTGAGCAATAAAATGTAGTTTTACCCGTTGTTCCACTGCACTCCTTCTTGGCCTCTGTTGGAGAAAAAAAACAAAACAAAAAAGAGCTTAATTTGGTGTGTGTTTGAGAGAGAGCGAGAGAGAGAGAGAGAGGAACACACCTGCACGTAAGCTCGCGAGTAAGCTTTCCCAGAGGAAGCACCCTGCACGCCTAGCGAAGACGGTGGGCTCTAGTTGACGATCATATGGAACTTTTGAGCCAAGAACGTAGTATTTCTCCGATAGATCGGCAATAAACTGACCGAAGATCCTCTGAAGGGATATGAGCATGACATTAGCCGGAGGCGAATTATCCGACTTCCACATGTACACACTAGTCATAATAGATTTGTTATCTGTTCCAGAAAAAACAATACTTAAGACTCTGTAAAAACACACCAAAAGCAAGGAAAAAAGGTAAAGAGAGTTGAATCTAAAACACTTACACATGGTGGGGACGTGATGAAGGTTGATCCCAGTGGAAGAGAGGGCTCGAAGGACGTCAATAGGGACTTGTGATAGTATGCCAATGGCGGTGATGGTGAGATTACCGTTGTAACCTAAACTCTTCAATGCCCGTCTTATAAACGGACCCACACGACGAGCATCAACGTCGGAGGGAACAGGACACCTGCTTAGGTCCCACAAGACCCATGTTGCAAATTTGCAATATCAGCTTGCCTCTTCGTCGCCGCCTTAAGGTCCATCATCGTTCGAGAAGACTTTAAACCCTAAACAAAATTCAAGATTCAAAACCAGTTAGGTCTTTAATCTAGATGAACGACCAGTTAGGTCTTTAACCAGTTATTAACTTATTATAGATCAAGATGAGAGATACAGATATCCTTTATTATATAAAAACAAGTACGACACGTAAGATTATTTTGACACATAGTATAATTTATAGATTAATTAATAATTAAAGGGAAAAGTAAGCACATAAACTTAGTTAAAAATAATAAATTAACAAAATAATCATCAAGTAACTACCCAAGTAATACGAAGAAAATTTTAATAGTCTAATTTATTAATTTCCCATTGTCCATTTATCCAATTTTATAATTTGACAAAATCATAGAAAGAAAAAGTTATTAGTGTATTCTAATCAATTTATTATTAATTTTATTCTTAGTTTTACTTTATATCAATTTATCATAAAAGTTAAAACTATTATTTTTATTTTATAATTCACCTATATGTCTAATATTAATTGGATGATGACATGTGTTAACACATAAGCTTAATTTAAAATGTATGATGAAAAATAGAAAACTAATAAAATAATTTTCAAACAACTAGGGGGATTATTAAACTAGTTATAGTTATTTGGGAGGATTTCATTTTTTCTCCAAATCACCTCTTATTGGATATAATATTTATAAAATCATTCAATATCCAAAGTTATTGGACTAATAATTTATAAAATTAGGAGTAGAATTTGTGTGGATTTTAAAGATTATAAAAGTTAAGATAATTGTTAAATTTATAAATAATTTTTGTTAGATTTGAAAAGACTATGTAAATTTAGAAAATCAATCAAAATATTTTATTGTAATTGACTTTGAGAATCTAAGGGTTATAGGTATTATTTTGAAAGTTTTGTTTCATGAGTTAATTTGTTTAAAATTCATCTCTCGATAACAAAGATTTTAACAATTTATGGAATCATTCAAATTGTAAATTTTTTGAATAACAATGGATTTTGCATGGATTTTAAAAATCATCAAACCAATAACAATATATTTTAATAAGAATATCAAAATCCATTAACCAATAACAACGGATTTTGAAAATTTTAACAATCATCACAAATTCTACTCCCAATAATCCCCCTAAAGTTAGATAATTTAAAAAAAAAAAAAAAAATTTAAAATTAATAGTTAGATGAAAATAAAGTCACACTATCCTTAGTTTGCATTTCTAGTAGCATTTAAATCGACTAATATATACGGTCAGGCTCATACATGAGAACTGACATAAGAAAATAAATAAAAAACGTTCATAAGACATGCAGACAGCATAAGACTAATGAATATGAATGTTCACAGGTGAACGTCATTGAAATTCTCAATCTTGTTTTGATAGCTACTGAAAGGTACGAACGAGTAAAATTTAGTAATTAATTTTCACTTTTTTTTTTTTCAACAAAAGGTGTTGTCAACAAAAGGTGATTGTTAAGTATTCGGATTTTATCTCATTCGGTTTGTTTTACTTATGTATATTGTGTTTCTGTGGTAATTTAGAACATGTTGTAAAGTATTCGGATTTGATTTGATACGGTTTAATTTACTAGTGTGTATTTTGTATCTGTGATAATTTAGAACGTTAGTTACACACCTTGAGTAAAGTGGGAGACTCATACTAAAGTGTTTTCAGTATATACCTATCCGTTGACTCAATTTGGGTTAATGCTCACAGTTTGTATTTCATCCACTTTGTTAAAAACTAATGTATTTCACCAAAATACGTAATATTTATTCATTCCATTGATATCAGAGTCGCATTGTTTGATTTCATATAAAAAATCTGCAACTAGTATGTCTCATGATTAATAGTAGCATATCTATATTAAGAGTTTCTATTATTTGGTAAGGAGAAAGAGAGATCAGAGTAGATGAAACTATTAAATATTGTTTCTTTGAGCTTGAAGGTCGGGTTGTGCAGCAGCATTAGCCTCAAGTTGAAGATATGTACCATCTAGATCAGTAGCCATGGTTCCATCCTGAAGAGAGAAACCGGTGACGTAAGAAGTGCTCAGCTAAATCCACAACATTCTGCTCATTTACGTTATGGTCGTTTACTTGAGCGGCAAAAGAGTGAATTTCTGGGTGTCTCTGCCACACACACACACACACACAAAAGACAAGGAAATAAATAGCCAAAAAAGCCAAAGCACAGACTAAACTACAGAAAAAGAAAAAAAAAACATTTGTCATACCTTGACAAACACTTGAGTTGCTCGAGCAAGGGCGTTGTTAGCACGGTCCATCTTTCCTCTCGCTTTCATTCTTGATACATATCGAATCCAGTATTCAGGGTAGTTTGCGCAGACAATTAAACATCTTTCATACAGCTTGTATACCTGTTGGAAAAAAAAACAAATAGAATGTTAAAAAACATTACACATAGAAACCACAAAGACATCTACATTACTTGCAATGGTGCGTGTTTAACAACCGGAAGTACTTAGCCTTAAAGTTACAAAATCAAAATCTAGCCCCACGCTTGTTTTAACCATTAAAAAGTTGCTTAGCCCGTGATCCTAAGATACTATGTATGTCAATAATGTAACAAAGACTTAAACTACAAAACCCATACCTTGTCCACGTCTTGCTCATTGTCGATGAAGTCCAAATATTGATGCCAATGCACCAGCTCTGCTTGAGTGAGAGGGCACACATCGAAAGAGAGCCTTTGAATATGCATTTCAAAGTGCTCTATAGTAGCCCTCAACTCCTTCTTACCTTGAAACAGCTGTTTTTCCCTGGAGAAGAATTGCTCCATGCTCAATCCTCTAGCATCAAAGGCAGGAGCGTTTGCTTCAAATGCCTCATGAGTCATATGATAAGCTAGTGTTTGAAATCTGTAGCAGTTGTGTGAAATCAGAAAAAAAATGTAAAGTCAACAGATGGTCAATGTGGAAGAATTGTAACACAAGGAAGTAACTTACGTGGAAGCAAACTGAATGTGATCTTTAATAGGAGGACTCTTCAATATCTTGAGGTGAATCTTAATAAGTGGGAGCCAATATCGGTCAAAATCGCATTTGGCGAGGTTCCTCTCATACTCAATCAAATCTTGCCACAATGCAGAAGAATTGAAGTCTTTACCGACGAAAGACAACGCTTGGTAAAAAATACTGCAAGCAGGAATTAAACAACGGTTAAAAAGAATGTCAGATAGCAAGTAAAAGAAAAAATGTCAGATTTTACTTACACTCTGATAGTCTTTGCATCTTCTCCAAATGTGTCCACAGCGAATCTGCAGTAATTCATCCACAGCTCCACTGAGTATGTGGCTTCGTGTTTTGCTCGTTCATAAACATTCAGCAGGTTCTCCAGTATGGTTAACCGTCCCTCGTGACACGCATACTTTTCCCAGTGGTCAATACACAGTGGAAAGTTAAATAGGAAAGCATCATAAACCTCGCGGATTTGTTCTATGTTGAACCGGGCTCTATTATCTGTCTTTTCGATCAGAGTCTTCCAACCTTGGTACTCCCAAGCTATCCTACCTTCAACCGTCATATCATTGAGCATTGGCGAACCAAGCGTTAGTGAGCTCCATAGCTCCTCCTCTACCTTTGAACGAGGGTTGCATTTAACACTCTTAAACAATACTTTTTCTGGGTAGTAAGGTTCAAGACCAATTTAAGACCAATTTAGGCAGTTTAAGACCAATTTCAATAACATCCTCCCAGGTTATAGCAAAGTGGGGCACATGTGGGAATGAGACACTCGTTGACCATGGGCTATAGATTATACCGGTGATGAAACCCTTGCCTCTTAGCTGCCTTATCTGTTCTGTGTAGCCAGTATCTGAGGCTATAATAACTGCTACAGCAGGTCCTGAACACGTCTTTGCCCAAGACTTAATTCTAACACGAATCTTGTCATCGCTTGCTTGTGATCCGGTATGATCGGCAGGGATAAAAGCGATACTCGTTTGCGCTAAGTCTTCACGAATTTGGTTTAGACGCTGAATGGTTTCAAGGTCAAGATCTTCCTTGACAGCTAGGTCTTGACCAGGTTGCTTCAGGCGTTGAATGGTATCAAGGTGAAGATATTCCTTGACAGCAACCATTTCCACCCTCAATTTACCATGATATCCCAACCTCTGTAGTGCAGTCTTAATGGCAAGGTAACTCCAAACCGGATCGTAGCCTGAGGGAAGACGAGCGTTTTCGTAATCCCACCAGCAGAAAATGGGATCAAAACAATATTCATATTCTGAGTCCATAGCAATCTTCGGTGTAAACCCCTAAAAGGCAAAAAAAAAAAAAGGAAAGATCTTTAACAAGGTTGTGAATTCATAAACAGAGCAAACGTGTAATTCAAGGCTTTGCAAACAAAAAAACACAGAGTGAATGAGTTATTACGAGCTTCATGTTTCCCGTAAAAACTCATAATAAATAAATAAAATAATTAGATTCACTTTATCAAAAGATAATTAATTCATTTCTCATGGGTTTTAATTATAACCCGTAAAATTATTTAGAAAACAGAGTGAATGTGTGTAATCAAAAGCTTTGGTTTTCAATGAAAACTCATGAACAAGGAAAGAAAGAAGAAGCAAATTCGCTTCGTTTTTTTGGGGTGTCAATTCATAACACATAAACAAGCTCAAAAACAGAGAGTGTGTTTGTGTGTGTAATCAAAAGTTTAATTTGTCTGTTCAATAGACACTCATGAACAAGAAATCAAAGAAAACTGTTTCATGGTTCATGATGATTATTACCTTGACAGCTAGCAACTGTTCGAAAGATTCTCTCCTTTGATCACTCGTCATAAACACCCAACATCTTGACCATTTTCTGCAGAGAGCGTGAGAGAAAAACCACCATTAATTAAAACACTCCAAGTCTACGTAAATCAAAAGACTGTTTCCTTACTACATTGTGAACCAAATAAAAATACCTTCTTTTTCTTTGTAGAAGAGAGCAGAAAATGAGAGAAAACTATAAGAAAGAGGATGCTTTTATGCCAAAATGTAAACAAGCCGATAGTTTTTAATACCAAACAACAAACCGACACATGAATTGGGTTTATAGAAAACAGGAGAAGACGAAACTACGGAGTAGTTTCCAGCTTCACTTATGCTGTTTTCTGTGTTCTCTTCCGTGTGTTCTTGGGCAATTTCTAGTTTCTACTAATGGCAAATGATGTGTGACGATCGATTATTAAGCGTTTCTATATATAGTAGTACCTTTTGAGCTTTTTGTTTTGTCAAAGATTCTTCTATTGTCTTGACTCTCTATCACTTCTCTTTCATTAAAAATGGTCATCTTACTTTACTTGGTTTTAGTGCGATTTCCCATATTTGATTGCATTTACAAGTTTTTTATTTAGTTTAAAAAAGCATGTGTGCTTTGAATTATTATCATCGATCTCTCGTCAGTTCTTTTTTAAATTAGGTGTTTGGGCTTCTTTCTTAAAGTGTACTCTTAAACTTTACATGTGTCGAGGTAATACAGCAACAGACAAAAGACTTATACAGCAACCTTTGATCTCAACCGTCCGATGTTACAATGCAAAGACAAATATGGCTAAGGCTTGACTAAAACAAGTTTACTTAATTTGTATTTGTTTCTTAATGTTGATTTACGTTTTACAGAAAGTATTCAGTTAAGTTGTATTCTTTATTTATGGATCTATTGGTTTGCATATTAAAAATTGATTGAATTTATCGATATTTATAATAGTTTGAAAAAAAAACCTTGGTCGAATTTTTTTAATTTTACAAAAATCAACATGCATGACCTTGATGAACCATCTTACTAAAACTAAACTTGGTACATTTTTATCTTTCTGGCTCGTCGTTGTATTTATTACATTGTTTCTCTATATACAAATGCATCTTATGTAGAAAATGCAAAGTGTTGTTTTTTATTTTATTTTGCCGGAGACTGGTTGATAAATCACACGTTATTAACAGGATTATGCACCAACCTTTCACTTGTCTGCTATGTTTTTAGTTTTTTTTGTTTTTCTTTCTTAAAACTAAAATATTCACGTATAAGCATAGCACTGTTTAAATTCTGCCAGAGACTGGTTGATAAATCACACGTTATTAACAGAATTATGCAACAACCTTTCACTTGGCTGCTATGTTTTTAGCTTTTTTTTGTTGTTCTTTCTTAAAACTAAAATATTCACGTATAAGCATAGCACTGTTTAAATTCTGATCGACATTTTTTTCTTCTTACGTTTTTATGATAGTAGAGCCCACTTAATTTTAGCCATGTTTCCAAATTCATATTTCGTATTGATTTGTTTTGCTATGAGATATTGCATATTATATCATCCAGACATCCACTATCACTCCGCCGAGTTCAACGACAGTATTTACAATTGGCGAAGCTTTTGCATTCTGAATCCATCATAAATATTATTGATGATTTATCTGATCATTCATGTAGATGTACAAACAAAAATAAATTTATTAACTTTGGACTACTAGTACTACTTAACGTAACAGGACTAAAATCAAGTTATACATCAATCATATATCTCTCTCTCTCTTCCTTGTTACATGCATAAGCAGCAATAGAACATCATCATGATGAATGATAGTATTATCGACTTTAGCCGTTACACATCGTATGCCTACCTAACCCCACTCAAATAAACGTTAATGTACATTTTTCCATTTTGGTTTATTCATTGGTCATCAGTCTCTTTCCACTGACAAATAGTTTGGTTTATTCGTTTGTCTTTGGGTTTAAAGAATATTATTTATTAAAGTTGGCAAGATTATTTTGCACCGGGATAATTATTTTTTTGATAAAAGTGATGATGAATGGATTTTTCATCTATGTCCAAGGTTTCTTCTACATTTTATTGTTAAATAAGGGGTTTCTTCTACATGCATATTGCGATGGAGATAAGAAAACTGGAAAATGATTAATAACTTTTCCAAGCCCTATTGCACCGGGATAATTTACTAATATAATATGCATGGACACTAAAAAATATATTTAGAATGTTAGATAAATAAATATGGGAAGCTACTAGTGTATCTCTTATATAAAAGTTAAACATCTCTAAAAGTATATATAAATTTTAGTAGAAAAAAAAACTTATAAATTATTGCTGATTTTTTTTAAAAAAAAATTAATAATATGATATATATATTAAATAAAAAGTTTCTACAAATTCATATCAAATCAATGATAAATTACATTTTCGGCTAACAATTCCATTAATATCAAGGCCATGAATGTTTGGTTAGTTTCTAGATTTTGGATTCTGGTTTTTAGATTTTAGTTTTTGATTTTAGATTTTAGTTTTTGATTTTGGTTTTTCTGTAGATTTTTAAAATAATAAAAAAATTAAAATAAGAGTAAGAAAAAAAACAAATCTGTCGTAGAATGAGAGAAACCTAAAAAATGTAGATTTTGGTTTTTGTATACAAAGTGGAAGTTACTTTGAAAAACTAGTTTCCCTAAGTTTTAGAAAATCTACTTATTAAGAATCTTGATTGGAGAATAAAATGGTTTCTGAAAAAATCAAAACCAAAAACCATTGCAAAAACCACAGACAATCAAGGCCCAAGTTGTTTAAGTTTGGGCTTCCGTAAAGCTGGCCCAATTGTTGAATTTTTTACCAAAATCTCGTTCAGCTTTTTGCTTAAAAGATTCGATCGAAAAGATTACCGGTATTGTTCATTTCATTTGCTCTCTCTCTCTCTCTCTCTCTCTCTCTCTCTCTCGGCTGATCGCTCCATCTTTTTCCTCTCAGGTAACGCTTTCTCGATTTCCGATTTCCTATATGTTTCTGTTGTAGTTACCCTTAATTGGTACAATCGTTGGATGAAATTGCTGTCCGATTCGTTGTGTGGGTAGGAAAACAGTGTGAGATTTTGTGGGCTTGGTTAGTTTAGCAATCATGATCGGAAATATAAAACGTGCAGATTCTGAACTTTGAGTTTAATTTTGAACATTTGTTTAGGGTTTAACGATGATGGACCTTAGGGCGGCGACGAAGTGGCAGGCGGATATTGCAACATGGGTCTTGTGGGACATAGGCAGGTGTCCTGTTCCCTCCGACGTTGATGCTGGTCGTGTGGGTCCGTTCATAAGACGGGCGTTGAAGAATTTAGGCTACAATGGTGATGTCACCATCACCGCCATTGGCATACTATCACAAGTCCCTATTGACGTCCTGCGAGCCCTCTCTTCCACTGGGATCAAGCTTCATCACGTCCCCACCATGTGTAAGTGTATTAGATTCAACTCTCTTTACCCTATTTTGTTTTGTTTTGCGTATACTACTATAGAGTCTTTTAATTATTTTAGTTTTTTTTCTGGAGCAGATAACAAATCGATTTTGACTAGTTTGATCATGTGGGAGATGGATACTTCGCCTCCGGCTAATGTCATGCTCATATCCCTTCAGAGGATCTTCGGTCAATATATTGCCGATCTATCGGAGGAATACTACGTTCTTGGCTCAAAAGTTCCATATGATCGTCAACTAGACCCCACTGTCTTCGCTAGGCGTGCAGGCTGCTTCCTCTGGGAAAGCTTACTCGCAAGCTTACGTGCAGGTGTGTTCCTCTCTCTCTCGCTCTCTCTCAAACACACACACACACACACCAAATTAAGCTCTTTTTGTTTTGTTTTTTGTCCTAACAGAAGCCAAGAAGGAGAGCAGTGGAACAACGGGTAAATCTACCTTTTATTGCTCTGGATGCTATCTTGGTCTCTTTGGCTTTGAAAGTTTCACCAAGCATATCCTCAGTAAAGAACATGCATTTAATGTAAGCATCTATCCCAAAAAGAAACCTTGTTATTGTCTAACTACATATTTGATTCTTTCTCTTTCTCACTTGTTAATCTTGTCTTTTGCTTGTCAAGCAGGAGTTGGATTATTACCCTGGGGGAGTTGAGTCTGGCAATGAATCTCGTGCTCGCAAGGAGGATGCTGCTGCCATCCTAGCAAGGCTACAAGGTTTTCGACAGGTCAGAAGACGTGAAGAAGAAGAAGAGGAAGCTAACTACAAGAAACAAAGACTTGAAGATCCTTATTATGATGAAGAATATGACTATGAAGCAGAAGCAGAGTAGCGTGTGGCGTTATGGGATCTAAGGCATTTTCATATCGTTAAATATGGTTTGTTTTACTCTTATCGGCAGATTTACTGTTAACTGATGATACCTATTACCTAGTGCTTAATCATTACATTAAGACTTGATGCTCTGTTTATTCAGAGGTACAGCTCCTTTATATAAAATTAACTTACCGTAGTCTTATATATTATTCTCTTTGCTTTTATCAGATACCCAAATTGTATGTGGAAAATAACATTTTCATCCATCACTCAAAAAGGTTGGAAATATAGCCACTTTACCCTTCAAAAACTTCTTTAATACTTTCGAAATAAACAACACATTAGCAAAAGGCATTTACACAACCAGTATTCAATATTCTTATAAAATCTCATCTTTTGATACATACAAAGAGAAATCTTGGTAAACTTGAGAAACCAAGTGATGATCTTCCCATTCGTCTCTATACGTCTCTGGATGCGCTCTCTTCCTCACACCAGTCGCCAAATACATCTCTTTCCTCCACTCCTCTGTTCCTGAGCATCCGCATTGTGAAGCCAACCAATCATTGTAA